GTAAAGAAAATAAAAAAAATATAAAATTTATTATGTAAATTTAAAAAATCTATTTATGACCATAAATAAGCTTTTATATGATAGTATATAAAGTTTTTTTTGATACCATTGCCTCCTTCATATTTAAGAAAATATTATTGATCAATATTTATATCTAAAATTAAAACGAAAGATTATATGTAAAATTAGGTCAGCTTGAAATAGTGATACTTTCAAATGATGTTTATTTCTATAAATGCTTCGATAATAAAAAGTCCACTTTATATTTTATATTTATTAGTTAAAGAGATAATTTTAAAAATTATATTAAATAATTTATTATTATATTATAAATAATAAAAGTTGATTTTATAATATACTTTGATATTGTGAAATTTTATCTTAGTCCTTGAAGATATTTTGTGACATATCATAATAGTTTTTTAATCTAAGAATATCAATTACTCTAATAGTTCTATGTATTATAGTACGAAGTACTTAATGGTTAGAGAAAAAATTTTTAGAAATGATTGATGTTAACTGAAAACTAAAATTTTATTGTATTAATTGTTGATTCATTCGTTTAGGACTCATAACCTAAAGTATTTAAATGAACATGTTCTTATGATTGAGTTTGTGAGCAACCCATAAAAGATATAATGATACATGTTTGAGTAAATATTATAATTAATATCATATTTATGTAATTAAAGTTATTTTTTTTTATATAATATGTATATACATATTATGGTTTAATGTGTATAATAGGATTATTTTGATAAGATAAATTTTAGGGGTCATTTTGGATTCATTAAGAAGGACTAATAATATTATGATACGTAGAAGAAAATATGACATTAATGATATATAACCGTCATAAGCCACATTGGTAGTTAGACTTAATATAATATTATGTTTGTTTAACTTATTGACTTGTTATATAAAATTTATATGTACGTGTAAAATATTTTTTAAAAGTTCTAGAATATAATTAAGTAAAAATATTTTTAAATAACCTTTGTCTTATTTGTTTTGATTTTGAATTTCTTTTATGAAAAATGTTAGATTATATAACTTTATCTAATTAGGTAACATATATTATAGACATAATTGGATTTTGAGTACGGTTATTAACTAATATAAATGAAGTTCAATTATAATAGAATTCCTTAGGAGATAATCTTGATGGGAGAAACTCTCATAATTATTTATTATAGACTCTTTGCTCTCATCTATAAAATGATAGGATCTCTTCGGGATAAAATAACTAATCATCGTGAGTCTACATATCTTCTTTTATTTCCTCTTAGTTCCTAGTTCATCGTTCATAGTAGTATGTAAAGAATAAAAAGAGAAAATAAGGCAAGTATAGTTCTCCTTATAGATTGATATTGTTATAATATTCGGATCTGACGATAATATACTTGCTAATCAATTAAAAACTTTTTGAATGACATCATATATTTAATCTATCATTATAGATCAAATAAATATTTAATAATTTTTTTAGATAATATTGAAACGTATGCGTTGTATATCAAAACTATTATTATTTAATTTTAATTTTTTGTATTAATTTTTTGTATTAATTTTTTTTATGAATTTTATGTTTACAATAATCCTTTGTAATTATTGCAACATGTCGAACTAAACGACAAACATATGAGTCTTATCAGTTGACCCTTCAAAAAAAAAAAAAAAAGGAAAAGAAAGCAACCATGTGAGGAAAAAATAAATGCATTGTTTCCTGAAAGTCAATTGGCGGCAGAGAGGAATGATGCTTTTCTAGGTGATCACCATATCCACAACATATTGCATTCTGTATGTTAAGATCTCTCTCATGTATACCACTTTTAAGTTCAATGGGGAATGATACAGCAACCTCAATCTCACTCTGGGTTGGGTGAAACTTATGCTACTTCTAAGATCATGAATGATATAAGCTTCTACATGATTTCTCATACTCAAATTAAGCACTTGCTGTCATTTCTTAGAAATATCCTTAGCTATAAAAACTTACAGATAAATTGACACGCAAGAAAAACTCAAGTTCAATATGAACTGGAAATGAAAATAAAAGAAAAGTAGGAGGACAAGTTTAAAGTTATTGGAACTTTTACTCTTTTCAGACAATTGCTTTGAGAAACATGTCCAGCAGAAAAGATTCCTGAAGCTTGGCAGCAGTCTAGGCTATAATATCCTATGGATCTTTCTTTCCTCGAGTCTTCTTTGTGGGCATTCATGGTTATGGAGATACAGAGCTGAGCCTTTGTAAAGCATAACTCGGACGGTCCTCAAACAGCCTGTCTTAGCTCCTCTGTATAGGTTGCACCCTTCATCAATTTGTTCAGCTCTGCTGCATCTGTTCTCCAATCTGTGTTTCCTAGGTTTATGTGTCACCCTGTACTTTCTCCATTTGCCTCATCTAATTACTTCTGAAATGAATGCTAGAGAGAGAGAGAGAGAGAGAGAGAGAGAGAGATTGTCTTCCAATTACTGTGCTTGGAACAAGCCTACTTTGTTATGCAATTATTTGTGCATGTCAATGCCACTTAGTGGTCCTACATATCTTTTCTAAGTGGACATGCAAGCCCTAAACATTCTGGAAAATGGTATACTACAATCACCACCTCCATGTGTGAGAAGGCCCTACAAAGGTGAAGCGGAACATTTCTCAAAGATCCATCAATGGTTGAGTGAAGTTATCTTTCTGGATCTTGCCTTGACAAGCCTAGGTCTTGACTCCATGGGGTTGCTGCGAGAGGTGAAAGGCTAACCTAATCTCTACCACATTTAGAGTGGTAGAAATAAGTAGGGCAATTAAGTCTTGGAACCTTGAGGAGTTGTTGGGAATCGCAAGTGTCCATCAAGAGAAGAGGAGGAGAGGACAAGCACAGTAACCTTTCCAACAGACCATATTAATACTTCCTACTTTGTAGTTGATGCATTTGATGGTGCATTCAAATGCTCATCCCTATAAGCTGTCCTACATGTTTAAATTAATTGACTTCAATGGTTACATTTCAATCCCAAGCTTAATCTAATTATAGATTAAGCAGTATATTTTCATTGCAACTTGGGCCACAGACACTTTGTTAACAGACAAACAGATAGATTCATTCACTTTTTGGTTGGAGAATATGAATTGATCTAAATATGGTCACGATTCTTTGTCCAATCACTTTCGATGAACGCTTGCATAACTCTATGACCTTCTTGTTTGAATGTTCAAGCTACAAGCGGACATTACACGTGAAGCATATTAATATTACCAATGTACATAGCGGGAAACAAGGATGTCTCGATCTGGCGCATGGAATGGTTAAAGATGGTTTAGGATGTGCTTGACTTGATCACAGATGCACAAAGAATGAATTAGATAAAGAGTTCATGATCGATCAGAAACTATTAGTTGATTGGTCTCGATCAACAGCTAAATGTCTTCTTCATCAATCAATGACCGATGGACCAGTTAGGTCATGAAAACCTAATACGACAGGATGAATATATAATGTAGATTGCATCACTCGTTTACACTATACGTTTGTTTATTTGGGGAAGAAGAAGGAGGAGGAGGTTGTGTCCACGTTCTTCTTATTATGGTTTCACCTTGTCGAGGTGAGTACCTAAGATACATAAATAGGGAATCATGTCCCATCCATCAATGCATATTTCATGTCTTTCGAGTCATCGCTTTCTTGAATTCTATGAGAACTACTATTTCCAGTTTGTCGACATGGGAGTAGATTTACCTGTGAGTATAGTACATGAGGACCTTTTGTCTCCTTTCATGTCTCATCAAAATAATTCTACTCAAACCAGCCAGCCATCCTCTTCTTCTTTCTCACCAGTCAAATTAGCTCTGTTTCATGAGTTCGATGAACCAGCAAAAAAACTGCAGCAGTTGTTTGTCAAAATCTTTAATTAGTATGTCTAAGCTGAGAAATGATAACCCAACACAATAATAGTTTGATCAAGAACTAGCCAAGTTTTTGGGTTTAAATGACTTTGTGTCGTAAATAGGTTCAAGGATTATGTTCAATATATATATATATATATATATGGGTGTGTGTGTGTATAATAGATGGGTTGGAGTCACATTTAATATTTGACCGTAATCATTGATATTTAAGCACATAATGAGAGTTCAACACATGCAAGCTATTGTCGGTCACATTAATATTACACCTCAAGGTGGTGGGTGAGGCACGTGTTAGCTGTGGTTGTACACGCGCCATCCACCCATGAACACGTGACAAAACATACAAAATCTAGGGAGGAAAAAGAGGGGAATCTAAGATGCCAACTCCCGTGATCTACCAATTACACCACGGGATAAATTCTTGGATCCAATGATTTTACTTGTCGGGTGAGCATGGGAGGAAGGGGTTGTTGGTGTGGGTCGAGACAAGCCAGGCAAACAGTGGGCATGAGTCATCGGCAAAGGCTACATGTGGCTGCTTTGGAGCAAAGCGGGAGTGCCACCGATGAGAATAGCACCAACTTCGTGGGTAATTAGCCAAGAACATGGTGACATTGGATGGTAATAATTTATCATGAGACAGAAAGCGAGAGAGCGAGAGAGAGAGAGAGAGAGAGAGACAAGGAGGGGGCGGCTAAGTGTGTTTGGTGACGGAAGTGGAGTGAGAGTTATTTATCTCTTTACTGTTTCTAAGGATAAAGGAAGATGTTTTTTTGTGTGTAGTTGGCAAGTGAAAGCTTTGCAAACTATTTTTTTAATGCGAGGGTGGTAGGGGAGGGGGAGAGGGAGAGGGAGAGGGAGAGAGAAAAAGAAAGCAGGAAAGTAAAGGGAGAGGTAGAGGGAGGGCTCAAGAAAGGGAACATGTTCCCTTCCTGAAGGTTTTGCTCTTAACCCATTGACTTTTTTCTGATTTTTAATTTTATTCTTATCATCATTTTTTGATCCTTCTCTCAGGTGCACCCTGACTTGAACTGTTGCTTGTTGGATGAAATTTTTGTGAATCTTGAGGTTCTGTTCTTGATTTTGTCTGGGTCCTGCTTTTGGATTTGGTTTGGGATGTCTGTGGGAAGAGGTTTTCTACTGTGGGGATAGTTGAAGAAGGCTTTGGTTTTCTCGGTTTCTCTGCTGCAGGAAAGAGATTGGTTTACTGATACCTGTTGGGTTTGAGGGTGCATGTCATTGGGTTGCGGAGTTTATGTTTGGGAGGTGATTGTGGTGGTAATTTTCTTGGTTTTCTGATGGTATTTGTTCTTTGGAATTGCTGATTGCTTGGTTTCTTTTTCTTTTCTTGTTAGATGGAGATTAGTTTTCCTAAACCGATTGGGTTTGTGGGTGCATGTCATTTGGTTGCGGGTTCTTGGATGAGAGGTGACTGTGGTGGGGATTTTTAGTCTTCTCATGGTGTTTCTTCAAGAATTGTTGATTCCTTCGTTTCTTGGTGTCATTTGTGTGACCTATATAGAAATGAAATATCTATATTTGTTGCATGGATGCACATGATTTTTTTTTTCTTTTATTTTTGTAAAATAATGATTTTTTAGTGAAATGTCTTGTATACTACGAAGGCACACTACTAAAGATACTTCAATCGCATTATATAGAAATGAAATATCCATTTTGTTATAGCTGACTGATACTGTATACCTTAGAACATGTGATCACAATTGCCTTTTTGGAGATCAATATCCTTTTACCTGTGGATGGAAACTGGTTTCTACCTGGAAAGAGCCATTGCAGCTTGTTGGGCAAATTGGGAGAAACAAATGCAGTTAGTGTTCCTTTCAGGGTAGAATGATCTATTCACCAAGTATTGAGCAAGCCGCACAATTTTTAATTTTTCCACATAATTCAGGCTGTAAAACTCAGCCTGTTGGGGACTACTGAATCCAGAGAACAGCAAGTACTCCCCATGAAAAACTTGCACAACTGCTCGATTCAGAACCATTCTGTTCTCTGTGTAATCCCGAGAAAAACAAGTGTTTCCACATACTTGAAATGTTGATGGTTTGGGAGTTCTTTTCTGAAAAAAGCAAGCCTCGTATATTACACGACAATGTTGGTTGATCTGCTTCAAATTCATTTTTCTGACACTTTTAAAGTGATGTAGTGTAGTGGGTTTAGTTTTTGGCAAAGGATTAATCTTTCATGCTCAACTGCTTGAGAAAAAATGGAAATTCTTTGGTGATATGAGTTTACTGATTCTCGTAACTTTTTTTTCGTATTATGTGAAACTCGTATAACAAAGTTATGTTTGGCAGAGGGAAATTACACTTTGGGAGGGCTATAAATGTGAGCATTTCTGGTACTTTTAGCTTTTGAAATTTTCTAAAGGATACTCCAAAGCTATTATAATCTCAGGTTCAGGTCGATACTGAAAGAGATTTAAATTAACCTTTGGCAACAAGATTCATGGTTACCAAATTGTCCACCAGGATGCTTGATTTGTATGAATAATCTTGCCTACAAAGTACATATCAAAATGCAGAATGTTAAAGATAAAAGAAGACTTCTTTTCATCTATTTTGTGCCATTCTAGCCATATTTTGGGTGCTAAGTTTTTTATTCTGAGATGCAAATACGGCAAATAGTTGGATATCTTGCCTTTAATTATAGGTCATGTATTAGGTCCTTTGCAGATGAACCTGACGAACCATGGGTTTTCTCTAATGAACATGGTGATCTTATGGATCTAATGCACCATAACCCTTTCTTCCCCTGCTCTGCCTGTATCTTCTTTGAGTTTCACTCTCTATGTGTGGGTGTGTGTAAAATCACTGAAATGCCAATCATATTCACTTTTTATGTATGATTTATGTTATGCAGATCAGTTTGATTCACAAAGTAAAATCTTAAATATTAAAGTGATTTGATACTAAAGCCACATAAGTCCAGTTTGGCACAAAAAAAGGTGAAATGATTTTCATCCAGAATCTATAACAACAATAGCAACAAAGTCCCAACTATTTGGGGTCGGCTACTTGGATCTTTTGCTGCTATTGAGATCTTTTTATCCAGAATCTGATAGAAACAAATTGTTTGGTGGGTTCTGCACTGGACCCTATTGGCTAAATACCAAAGTTAGCCAGAATGTGAAAGGTAACAGAATTAAAGGTCTCTGTAGACACAAAGAAGATCTTGCTACCTACTGGATTCTGTTATCCATTCGAGCTGAACTTGCATTCGTAGATCACTATGTAGATTCTTGGGGATGGAGATGCACAAAATTGCTTGGTGTTCTAGTAATTTGGTTGTTTTAACATAGGATGGCAGAGAATTACATCCACCCAAAACTACTTTGCTGGATTCAACTTTAGTAGACATCAACCTTTAAATATCCACCACTTTCTGACTTGTAAGCTGTGCGAAGATGGGATACAGTGCATGATGATCATTGTCGTCCATGCCTTCTACCATCAAATATTAGTGTTCTTTGTAACTGTCTGTCAACTTGAAGTCAATCATGTGAATATGGATTCTTTACACAGATTTGAACAAATATATGAACTTTGTAGTTAATCAAATATCGTGGTTGCAGCTGATGTCAGTAATCCTGAACAACTTGCTAACGTTGTTCAGCAATCTTGCAAATTATGTTTATAGCCGCCAATAGCTTGTTATATGCTTTTTCTCTTTTTTTGAAAATCATTATGAGTAAATTGTCGGAGTTATTTAAATGGTCTATGTCTTGATTTCAGATGCTCCTAACTTTCTTTCAACACAGTGATATTGATAATTGTTTTTTTCTATGTACTAGCTAGATTTTACAACTAGCAAGAAATTACACTTGCTCCAGAACTAGCCTGGTATTGGGATATGCATCTTGATGCAAGATATTCTGAAATGCAAGACATTGGCATGAGAGGTTCACAGAATAGACCCTATTCAAAATCTACTTGTGTGAACAATCCTACTTGGTGGAATTCAAATAGTGCAACTATTCCGGAGTCCTCATATTCCAAGAACTTGAATATGAACATGGACTTCTTGGGGAAAGATGGTAACAAGGTAAAGCTATTGAACCATTCGGTATCCGAACATGACTCATCAACTCAGTCCACTGGTCAATCTCATCAAGAAATATCAGGAACAAGTGAAGACAATGTTCATGAGCAACATATTTCAGTACAATCTGGTATAGGCAAACTAATATGAAATGCTCTTTTACTACGCCTTTTGGATTTTGTGTTCTTAGATGTAGTGAATATTATCTTCTATCTGCTTCTGTTCGAGTTGATATTTCATTTTTGTTGCTGCATAATGTCACTTTAGAAAGTTGTTTGTTATGGTTTGACCACATTGTTCTGTTATCAGTAATCAATATTAAACTTGATGATTGCCTTAATCTGGAAAATTAACTTAAAATGAATAAAAATACATTGTGAGCTTGACCTTCTATCTACACCAAAGACTTGTATACTTATTCTGCTAGATATACCGAGTGCTTGCCTGATTGCTCATGTTTCTTTCTTTTCTTGTTGCAAATCTGTACTCAATTGCCACTGGTTCCTCTAGTTGTCTTCCATATTTAGAGCCTAGATGGGGAGCTTGATAGTTGCCAGATACACAGGTCTATTTGAGCTTTATTATGTCCATGAGATTAAAAGCTTGATAGTTGCCCTACACAAAGGGCTTGTTTAAAGGTTTAGTTAACCATAATCTGTACACAGTGTAACTATTGTCTTAATTGGTGAATGTTTTAATTTCTTATAAAAAATGTTCTCTTCCAGTTGGATATGTATCTGTTTATACAGTTTAAAATGGAGTAAATTGCTAAATTTAAACCGCTGAATTCTCCTGTGAAGTCAATTTTCAAATGCAACACGAGGATTCTTAAGAAAATTCTGTATGTGGGAAGCATGTACCTTATCACTGACATTTCTTTGCAGTTTGTTCTTTTTATCCAAGTGTTGGATATTTATGGATAAGATTATGATTTATCCAAGTGTTGGAAATTTACCTGTACCGGTCCCTAGGTGGATCGGTAGGGGTCTGATACATACTGGTGCACCGAAACATGGTATGCTGGTATACCGATCAGCATCGAGAAGGGGGGAAAGAAGAGGAGAAGGACAAGGAGAACGGGGAAAGAAGAGAAGGAGAAGATTAAGAAGGGGAAGAGGAGAAGGGAAAAATGGTGAGGAGGAGGAAAAAGTATTGGGGTAGTGGGTGGGCGATGGTGGCAGTAGCAAGCACGGGTGAGAGAGAGAGAGGACCAGACCCCGGAACCGGACTGGACCAGACGAAAAGCCATGGTCTGCATGCTAGTTAAAGCTCGGACTAGGAAACACTGTTTGGTGGTTATTGGTCCAGGCAAAATTTGATACCAATGTTTGTTTCTACTTTCTCCTTTTTATCATAGAAAATTGGGCATCATGAAGTCCTAAAACATTTTACTTCGATATTTTTGCATACTTGTAGATGTCAATGGTACAAAATGTACCATGCGCATGTTAATAGTTCCTTCAATTTTTGCAATGTAATTTTCTTGTGTCTAGGTTGCTTTGCATGCCTGTATAATTTATAAAGATCTGTATATAAAATCTTGGTTTCAGAGTTCCCTTTTCTTTATGCAAGTACGTTCTAGTTCTTCCACATTATCTTACCTTCTTACACAGTTGCTCTCCTTTGTTAGGTATCGATAGTACACTCACAAAGTCAGCCAAGGATCATCTGAAGCCAGTCATATCTCTTGGGGCATCAGATGCTGCCCTTGCACCTCCAAAATGGGACTACAGCCAGTCCTTTGTAAGTTCGCATTGGTATTTTTGGAGCTGTTAAATGATTTGTTTATATGGAACACCCTGTATCATCAAATTCATTTAACTAATTTGCTTCTGACATTAGGGCTTCTGGATTTCTTGTTGCAGGCTCCTGTTCCATACCCTTATGCTGACCCATATTATGGTGGTATCTTTGCTGTGTGCGGACCACATGCTGTGGTAAGTGTATCAAACATATTTTTTTTTGCTAATTTTCTCTGGCTTTCAATTGGACATACATGTGGTTGCTCCACCATTTTTAAGTAGGGCTGGACTATGCTATGGTTTCTATCTGTTGGTATATGCATTAAAGATTTCACTTTCATTCTGGTCCATGGAGTGTTTTTTTTTTTTGTTTCAATACTTTCGGCTAGAGTTTTTAGACTTTGATGGAGAGAAAAAACATAGGAAGAACAAATCAACAATGAAAAACTTTTGCGCATCATTCGGGTAGCTTTTGTGTCTTTGTAGCAGTCTTAATTTTCATTCGTTTGCTATTAATCAGCAAGTCGGGTATCTTTGCTGTAAGCAGACCACATGCTGTGGTAAGTGTATCAAACACATTTTGTTTTGCTAATTTTCTCTGGCTTTCAATTGGACATACATGCGGTTGCTCCACCATTTCAAGTAGGGCTGGACTATACTATGGTTTCTATCTGTTGGTATATGCATTAAAGGTTTCACTTTCATTCTGGTCCATGGAGTTTTTTTTTGTTTCAATACTTTCAGCTAGAACTTTAAGACTTTGATGGAGAGAAAAAACATAGGAAGAACAAATCAACAATGACAAGCTTTTGCACATCAGTCACATGGCAGTCTTAATTTTCATTCGTTTGCTATCAATCAGCGAGTCCAATCTTGATTTTGCACATTGGCCAATGGCAACCATAGGAAGAATTTCGATCGGCAAGTGCATACGATATAGTTGCGACTAACAATTAGGAAAATACAACATGCAACAATATACATCATAGGAATTATAGGATCCCGTGCACATTACTAGTGTCGACCTGTAGCGTAAAAGATAAATTTTCATTGATTTGCTATCTTCATTTTCTTCATATGGCATGGTGCTACTCTACCTGCAGATTCAACCACAAATGACGGGAATAGCATCCCCTGCTCGAGTTCCACTGCCGCTTCAACCTGCAGCGGAAGAACCCATTTATGTCAATGCAAAACAATATAATGCAATACTTCGAAGGAGGCAGCTGCGTGCAAAGTTGGAGGCTCAAAACAAACTCATCAAAAATAGAAAGGTATACGTTTCTGTAAGGACATAAGTCGTTATCTTTTGTTTAAATATTTCTTCTGTTTCGTTACGCGAGTAAGAAAAAGAGAATTAATTGCATTGCCAAATTAACATAGACCTGATTTTGCATATATGCACAACTAACAACTAACTCTGAAATGCTATCGATAGGAACAACTAACTTATGCCTGTATCTTTTCAGCCATATCTTCATGAGTCACGCCATCTTCACGCAATGAAGAGGGCAAGGGGATCCGGTGGACGATTCCTCAACACAAAGCAGCTCCAGCAACAACAGCAGACGCAGGCTTCTGCCATGTCAGGCCGTAAGCAGCTCACCGGTTCAGAGCTCCGCCCCATTGGTTTGGCTGCCACTTTGATCGACTCTGAAACCGCAAGTGTCTCTACAAACAGAAGCATGTTAGCGCAACGGGATCGCTTGGGCTTCCCCTTGCCCAATCTCCTCCATTCAAGCATGGGAACAACAAGCAATCAAGGTGGCAGCAGCATGATGAGCAGTAATTCGGAGCTCCAAGTCCCACCCATGCGGTAAAACTTGGGGAGCCAACCGAGAGTGAGGAGATTGTATCTCGCTGTGTCTCACGGTGGTTCCCCGGCAATTCATCCTTGGCTTTTGGCATCTCATCCGAAATGCTTCATTTGACATGGTACTAAAAAACTCTAGTTTGGTAACTCAGAAACTCATCAGTGTTAACCAGTACAGAGCTTATCGTACTCGTCCTTTAATTTGTACCAAGTAAAGAGATAGCAAGTGCGACTCAGAGACCTCCTTCTCAAACAAATGCATGGATTCCATCTCCATCCTGTTTACTACTTAATGCATGAATTCTCCGAATCTGATAAGACATGCTGTGGATACATGGCTAGCCAAGGCATTATATTCCCGAAATGATTTGATGTGATTGTTACTCTTCCGATCGGACTTCAAACAGCCATATCATTTGTATGATTAATTTACATATGAATACGGTGTTAACAAAACTGTGCATTTACTCTATTCCACACATACGAGACCGAGTTTTGTTTGGTAATGGCGATCGATCCGCGAAGCACGCTCACGCGGGTCGCGATGAATCACATGGCTTGCAGTCATCCGCAGACCACTACAGTATAATACTTAATGAATGCCGAGATCCATGGCTTGTATTGGTCGACGCAGAGACCGAAACAATAATTGTGAGTTGGGGACAGATGCCGACGTCTTGAAAGCTTGTATTCATTGACTTGACTCAACAAAAGGATATTATAAGATATTCCATAGCTTTCGTTTGGCCAAATAATATATATGCTACACAAATGGCAGTGCGTCTTTGTATAAGAAAGCCAGGATCGAGGAAGGAGAGTCACGCCTGGTTCATCATCGGAGCTAGCGAGAGGCTCATCTTCTCTCAGGTACTGTTCTTTCTCTCATGCGGATTTCTTCATCAATGGGCTGAGTTATTCACTGTTTCAGTCAATGAATGTTATGCTGATTGATTTGAGCAAGACAAAAAGCCATTATCTTGCACTTGGATCCACATCTGGATCTCGTTACTCCATTTTTGGAACTTGGAATCTTTCCATTTATCTTGTAACTTTCCCTGAGAATAGTGCATCTCTGGTGCTGAAGGAGGGGTTGGGTCGAGTTCATCTGAGATCCTTCCTCTCCCATCTCTTCCTCCACTTTTAATCTATACAACTGCGTCTTTCCCTTTGTCTTCTATAGGAACCCTATGCCTGGAATTATTTTTACTTTTAATCTTCCTTTTCTTCATCAGTAGGAACCCCATGAGTAGTCATATGATCTTTATTATTTTGGATCTGAGTGAATGTGCAACTAAGAAATGTTTTCAGTGTTCCACAAGCAATAAATAGATGGAAACTTTATTTTAAATATGTATCGATTTAAATTTTATTTGGTAAAATTATATTTCAAAAATCTATTGAATATTTTTTTTATAAATTTATCATTCTAATATTCTTGATATTTATAAAAATATATATATATATATATATTTTTTTATTTAAATTAAAAATAAATAAATAAATATATATATGTATGTATGTAATCTTATTAAAAAACCGTATGGCTCCATGGCAATCTTATAATTTTAAATAAAATTATATGATATTTTCAAAATTTATAAAATGCTAATATTATCCTAAATTAATATAAGTACTCGAGTATTTCTAATCGAGGCTCGATGTGATTTAAAAAAATATTAAGTATTAATTCATATTTGAAATGTATATTCGATTTTCAAATACATCTATACAAGTTTATGTTGTTTATTTTTTTATTAGTTTTATATATTTATATTTTTAATATATATATATATATATATATATATTAATAATTATATTTTCATTGTACTATTATTTGAGAACGTCATTATTTAATATTTTTGAAATTTTAAAATAATTTATTATATTTTGCATATTCAAAATTTTATACTACTTATGATTACGTAATCTTAATTTCGAATTATTTTAAACTTGCATCTTATTACGTTGGAAAGAGGTCAAAAGTCAACATTGGACAATAACTTGAGCCAATTCGGTGACAAGGATAATTATATTTTTACTCCATAGCAGAAATTAATGAGATTATATCCATCAACACCAAAAGTAGAAATTAGTTTTCTGTTTGACTAATTTTGACTGCATGACTCTGTGGACAGAACCCAACATGGAGTCTTTTCTCATTCTCGTTGCCGAAAAGATTGCCGTGGCCATGGCGGGCGAAGCCATACAGGCAGCTATGGCCTTCAATTTAGGAGCCGAAGAATCGCTGAAGACGGAAGTTAAGGAGACGATCAGACGGATCAGAAGCGAGTTCGAGCACATGCAAATATTTTTAAGCTCCGTGGACATGCAGAAGTATAACACCACCATTGAGCCATGGCTGAAACGAGCGAGGGAGATAGCAGATTCCATGGAAGACGTGATCGACGAGTACTTGCATATTACCGTAGAGCGGTCACAGGGTGGACTCAGATCCTTTTTTAATCAAGCTGTGAGAAGTCACAAAAAGAGTAGCGCCTGGAATCTCATAGCCAATCGGCTGAAAGTTATAGAGACTGGCCTATCCCATCTCGAAGCCATGAAGGATCGCTATGACATCAAGAAGAATGAGTCCGAAGTAGATGATGATGACGCCGAAGGCGAGAATGCAAACGGCCTTGTCGGAAGAGTCTTCAATTCGTCGAGATCAAACCCTGTCAGGGAAGAAGACGACAATATTTACAGAGAACAAAGGAAAATTTTGTTTCAGCTGCTAACAGATGAAACGTCTACACGCACGGTGATATCGGTTTGGGGCATGGGGGGTGTAGGTAAGACCACCATGGTTGACAAAGTTTACGGGAACCAGGAGATCGAGAATCGCTTCGACTGCAAAATCTGGGTCACCGTTTCCAAGTCTTGTCGAATCGAACATTCGATGCGAAGAATTCTCAAGGAACTGCTGGACGCAGATCAATCGGATCATGATGGTTATGGGTCGTCGGACCTTAATCGTGTACAGGAGGACGTTTGCAGCATTCTACAGGAGAAGAGGTACTTGCTGATTCTCGATGATGTGTGGAGCGGAGAGCTGTCTTCCTATGTGCAACGTGCTCTTCCCGATAACAATCGTGGAAGCAGAATAGTGATAACGACACGGCTAAACGAGGTAGCTTCGACATCAGAAGAGACGCACCGGTTGAAGCTTCGGAAAATTGAAGATGAAGGCCAAGCGTTCGATCTGTTCTGTCGAGAGGTATTCTGGCATGCCGACGACAGGCGTTGCCCCAAACACTTGGAGACGGTGGGGAGAAATATTGTCAGGAAGTGCCAAGGCCTGCCACTGGCCATCGTGGCCGTAGCCAGACTCATGTCACTGAAAGGGACGACCGAGGCGGAATGGCAACGCGTTTACAAAAAGCTCAGCTGGGAGTTCGCTAACAATCCAAGCTTGGACAACCTGAAGCATGTTCTGAATCTGAGCTACGACGATCTACCGAGTTATCTGAAGAACTGCTTCTTGTACTGCAGCGTCTTCCCCGACTACAAGATCAAGAGGAAGAAGTTAATAAGGCTTTGGATCGCCGAAAGTTTCGTCCAGGACAGGGAAACACAGACGGTGGAGGAAGTGGCGGAGGAATTCCTGGAGGAACTCGTCCATCGGTCCATGCTTCACGGTGTACAGAGGAATAGCTTCGGAAGGGTGAGGAGATGTGGGATGCACGGATTGATGCGTGAATTGACTCTACCCACAGCCCGGAAAGAAAATTTTAGCATGGTGTGGAAAGAGTCGGAATCATCGGGAGGGTTGGGGTGCGAAGCACGTCGGTTGTCGGTGCACGACTACGCCGCCAACAGCGCCTTGTTCCACATGGATTTCTCTCGCATTCGCTCCTTGCTTGTGTTCAAGCATGACTCCTCCCTGACCACCTTGCTGAAGACGGTGTCACGTAATGCTAGATACTTGAGGGTTGTGGATCTGGAAAGCGCAGACATGGACAAGGTTCCTGATGTGTTCATGGACCTAATCAACCTGCACTATCTGGGGCTAAGGAAGACGAAGGTTAAACGCCTTCCCGACTCCATCGGAAGGCTCCGCAATCTGCAGACCTTGGATCTCCGCTACACTAAAATAGAGAAGCTGCCCAAGGGGATAAGCCAGTTGAGGAAGCTGCGATACCTGCTGGCTCTCAGGTTGAACGACAGAAGCCGTCGATCATTCGAATTCGTCAGCCATGTCAAGGCTCCGGGCGGCTTAGGCCTGCAGAATCTTACGAGCTTACAACACCTGGACATCGCCGCCGACGAGGAGTCGTCGATGAGGCAACTCGGCTACTTGACCCAACTCAAGGTGCTCATCGTATCCAAAGTCAAAGGCGTGCACTGCCCGCTTCTGAGCGCCTCAGTGTCGCACATGACTTCCCTCTATAAGTTGAGCATCACGGCCTACGACGAGAAGGAGGTGCTTCAGTTGCAAGACTTGGGCCACTGCTTCCAAAACCTGCAGAAGCTCCATGTGCAGGGAACGGTGGTGGGACCGGTGGTGGTTCAGGAGCAACGCCGTGCGGGGATGCGGAGGGGAAGAGAGGTTGAGGTCGTGGCAGGCGGTGGCCTGCACGTCCATGATTCCCAATTGCTGCCTCCCTCCTTCCGTTCCCTGGGAGAAAGGCTTCGGGAGCTGTGCTTGGGCTGGAGCGGACTGAAAGAAGATCCACTCCCGGCACTCTGCCACCTCCATAACCTTTCGGTGCTTTTCCTACGGCAGGCATACCACGGCTTGCAACTACGCTTCAAGGAAGGCTGGTTCCCGAATCTGCAAGAGCTTCATCTGCTTCATTTACCATACGTCAACAGGATGGTGATAGAGAAAGGGTCAATGAAGAGCCTTCGTTTGCTTCAAATGGAAGGCCTGTCGGAGTTGATGCTGCTTCCCAAAGGCATCGAGCATCTGACGTCCCTGCACAAGCTCTACTTATCGGAGTGCAACAATTTCTTCCTCTACGCAATCCAAGAAGACCAGAGAAAGCGAGTAGACCACATCCCAAACATTTGGCACGCCTACCTCGCTGACGGTAAGAAGATCATTGAAATCTTGAGCAGGCCCACGACTCGTTCACCTCGTCCGCAGGTACACATACATATATATGTACACATTCATATATATGTACATACATGTGACTCTGATTCATATGATGACTTGCAGGAGGAGGAGGAGGAGGATCGGAAGTCCGTGCCACCGTATCCATTTCCAACCCCCAGCGAAACAGGGACGGACGAGAATGTTTATTCGTACTTACCTCCATTCGAGACGAGGTCAGAGATGAATGAAAGGGGGACATCTAATTCATATCCATCCCCCCGCAAAGAGAAGAAGACAAACCGGCCTACCATTTCGGAGCATCCTTCGCTCTCCGGTGAACAACCGGAATTCGTGCCCGTAGTGGATGACAGTTCACAGGCGAGTGACTTTGAAGAGGAAGAGCAAAATAATAAGGTAGGCTTTACTAGAAGAAGAAGATTTTGATTCGTTATATTTACATCACCGAACACTACTACTACTACAACTACAACAACAACCACAACAACGATCTTTAACTTATTTATGCCAACGGTTTACAACCGCGGTCACAACTGTACCTGCCGGTAAGAACTGTGGGTAACAGTTATGCATATATACCTTTTTTTTTTTCTTTTTTTAGTAATATTAAACATGTCATGACTTACAGGCTGATGGTGGTGATGATGATAAATTTGCGCCGTCGTTTCCAACCCAAAGCGAAATGGAGATACGTGACAATGTTGATTCACATTTAGATCAACCCAAGACAAAGATGGAGGTCACCCAAAGCGAAACAGAGATATGCGACGACAAGGTTGATTCTCATTTAGACCGATCCGAGGCAAAGATGGAGATGACTCAAAGCGAAATAGAGATACGTGACGACAAGGTTGATTCGCATTTGGATCAATCCGAGGCAAAGATGGAGGTGACCCAAAGTGAAATAGAGATACGTGACGATAAGGTTGATTCGCATTTAGATCAATCCGAGGCAAAGATGGAGGTGATCCAAAGTGAAATAGAGATACGTGACGATAAGGTTGATTCGCATTTAGATCAATCCAAGACAAAGATGGAGGTCACCCAAAGCGAAACAGAGATAGGCGATGACAAGGTTGATTCACATTTAGATCAATCCGAGGCAAAGATGAAGGTGACCCAAAGCGAAACAGAGATACGTGACGATAAGGTTGATTCGCATTTAGATCGATCCGAGGCAAAGATGGAGGTAACTGAAAGGTGGACATCTGATTCGAATACCAAATCCCCAGAAAAGATGATGACAAACTTACCTACCATATCGGAGGAGGCTGATGAAGAAGCCGAATTAGTGCCTACAGTGGATGGCAAGACAGTGGATGCTAGTGATGGAGAGTAGGATCAAACTAATGACCTAAGTCATGCTAGTAGAAGGTATCATATGTTGTTGTCTTCATTTCTCTTTTAAGTCTTGAAAGTTGTTTTGCATGAAATAGTCAGCTAGTTAGTAGTGTATCAATCTTGTGATGGTGTTGGATTGATAATATTTTTTATCTTATTTAATGTTAGAATTGGTACTATTGGGTTATAAATATACATGTGTGTGTGGTATGATTGAAGTACAGTAAACTAAGGTTTGACTTTACTTTTAAAAAAAGGTTCGAAAAATATTAATTATAAATATAAAAAATGATCTTCTATTAAATTTTAGAATGATAATAATGACGAGATAATAGAAGAAAAAATATATAACTATCAAACTCCCAACATGAAAATCTTTTACCTCTACACATCTCTCATGTGAAAAATAAAATCATTATTCATTGAAAACACTATTTATATAGTATTTGATTTGTTAATAATCCATTCTCCAATTACTTGAACTACAATTTTTTCACCTCTTTATATAGACCTTAGATATGAGACTTAAAATAAAACATATAGAAATGAAAAAATATAATTTCATCAAATCAAGTATACGATGAAATTTTGATCGATAAACATTCATATAAAATTTTAAGATTTCCGATCAAGATTTCTAATCCTTAATCAAGATTGAATATATTTATTTTTTATTTGCTTTCTTGTCTTCTCGCTAAACATATATTATCAAGTGAGACCCTACGAAGAATATCTATTAACTAATTAAATTTATTCAAATAAGAGATAAATTAAATTGGTTCTGCATCATATAATTGAAATATGAATCGGTCTTAATGATAAAACATCTTGACTAAATTAAAAGTTCAAATACTAAATCTACTGTATGATAAGTAGTAACTAATTTTTTTTATAATAAAAGATTAGAAAAAACTATGAGGCTCCGTCGATATTTAAGTCAATAAGAGACTCGAGATAAAATTTTTAAAAAATAATTTAAAATTGTATAATAGGCTCATATTTATATATTTGCTAAATAATGAATATATAGAATAATACTTTTTTTCCTCAAACTCATGCTAACACTTAGGCTCCACACGTTGACATCTCATCGGCGAAATATATTGACCTTATGATCGATCTTACTCGAACGAGTTGCTGTCAACCCTATGCCCGAATGAACCCAACCAGCCAATCCAATTCGGCCCAACATGTATGTATTTCGATCTTTTATTTGGATGATCCATTTGAGTTCAGCTATGTCAAAACCAACATTTCCTCTGACCGTTCTTCATCGATGAAGACCGGAGAAGCTCTCTTTTCCTGGTTAGACCCTGGAGAATGGATTCTTCGATATGGAAGAAGTTCTACGCATGCACTCACGTAGCTTGCGCTGTCGCCAAGTGAAGAAAGGAATGGTATGCTACCGGCACGAGGCCAAAACAGCGGCTGCAGTCGACCGAATCATGTCTTCCTGCCTCGAACTGCACTAGTCTTCAACCACAAGGCGTACGAAACCCGCTTCAAATTAACCTTTGATTCCCGAACATATGCCATATGCTTCCTCATCTTCCATAGTGCGCGGTAGTGCCTGCGTTCCCACTTTCTTTTGCTTGTTCAACCCACCTTACCTTCTTACCAAAGCATGAGAGCTCCGAACGCAACCAGCTGTGATGGTGTGAACGGCTCTTTTGTGTTGGTGTTGTTATATGCAATGTGAAAAAAAAAAATTTATGTTAAGATTGAAATCAAATAATATTACATCAGTGTTATGATGTAAACGATGTCATCTGAAAAGAATCTCTGTGTGATCTGCAAAGACATCGTCTTTAGATCTATAATCGCTGTCAATTTATAAGGAGAACGAGACTTTTATTCTCTTCTCTTCCTATTTTTTCACAGTATCATTTAGATTGATAGTTCACAAAAATTAAGAGAAAAACTATAATTTCTTAACTGAGTCTTCTATGAGATACTTAGTTTAATTCTTATATATCCTATCTATTTATAGATGAGATAATAGGGTCTAGAATAAATTATTAACTTTTTTTCATCAATATCTATCATAAAATTTTAATTAGTTTTATTATATATTTTATCTAATTATAATGGATGTATAATCTAACATTAATATGATATTAATATGATGATGTAAGTCACGAGGCATATAAAAGTCTGAAACTTGCCATTGCCACCCAAACTTGGGGCGTCACTGTGTGTGTGAAAACCAGCTCCTGATCTCCCTAAAAGAAGGCTGGTTTTGGTGCATCCCAACGTGTATCAGGCAATCGATCTTTTGGCAAAAGAATACGTTGTTAGCAGAGAGATGCAAGCCACTGGAATTGTTCTTCTTTGCCCGAGTCCATGAGTTGGTGTTGGAACATCACCAAAACCATCATGGTTTTCCAGAGGAGCTTTTGCAAGGCCAGGAGGACCCATCACTCACAACCTGCTTGCATGACCCACACATTTGCCAATACCATTCTCATCCACCACAACAAAGTGCAAGGACGGTTTTGGTCGGTGCAGGAAGCATTCATCGTTTCCACATTATCGAAACACCAAAACCGGAGGCACTGCTAGTTTTTGCTGCTGATTTTGGACACACACCGCCACCAACACCGAAAGGGAAGCAACTCCGGCTTGAAGTTAAAGAGGCAACTGAAATGTCTTCGAGATTGTAGAATCGTTGCAGGTGCAAAAGGTCAGAAATAGCTGATATGAACCCTAAATTACGTGTGAAGCATACCTCATCTACTAGGTAGGATGAACTTTGAGCCAATGTTCAATGTTCTTTAGATGAGATTATTTCTTGCAGTGCTCAATGTTCCAAACAAATAACCTCAACTGGTGTTTCTTGTGATTGTTCTTTAGATGTGGGAGCACAAAGAACTCACCCTCTTCAGCTCGAAACAATTACTTTCCTGACACATGTAAGCTTAATCATTGGACCAACACATGGCAAGTTTTAGTTAAATGAGCCTTTGACTCTGTCTTCATTCCCACCCATCCTTCAACCTTTCATAAATTGGGTGCTCTTTCCTTTGTTCCTTCCTTGTCTGTTCTTTGTTTTGTTTTATCATGTTGAATCTGATGCTCATTTAGATTACCCTCCGAACAATCCAATAAAAGTCAAAGAGCTCCAAGAACAAGAAAGGAATGACTTGTTCTTGTGGCGTGCGTGATGTGCAAGAACTTTCTCTCGATGACCAAGAAGATGTCGAAACATGTGGTGATGGGAGACTGGATGAGATCTTTCCACAAACTTTGAGTGCCAGAAAACTGGAAACTGTTGACCGTGACAATTACTTCCGCTATGAATCCTGACAAGGTTGAGAGATGTGAACTCGGTGAGCTGAACATGGGATGATGGTTTTGTGAATCCACATCCATGATCGAGCCCTTAATTGATTCCCCGACTCCATTTTAGCTGAAGACAGCATTGTTGATTACTTTAATGCCATCACTAAGCTTTAATCCTCCATCCACATCCATGATTGAGCTCTTAATTGATTCCCCAACTCCATTATACAGCATTGTTGATTACTTTAATGCCATGACTAAGCTTTAATCCTCCATCCACATCCATGATCGAGCCCTTAATTGATTCCCCAACTCCATTATAGCTGAAGACAGCATTGTTGCTTACTTTAATGCCATCACTAAGCTTTAATCCTCCATCCAACGCAAATTCTTGCCGTCCAAAATACGATCACACCAAACTTTCTCAAACGTCATGACTGTTCCGACGACTCTCTCTCTCTCTCTCTCTCTCTCTCTCAATTGAGACATTTAGAAATACTTTTCACACTGTAAAATAAATAGCATCAGTATCATTTCATATCAAGGGTGGAAGTAATCCGGAAAGCACGCAAATCATGAATTAGATTTTATTATATTTAATTTGACTTGACGGATGATTAAAATACTTTCTATGATTTTGTTCTTTGATAATGAATCTAATAAAAATATTGGTCTTCGAGAAAATAGCAACCTTCAAAATTAACCAATCACTATAACTGAGCATAATATCTTAACATAATCCAACATAAAAAAATTGACAAAAGTATTCCTTATTATCATCTCAATCATTTCAAATAAATATAGGATAAATTCTTCAAAAACCCTCAAGTTTACGTTACTTTTTACATAACTCTCTTTTATCTTTATTCTCAGGAATCATCTTCATGGTAACGTTATCGCTACGTTGATCTTCGTTCAACACGATGATGGCTCCTAAGATCCTCGAGACCTTTATCTCTCGACTCCACTGGCTTATCCCCGTCTACACCTTCGTCGAAGAAATTGAGGGAGGGAGGTCAAGGGGGTGAGATTATGAGCATCACAAATGGTGATGAAGGGTTGGACTTTAGCCTCATCGTGTACCTACCCTCCGTGTCGCTTGGGTGGATAGAGAATAGTCCATTGTTGCTAGTTGACTGGGCAATGTCACAAGTGTCTTTGACGGGTAGAAGGGAGGAGGCTGTGAGGGTTGTGATGATGATCGTAAAAGAGAGGCATTCTATGGTAAAAAGAAAAGAAGGGCGAAGTGATAAGTGGGTTAATAAGAACAATACCTAACACGATGAGCGAGTGAAATAGTCCAACATGAGACTTTTTCATAAGAACAACACCTAACACTTAAAATCTCACGTCACCTCACGAAGATAATAAAAATTGATTGTACGAGAGTTTTCATCTTTTAAAAATTAAAAAATAATATTTAAAAATAAAATAAAAGGAGTGCTCTTTCGAAAAAATAAAAATTTAGAGACTTTTTTTTAAAGAATTTACTCATAAATATATAATTTTAATTTAATCAAATGGTGATATACTATGGTTCTAGAGGACACGTGGTATGAACGTTGAATTCCATGGGGGCATCAATCCGGTGAACAGTAAGATGGTCAACGGGTCACACCGACGAGGCACCGAACAGGGAACCTTCTCGGCGTCCGCTTCAATTAATGCGCGGACATACATTTCTTTTCCCGCAAGAAGAAAACTGGCCGCCGACCACCGTTTTCATTTCGCCGCAAACGATGGCTCAAACCAGCACCACCACCGTCACGAGACGGGGAACCTTGTTCTCTTTCCCGTTCGTCTTGCTATAAGAACTCGCCTACATGTCCCTTCAAATCCTCCCATCCCAACCCAAAGCAAAGCAAACCAAACCATCACACACGTCCATCTCTCTCCTGTTCTCTTTCAACTCCATTCACCTCATTCTCCATCTGTGCTCTGCAAAGTAGGAGAACAAGAAGCCATGGTGCTCTCCAAGACCGCCTCTCAAACCGACGTGTCCGTCCACTCCACCTTCGCCTCTCGCTACGTCCGCGACGCCCTTCCCAGGTGAAGCGAACGCCTCTTTCCTTCTTCTGCGTTCTCGAAGATGATGATGGTGATGGTGATGGTGATGGGTGTGTGTAGGTTTCGGATGCCGGAGAATTCGATACCGAAGGAGGCGGCGTACCAGATCATCAACGACGAGCTGATGCTGGACGGCAACCCGCGGCTGAACCTGGCATCCTTCGTCACCACGTGGATGGAGCCGGAGTGCGACAAGCTCATCATGGCTGCCATCAACAAGAACTACGTCGACATGGACGAGTACCCTGTCACCACTGAGCTCCAGGTACACACCCTGTCCATCTTCTTCCTCCGTGGGATTACCTGCAGTTGAGTCACACCAAAACCACCAGGATTTTGCGTTGCTCCACTTGCTACTGCTCCTCGGGAAGCTCAATTTTGAAGATCGAGTTCTTCTATGCACTTTGTTTTCAGTTCATAAATGCTATCTGCACCCACAGAAATTGAGTTTTCCCATTGAAGATTGTCCACTGAATCTAGATGTCTTCATTTGATCTAGTCAAGAAATTTAGGCTGTTATCATCAAAATTGTGATTCACATTTACAGTGATCACCAAAACAGGTGGCTGCTGCATCAGTGGGTGCAATGATGCAGCCACTTTGGTCTTCCCAATTGCCTGCCCTACTGGTGAAGAATACTATAAGAAACAGGCCAGAAAAGTATGGGAATGATGAGTCATGACCTGTTCGTCAATTGGACGACCTGTCATTGCCCAAGTTTCAACCATCAGTTCATGTAAAAGAAATTGTCCTCAAAAGTCTAAAAGTGGTGGCAGAGTGTGGATTCTGCACAGGACTTCTTCAACAGAGACCGAATGATGTGATTGCTTTGAGCTCTTCAACAAAAGGCAAACTTTGTTTTTCTTTTGTTATATATGAAGAGAAATCGATTGGAAAATTAGTCTAAAGAGGAGTTTTCAGAAAGGAAATTATATAGCTTTACAAGCCATATGAAGCTTTTCATATGGAATCAGGGGATGAACTTTGTTTCCATGAGAATTTTGACTCTCGGAACAGAGCTTGTTTACGGAACATTCTGTAAGACATTGGTGTGAGCATATTATTCCTCTAGTTTTGCGCTTGATGAAATTTTATTCATCAGCTTGAAAGCATTTGTTTACTGCAGAACCGATGCGTGAACATGATTGCGCATCTCTTCAATGCACCTCTCGGCGAGTCGGAGGCCGCCGTCGGCGTCGGCACCGTCGGTTCCTCCGAAGCCATAATGCTCGCTGGATTGGCCTTCAAGAGAAAATGGCAGAACAGAAGGAAGGCTGAAGGGAAGCCTTACGACAAGCCTAACATCGTCACCGGTGCCAACGTCCAAGTACGCAGTCTTCTACTTACTACCCCATCACAAGCCATCATCTTCTTCTTCCTTCTTATTCTTGCATCTAACCCTGTCAAACGCGGTTCTTTGGATCGAAAGGTTTGCTGGGAGAAGTTTGCGAGGTACTTCGAGGTGGAACTGAAGGAGGTCAAGCTGAGGGACGGCTACTACGTCATGGACCCGAAGAAGGCGGTGGAGCTGGTGGACGAGAACACCATTTGCGTCGCCGCAATCCTCGGCTCCACGCTCAATGGAGAATTCGAAGATGTCAAGCTTCTCAATGACCTCCTGGCTGAGAAGAACAAGAAAAAAGGGTATGTTCCTTGTCCACCAGCTCTGCTCTCAATGGGCCAACACGCATTGAATGATTAGGTTCATGTGTTCCATGATGCAGATGGGACACGCCGATCCATGTGGACGCGGCGAGCGGCGGGTTCATCGCGCCGTTCCTGTACCCGGAGCTGGAGTGGGATTTCCGGCTGCCGCTGGTGAAGAGCATCAACGTGAGCGGGCACAAGTACGGGCTGGTGTACGCCGGCATCGGGTGGGTGATATGGAGGAGCAAGGACGACTTGCCCGAAGAGCTCATCTTCCACATCAATTACCTCGGCGCCGATCAACCCACCTTCACTCTCAACTTCTCCAAAGGTAATGATAGCAGCTCAGAATGCCAAGAATATGGAATTAATCTTCTCCTCCGTCGAAGCAAAGCAATCTTTTTTACTTCCACAGAGATTAAACTGCTACTGTTGACTTCAATTTTTGCTACCCCCTTTTATCAGGATCTAGTCAGGTCATTGCACAATACTACCAGCTAATTCGACTGGGTTACGAGGTAGTCATCTCGCTCTCTCTTTCTCTCTCTCACAAACTCTCTCTCTCGCGTTGACTCCTCGGCATTGTTTTACTGCAGGGATACAAGAATGTAATGGAGAACTGCCAGGAAAACGCCATGGTGCTGAAACGAGGGCTGGAGAGGACAGGGCGGTTCGACATCGTCTCCAAGGACAACGGCGTGCCGCTGGTGGCGTTCTCGCTGAAGGACCGAAGCCGGCACGACGAGTTCGAGGTGTCAGACTTCCTGCGCCGGTTCGGGTGGATCGTGCCGGCGTACACGATGCCGCCGGACGCACAGCACGTCACGGTACTCCGCGTCGTCATCCGCGAGGACTTCAGCCGCACGCTGGCAGAGCGGCTCGTGATGGACGTGCAGAAGGTCCTGCACGAGCTCGACTCGCTGCCGCCTAAACAGCCCAAGGTCAACGGCCACCCACACCACCACCGCAACGGGACGATCCCCAAGAAGTCGGAGCTCGAGACGCAGCGGTCCGTCACCGACGCTTGGAAGAAGTTCGTCATGGCCAAGAAGACCACCAACATCGTCTGCTAGTACTTACAAGTTATTACCAGACATTATTACGATTAAGAGGATTGCTTCTTTTTGTTGTGTACGCTGTTTTAGAGGGACACGAATTGGCAACACTTGCCATACGGTTATTGTTCAAGAGCTAAATAATATGGTGTTTCATCAACTATGACTTCCAATTATCGAGTTTTGTTAGGATAAATATCAATTTTATGGGCCAAAATAATTGCTTTATGATTAACAAAAGGGCTTAGAAAGGACCTAATGTCAAATCCAAGCTGGTTATAGGAACCAGAACAATACTTGCCCCTAATTCATATGGCCAGAGCTATTGAGAAATAGGCATATAATTCAATCTAAAAGTAATGTCGTGGGATGACAGTCAACCAGTGCATGCAATACTAGTCTTAATTCACATTTCAAGAAAAGAATAAAAAATAATAATTTATAACAACACACCATTCAATATAGGTTTAATATAGGGTTAAGGTTCATTTTATTCCCTATGATTTTGATCATAAATCACTTAAGTCCTATAATTTACTTATATCTAAAATAACTCATAAATATTTAAGAACATAATATATAAATCCCTCTCGTCAAGTCTAAATGAATAGACATTAAAGTTTGCTTACGTAACACGTATAATTTAAATTTAAAAAATATTAAAATTCATTTTAACCCTTGTGATTTTTGTCATTGACTACTAAAGCCATTATAGTTTACTTGTATCTAAAAAACTCCTATATTTTAAAAAATATAATATATAAACTCCTTACGTCAAGTCTGAATTAATAAATATTAAAATAATGACTCATAATAAATTATTAATATAATAATAAATATATTTTAAGTTTTAAAAATAAGTGAGATATCTTATCGAGGAAGAGGAAGTGACAAAGGCTATAACGACGAATGAAGACTAAGAGGTAGAGGTAGGAGAGGCCATAAGCAAAAGTGAGGAAGAGCTGAACCACTACATCATAGGTGTGGTAGGTGAGGTTACAGGAGAGGACGAAGTGAAAGATGGTAGGACAAAGATGCCCAGACCACTACGTGCATAGCGTCAAACTAGTCGACACACATCCACTTGAGCTTATCATTAGTGCCAGAGAGGTTGCATGCATACAACACCCTGCTAGGCAACAACGGCTCGATGCTACTGATTATGGTTACTTCCACAACAACACCTCTTTCCATCATTGATGAGTCTCAATTTTTTAAAAAACTTAAATTATATGTATCATTATATTAATAGTTTATTATGAATCAACATGTCACGTAAACAGACTCTAACATTTGTTAACTACAAGCGAGACTTACATGCTATGAAAATATAACGATTATTTTAGACACGAATAAACCATAAAAGAATAAACGATCCATAAACAAAATCACAAAGACTAAAATGAATCTTAATTTATTTTTAACATTAAATTATATTAATAATTTATTATGAGTCAACATACCATAAAAAAATTTATATACTATATTTTTTAAAAAATATAAATTATTTTAGATATAAATATATCATAAGGCTAAAATGAACCTTAACTCTTTAATATATAATCCTTATATAAATGTACATGTAGGAATGCTCGACGATACATATATAGTGCTGAAACTAGAAGAGCACTGTGCAATCAAGCATAATACTTTTACAGGAGATAAAAAGCCGGGGAAAACATAATCAGGTGGATTTATTTACCAGATTAGATTTCATATAATAATATAAAGTATATGCACTCATCAGGAAAATGGTGTACACGTTGGGCATAACAATAAAAAGCCACCAATGCAGAATCATATGCACTAAGTTTTTCAATTAATTTTAAATTATGCTTAAAAAGATAAAGTGCAGAGAATTCATCTGTATCCATGTCCATATCCCAGAGAAAGTTATGACAGTCTAAATCCCCTTCCGGTCAGGGGAAGAAATGCAAGAGGCAAACCCATCATCGCTTAGGAGCGAGAGAAAACGAGGCGAGGAATAGGGTTTCCAAGGATGGGATTTTAGGCATAACCAGACGAAAGAGGAGAGACAATGATGACGGAAAGAGGGAGAAGAGAAGCGGTGGCTTCTTCCATCAGCGAGATGAAGCAGTGAGGAAGGAAAAGGCATTAGGTGCAGCAACATCTAAAAGTTGAAGACGAAAAGGCCAACAATACATTCGGCATTATATGGAATAGCAAGGGCAGGTCGCAATAATTAAAGGTCCACCCACATAAAATATTCCCCATATATGCGAGAGTAGCTTTCACATATGTATGTGATGGATCTTAATACTGCTAATGGTTAACATAGGTAATAAATGCTTCATAAATCATTCAGATTTGGCAGTAAACTAAGTGTCTTGGGGCTCATATGAAGCTAGTATAAAAGAAGCAACCATCAAACACTCGACTAGAAAAATGTTGGACTACTGATAAACAGAACAAAATTTTAATAGTCTAAACTCTAAACTATAGCTTGCATTTATGTTCTAGAATAAGGTATTCAAGAAAAATATACTTTCATTTGAAGAACCAACAGCTACAGAACATTTAACTTTCAAGACAAAGTTTTCCACAAAAAAAAAAAATCAAAAAGGTTCGGTCCGTCCAAGCTTGACAGCACGAGCTCCACAACGATGAAGCTCCATAAAGCTCTTAATTATTTTGTTACTTTGCAGATAGCTCAACAGACGTAAATCTTATGAATCTTATGAATACAAAGGGCATCCATCGTTACCATGAAAACCATGATGATTTAGTGTGCATGTCAATATCAATACAAAATTGGACATATTCTGCTAATACAAATAGCAGAAAATATATGCAAAGCCCCAGAAAAACTGGAAAGAAAACCAACAAAAACAACAAAAGAAAGTCTGTAATAGCTAACCTATACACTAAAAACAGACCATGCACGATATTAAGCTAATATTTAGGAAGTTCTCCCACAATTACATAATGACAATATCAGCAGGAAAGTAACACTGCTTCGTCCATAAGTACATACCACAAGTTATTTCCTCCGGTCAACACCTCTGCAATCATCCTCGAGGGCAAGAGTTAGCATCTCTGTGCAGAATTGGTCGTTTGGGTCCAGCCAAAGAGCCTGTCCAATGAAAATGTAATAATTTCTATAAAAGTAGCTTAAGCATGAAATATGGACCAAACAGAGTGCGAATTAGAATAGGAAAATATGGAAAACAAGTTTGACAAATTAATTAAGTGTTTCCCAAGCATGACTTCCCAATCTAGTCACCTTATAGCTTGAGTAAAAATATTGAGTAATTTTTTAAAAAATAAATGTACAACTATATCAGGTGTCTGATATATGGTACATGGCTGAAAGAAGTGATGCCAGACTATGGCATCCTGCATATAGGCAGAAAATGTTGCCTTCAGCCTTCAGGTCAGCTATCAAGGAAGAGATCAAGGAATCAAAACTCAATTGCAGATATTTATTATGATGTTGCACGACAGCTTTTGATTGGAATGATCCATATCCAGTATATCACTTTAACTATGATAGGATACTCAGGTAGTCAACTTAATTCCTACGTGCAATTCTACACTATGAAAATAATCACTGTTAGCAGAAACATCAGATTTGTCAGCGCTAAGACATCTATATGCAAGGACTATCCCAATTTCAGTTAAGCTGGACAATAACATGAATTACACCATAAGTACATCTTTCTAATGCATATAAATTTCAATTGTGGTTGTATCTGGAAATCTGATGAAACATCTATAGGTCAATTATAATCACAATTTACTCGAAAACTCACCTTGTGGTAGTAGGTTATTGCAGCATCAAAGTTATCCTGTTAAAAATACAGCAGGAATTAATAAAACACTGATACCAAAAAGGCTATTAAATATGTGCAAAAACAGTGCAGCTAAGAAACTAAAAGTCAGAGGGGATTGATCTTCACCATCTCTTTAGTCATTATGATAAAGACTGTTGACATTCCAAAAAGAAGCTAAGCAGAATAAGACAAAACCGTTGAATTTTCTATTCTCATTTTTTTCCTTTCTAATCCTTATTTACTGCATAGACACTTGAACATACATGTAATTCCATAGATCAACAAATGCATGGACCTGAATATATCATAGTTTAAAAAATTGTGCATGCAGTGCTACTGTTCTTTTTGTAACAACTTTCGCTTCAAGTTACCTCAGAGAAATGAAAAAAAAAAAATCCAATGAAAATAAGTGAGAAAAAAAAAATCAGGCCTAAATTCATGCTCCAACACCAGCTTTGACACCTTGTTAGACCAACACCAATATTACCACCTGATGTCACTAAAAAAATAATTTAAAAATGAACTGGATCGGTTCCAAGCTATATAGTCTAATATCAATCCTCAGTCAGAGAGATACATACTGATTGGGACATATCCCAGCAGATATTTGAGACCTTGGTATAGACAGCCTATAAGCTTGTGAAGATACCTGCAGATGATATGTATATGCCAGACCAGCAAATGCACTGAAATTTTGAGTTGAAACAGCCAGGGCCTTTTCATAACAGGAAATAGCCTTCTGGAACATCCTGAAAATACTCTCCCTGATATTAAATGTGCACAATAACAAAAATAATATATCTATTTTCTGCAGAAGTTACACCTTTTCTTTCAAAATCCTTCATATTTGTCCTCCACTTGAAGAGAATAAAGAAGTACATCAAGATTAACATACAGATATCTCCATGCATTCAAAAGAATATATTGTGTAATTAACTGGTTCTCAGCAAATAAGGAAACATTCGTAGAAGCATACAGATCAAATTTTGGGGCCAAACTATTAATGAATAAAAAGAACCACAAGTCTTTTAAAAAGCTTTAGCCTTTACAGCTACACCTGAATTTCTGTCACGTGATTTAAATTACAAGATATACTTTAGAAACTTCATGACACTGGTAGTCAAGCCATTACCAGGAAAACCTTGACCAGGAAGTCCTCCAATTTATAGATATCCTTAATCATTCTAAAGAGATGACATACACATTGGAGCCACTGCTGTATTAAATTTCTATTGTTTTTCCACCACTCAAGGAAATAAGGGTCCTTTTTTTCTCTATTGAGAGTGGCAACAAGGTTTTGACTGGAATAAGTGTCTCATTAGAACCTTTTTTCTTTTGCTGCATGTTAAGAGGGAAACTTCTCTGACATAATTTTTGCTTATTTTGTGAAAGTAGTTTCACGATCACTTTTTCACATATTTAGCACTTGATTATAAACCCAATGCAATTTTCTATATGGCATACTTCTTAAGCTCTTAACACTCATTTAACCTGATGTAGAATTACTCACATAGGATCACACTACGACTTGTCAATCTTCCTAAATGAGGCAGGATTGACTCTAATTATAAACCTCAAGCAACTTGCTTTGTCTTTAAGAAATTGACACCTCTTAAGCTCTCAAGATTGAACCATGAAACCTGACATCAAATTTAAGATACAGGAACATGGGTGCAAATATAAAGCATCTTGATTGACTCATGTAATGAATACTTTTCTCTTCCAATTGTGCTATTACATTATGAAGCATCTTAAAGCATCTTGTTTCTGAATACTAACAAAAAGTCACAGATGGGTAAATCAATATTATTTGCCTTTCCAGGTTGCTTCTTTTTAAACCTGTGCAAGTCTTACTCTGCTTCACAGGTTGCTTCCTGTTGAACAAGTGCAGGGTTGTAAATAGTCCTAGTCTTACATATGATGATGTCATTGGAGTTGTCAAATCTAGTTCTGCTGAAACTAATTGCAACTAAGAGGAAATGCTATACCTTGAACTATGCAAATTTAGCTAATTAAGCTGTTTTCTTACATCATATGCTATGGAAAACTCCTGCATATTCATACCAGATGTACCATAATGAGATCGTGGTGCTAGAGCATCTCAGAGCACCATTATGAGCTGTTTAGTTGCAGATAGTAAACAATTTGGCACAACAACTAATATACCCACATCAAGTTGTCTAACTTGGGCCATGCCTAGAGGCGAACATAAAAGAGGAATGATTACTGATAATATAGCTTAAAGAAAATTTGATATGTTACACAAGTCAATCTGAAGTGTGTAATGTTCAAATGTATGCTACAAACACTATAGTAGACCAAGAAAATGTAGCTGAATCCTAAAGGTACAATAAATTCATAGCAGAAATTATGTAGATAGACAACTGAACGTACTTAAGTTTTCGTAATGCATGTGCAAGGTTTACCAAAGTAGGTTCCCACATTTCACTTAATGAAGATGAAACACAATCTAGGGTCATCTCAAACCACTGAACACCTTTCTGGTATCTACAAGAAGAAGATAATTTGGATTATGATAGAGAAGTACAAAAGCATTATACACACTAACATTCATCATATGCTGAAAAAGCAAAGGAAAATAGGTAGTAATGAACATGCAAAACAGCTCATAGTTCATCGAAAAAAATTGCTTGGATGGGTATATACAATGTGAATTCAATTTCCATATTTGACTGTTGCAATGGGTGTACACTTGGATGGCTGAGGAACAGCCTAGGCAGATATTGCAAACTAGAACAAACTCTTCACCATCATGTTAAGAATAGTACATATCTCTGCTAGTAGGTTGATAACAAGTAAAGATGCATAAATTGATTGCAAAATAAGAACCAGTGCTAAAAACCGGAACATAGAGAGGATGATTTTTCTTACTCCTTCATATGATAAGCAACAACTCCAAGTTCATTATATACAAGTGGATCAGAAGGGCATATCTTTTTGGCCTGCAAAAAGAACTGAAGAGAAAGCACATTGAGAACATCAATAAACGATGTTGTACACAAGTCAAAACCACCTATTACATCATTTCTTGTTTAAAAGCTACTACAGTCCAATTATAAAACAAGTTCTCCGCTACTTTTAACACGCTACAGCAAGCATTTACGCTTAAGAATCATTTTGAGTGGAAGAACTTCAAGCAAACATATGATTATTACTCCGAAGCTTTTAAAAGAAAATAAACAAGAACTAGCTATTCATGTACAACTCAAAATGCAGAGTTACATCTTTATGGACTTAAGTTCTATCAAACTATAATTTCGTATATCATCCCCAAGACTAAAGTCCAAAAATCCTAAAACAACTTAGAGTCTCATTTCTTGTAAGTGATGTCATAACTCTTGTTGTAGCATCTTCTTCAATTACAGTTGGCCTGAACTTAAACCCTTTCTGAAAATGTATCCACGGGACAAAGTTCAAGGTTCATCTTCCTCACCAACCATACTTCAAATTTTAATTTTCACACTGAAACACAAGGGCTTCCCACTTTACTATTTGTTTAATATTTCATTATAGACTGAGATGCTCTTCGCTATAAAGAAACACAAGATGTCCAAGAAACCATAAGATGACTACCCAATTTAATATTCAATGAAATCCTCAGTGCATAATAGATGTTGCAGCTTAGGTGATATTGAATTAATTCTTCTAGTCATGAAATTCAATTCGGGTAACAGACCCCAGTCGATCCATGGTCGGGCTGATATGGGTACAGTCCATGCCAGCATGTACTGTGGTACTGTTTTACTGGCTTGGGAAGGGGAGGAAGAAGGGAAAAAAAGGAGAAGGAAGAAGGCGAAGAAGGAACAATGAGGAGGAGGACGAGGAGAAGAAGTAGAAGAAGATGTCCTGGTCAGCCAAGTGCAGCAAGCAGTGATGGTGGGAGTTGGAACTACAGTGCAGAGAGCAGCTCCCAAGGAGTCACGCATCTACAATCCATGAAAAGAGAGCCAGAAACCACAAACACATGCTTTAAAAAAACAAAAAAACAGACCTGACCAAAGGGGCAGTTATATATGTATTGTATAGCCTTTTAAATGGGTTGGTTGCCTTGATGATTAGGCACCCATCTTGATTCGGACAGAAACTTCAGAACTTTTAGCCATGTTCATGTTTAGATGGTTTTTTCATAGTTTAGTTCTACTTACTATATTGTTGGTTAAATTTATAGTTTTCTGTCTCAGGTTGTAAATACAATCTAATTTTTCTTACACTCATATTCTACGATAAGCTAATAGAGGTGTGGCCCCAAGCAACACAACGATGACTACCTTTTGAAAGTGCTGCCTACACCAAAACCATTGTGAGAAACACCGTCCTCATGAATAAAACACCATTGACAAAAAAGAATCCTTAGCCATCATTTATCAAGTATTGCCAACATCAGTAGGTGATCTATAATATTCTCATCACAACCTTCATGTGGGTGTTTGTCTTTGTCTGTGGCGAGCCACCACTGAAATCTTTAACACCAAGTCCCCATCGGAGCATAAGGAAAAACAATAAAAATATATATATACATATATAAATAGAGATATACAGATGAAAACATGGAAAAAGGAAGCTACAAAATAAACAACCAAAAATGGCAAATGAAATCAGAAATCTTTTAGATTTTCAAAAGCTGCAGCATCATACCTGTTCTGCAAGTTTGTAATTGTGTGTTTGCATGTATTCCATTCCAATATATAGTGCTGGCAGATGACACCTGCATCAGGTTTCAGAAAAGATTCAAACTCTAAATATGAATCCAGATGTAAAAGGTTGAAACTGCAAGCACAAGACAAAAGGAATTTATTGCCATTGCTCGTAGCCAAAGTAGAAACTGTTAGATAAAAACTCTTATGTTTTAGATATCATATATAAAGATTCGATTGCAATTGTTCCATAATTTTTAGAGTTTAATGTATCAAACAAATGCAATATACAATGATAGGATGCCAAAATGTCCCAACAAACAAATGCAATATATAATATCAAATTTAGGGTTAGATTTTTATGGAGAAAATTATTAACATGATAATTTTGCATTCTTGAATCTTAGCCTTAGATAAGCAATTGCATTAGTATCTCTGTACCAAAATTCAGACAAAATGCATAATAGAACATTAGGTGGAAGCCACAGAAAAGGATATTTATGATGTATAGCATATAGACCTTCAAAGAAATAAAATGAGGAATAATTGAAAATCGATACCTATGTCAAGGAATTACTATTGGGATCATCAATAAATAGAACATACACTCAGTGTGAAGCAAAAACCTGACAACTAATAGATTTAGCATACAGAAGGAACAAAAGAATCTTTTCTATTCACTGAAATGACACGTTTCTAGGCAAATTAGATCTTATCAGGAATCCAACTTTGCCTGCATAGAAGAAAGCAATAATCTAATTTACCCAGGAAACAAGCGAGCTCCAGAACGAAACGCAGCCATTGCTTGATCACCCTCACTTTGAGCAGCATAAGCATTACCAATACCTACCCAAGCAGGTGGAAACGACCCATCTATAGTTGTAGCCTTGCTGCACATGATCATGAGATGCATTTGCACTTTTAATAGATGGATGTAAAAGTCAAACCATATAAACCAACGAAGCAATGTATGGACATGAATACAAGCAACATAAGCATGCAACACAAAAATGATCTTATTAATGATTGCAGTAAAAAACTTCAAAAAGATAAACTCTAGAAGTTCTAACCATGCCAATAGTGACATGAAATGGAAATAATCAAGTTGAAGGCACAGATAATCAATGCTCTTATGGTAACTAGCAGACATAACGAAGGATCATCATGAAGAAAAGCATACCTTTTGAACATGTAAGATTTATAAATTGAGTTCATGTCAAAAACTAAAAAAAGTCAATAATGCAATTGCATTACATTGTAGTACAACTGGTCTGCGGAAAAACAACAGATATAGTACAACTGGTCTGCTATTACAGTGTAGTACAACTGGTCTTCTTAATCCTTTCAATTCTATTACATTGTAGCACAACTGGTCTGCTAAAAACAACAAATATAGTGTCTACAATCATCTCAACTCAAAGAATATGTAAAAGGTTTTAAGAATCATAAGAAAGAAGTGCAAAAAAAATTTAATTACAAAGAAATGCTAGTCACACATACTTTAGGTGTCACAAAAAGAGGATCAGCCTTCATCCTTCTAAAACAATAGGATTAACATCAGGGTAACTTAATAACATGCTGAGGACAGAGTTACATATCATAATGGCTAGTAACTATTTATTCCAAAATCTAAGTTCATTCCAAGGTCAGAAAAGCAATGCTGTCTTCTTAATAAAAGGTGATCAACAATGAAACCTGTCGATAAAGGAAACTTGAACATAACAAACAAAAATAAATGGCCACCAGATACATAATAGTAATAAGATACACATTTAGAAATGACATAGCAATTACCAAAAGTATCTTCGTGATTGATCATACTTCTTGATACAAAAGTAGTAGCATCCAACAGAAAACCAGGAGAGAGCTCTAAAAAGAAGAAGAATTTGTCATGATCAAAATAGTGGACATCTCTGTCCATAATAACATAATCAATAATAATATATCTTGTAGCATCTTAAATAGCCATAACCATGTCCAACTAAAAGACTGCAACTTCACAAGATAACACAGTGCCAAAGTTACTACTATAGAAATAAAAATCTAGTTATTTCTTACCAGTCATGACTTGTACCAAGAAAATATATTGTTGAGTTATTTGCTATGTCAAGGTTCGTGGACATATCATTACCATTGACACAGTTTTTCATTATTTCTTCTAAGTTATGAAGCAACTAAGTTTTCACTGCCAACATCTGCAGGTACAGGCTTACGAGCACACAACTATATGGTAATAAAGTATAGCAAACTGCCATGTCAGTTTTCCCCAAGGTCCTATCATTTTTATTTAGAAAATTTGACAACCAGGCAACCGTGGCACACAACTATGAAGAAAGGACTCTTCAAAATGCTTGTCATGTCCGTGTCCGACACCAACGCTTACTGGACATTTTGGCATATGTTAGGAAATTCAAGCATATTAGAGACTTGTACCCCTTACACATATTTAGTATAAACATATTTGATTTATATTGGACTATTAATCATCCATATAAGGCTTCAAGATATGCCAAGTATTGATAATATGCGTATAGTTTACACTTAACTTCCTCCAGAATGTTTTACATATATGTTTGAAGTAGTTTTATGAACATATGCTACTCTATAAATGGTTATGTTTTTTAAAATTTATATATAATCATCATAGATTGTCTATATTGCACAAAAGTATAAGATTACAATAATATATGAAAATATGCATGCACTAGTCATATTCTTCATGTGAGTCCATCTCTTAAAAGATCTGCCACGACAGCATAGCCATACATGCAGTGTTTGTGTCCCATCTCCATGTCCATGTTTCATAGTTAGATAGACGGAAGTTTACCAAGATAACATGCATTACGGCTCAAGTTCCTGAGCCTTCTTCACCCCAAACACAAGCCCTCAGTTCACATGCAATTGCACACCACTCGTTATGCACAGGTATGCTTCCTCCTCTTCGTCCTCTGCTGTCTCCTCTTTTTCCTTTCGCTTCCTCCTCATCCCTATACCAACCCAGCCAAGGACCGATATGGACATTGTCATGACCCGATGGGTTAACTGGCCTATTAATTTTATTAAACCTGAACCACTGAGCTTAAGCTGAAGTTAACAATAATACACTCATTAGACGATTGTAAGTCAATCTTAGTCTTATCCTACTTCCAATGTGAGACTAATCGAGATGTTACAACCTCCTCCACTTAATGGCTTGATGTCCTCATCAAAGGACAACATAGCCGAAAATCAAATCCCAGGTGCATGTGAGGCATAGCCCAATGATGGCTTCATGTTATAATATGCTCTCTGGCCCCGTCCACGTGTAACTCTTTCCTACTCGAGCCTTGCAACATACCCCAAAACTAGATTGGCTCTGATACCAAGTGTCACGACTCGACCTATTGACTTTGTTAAATCTAAAACACCGACTCAAAATGCTTAAGCTAATATTAATAGTTATCTACCCATCAAACATTTATAAGTCAATATTAGTCTTAGCCCACTTCCAATGTGGGACTAATCGAGGTCTTGTTACAAATATGGTATGTGAAACGACAATCCTTGCATTATTATATACAATATGTTCCAATATTAGACAATTTTGGTTTTATGTGTTTTTGATATCCTAGATCATATAGAAGGAAACTGATCTTGGTTGGGAGACTTCACAATCATTATTTATGCAGTCTCATTGGTGCATAAATCATGCAAACAAAAACATATATATGTAGATATATGTACGCATCACTTTAATATATTCAGTTCTATTTCCATAGAGGGCCAAGCAAAAAATCTGGATCACTGGTTCATAAATGATCCTGATCAATGACTAGTTAGGGAGCAAGTACTTCATATTTTTGAAAATGAACAAAAAAGTAATGGCTCTTCCCAAAAGAGAATTATACGGAACATGCATCTTTCATTTTCTCCGGTCTCCCTCTGTCCATTGACTATTGCAACCTTACTAATAAAAAAAGGGTCCCATGTACTATAATCAAACCTACATATGTATGTACAAGTGTATATTTTATAATACATATGTGTACATTTCAAGCCCTTTCCCTTCAGCACCATCTCCATAAGAATATGACTCAAGCTAGCAACATTAGGAATTAGCTAGTGTATATACAAATATAAGTAGACCAATTTCAAATATTCTTCTGAACAAATAAAGTAATTTCATTCCAATCAATGTCTACAGTCTACACTATTATTCAATTAAATTCATGAGAGAAACCAACTTGCTACATAGTTGTCCTTAAAACTTAAGCCTTTTGATTGATCAAAATCCTTGAATCTAATAATGTAATAAAAAATGCATACTAACTTTTGAGGATGATCTTTCACCAAATTGCAGGCCATAAGATAGAGATCATTGGAACGGCCAAGTTCCATCGAAGCCACCAAATGAACTAATGTACATTTCAAATGAAAAGGATCTCTTTCTAAAACCCTGAAAGAAGCATAGATTGGAGTTATATAAAGCCTACCTATATTAGTCAAATTTAGTTAAAACTTTAACATAATTCTTACATGGAAGTAAGTTCAAAACATCTTTGATACTCTCCACTCTGGTAATAGTATTCAGCTCTACGAGCCAACAAGTCAGTGTTGTTTTTCAGTGTCTGGCTAAAAGATGAATTAGAAGATGCAACACCAGAAGTCTCTCTTTCAAGATCTCTGAACTTGGCTTCTACAACATGTTCTTTGACGTGCTACAAAATCAAAAGAAACAGTCAAAATCATATATTTTCTGATGCCAGATATTAACACAGTGCTTACGACATTACCTTCTTTACAAGACATGAGTAGAATGATGACAACCACTTATCATCTTTTCCAAATTGCAAAGATGATAATAGACTTGATTCTGAAATGTGTCGAAGTTTCAAACTTCTAATTTTCAGGAAAATTTGAGATTTGAAAAATCTACATCAAATGAAAATATCTAAACAAACATCAATCAGAACAATTTCTGATGGTCAGATAGAAGATATATATATTGGAACACCAGTTCACTAAGAATAGAAAACAAAATTTTAAGAAGGCTTTTTATTTGTGCATATGCCCCTTCTTTAAATTTGTCATAAAAGAATTAGCAAAATTCTAGTGTTGTCAGAAGATTTTACAGACCGTATGATCCAACAGGTTATCTTTTACCAAAGGTACTATCAGATAGAAAAAGTAACATACTTTTAGGTTGTCAAGTCTCCATAACAAATATCATCCAAAAACAAATTTTCACCAGATAGACTCCTATAACTGTTTGTCAACGGGTTCACAGAAACAGAAGAACCTTTAGAATAATTCAAGAAAGATGTGAAGCATGCCTTGGAATATTCAAAAAAGTTCAAGAAAGTACAAGGACACAAATGTTGTGAACTCAATTTTGCACTCTAGATGTGTTTCATACATGATACCAAGGTTCGCAATATCGTACCGTACCGGTGTTTCGATTTGGGCTCGGTACCGGTACGGTATGGTATACCGAGTGGTACACCCAGGTGTGTCGAGCACTGTAGCAGTGCTACAGTGCTACAGTAGCTTGCACTCAGACCGGTAACAGATGGTCCGCGTACCGACAATCTGTCGTACTGGGCGGTACAGGTCGGTACTGCAGACCATGCATGATACTATAATGTAATTTTATTAAAACCATATGCTCCTTTAATATAGTAATAACAAAAGTTCAAATAGCAGCATTAAGCCAAACGTTAGACCCAAATAATTTGGTATCACACTACAATCTGTCATCCTTTTAATGAAATTAAAGTTTACTGAAAAATGAATAGTGGAAGAAATTTAAATCACCTCTGAGCATTGATGTGCTTATAACCTATGTCATCAAATTTTGGTATATTTGATTCACTATGGTGGCATTCTAAGTCACATATGCACAAAAAAAATAATTAAGAAACACTTAGGAAGATTCATGAAAATTTATGTATAACTAATATCCAATTAAAAACCCAGCTGGGTTTTAGGTACATAAATAGTCCATACCAAATACTCTGGGATCATGCACAGCCAAGATTCCAAGTAAAATTATCTTAAACACTGTACATTACCAAATACTCTGGGATCATGCACATCCAAGATTCCAAGTAAAATTATCTTAAACGTTGTGCATAAGTCCATTCTCTTATTCAGATAGAAACAAAGCAACCAGCAAGCAACACTAATTATACACATTTTTTTAAGAATTAATTTTAGAGTTGGTTCACAATAATGATATCAGTGCTCATATGATTTGTTAACCAAAAGCTTCAAGTAACTTGTATCTGTCAATTTTGTAATCTTACCCTCCTCACACGTGAGCATGTAATTGTCAACCAGACATTCCAAAGCCTGATAGCACATGGCAAAATATGCAGTATAAGACAAAATTAACAAGACAGCTTTCTTTAATGATGTAGCATATACAATCCACAGTAACAATATAGAAAACTGTAAATCAAAATTTCAAAGTACACCATTCGGTGGCAAAGATTTATTTGTCCAAACAATAATGCCACAGATCTCACATGTTAAGCAGAATTAAGAAGTCTAGAATCCAAAACACATAAGGATTCATTGAAATTTTAGTTTATGTCCATGATATCGTATTCAATAAAAATGGTTCATCGGTATGTTCTACCAAAACTGCATGAGATTTGCATTCAATTGATCAAGTCATTGGGAAAATTAAGTATACATTATAACATTCTCCACAGACCAAAACCAGGATGTTATCATTGCAAAGAATTCAAAGGTACCCTACATAAAGTCAGTTGTAAATTGGTTTTCTTTTCCTGGTAGTTAACAAAAACATGCATTCATTATTTGTAACATTTTATTCTCGTCATTTGCATAAAAGCATGAGCTTGCTGATCTTGCAGTGCATAACAATCACAAACACTAAGTACCAACCTAAATTAACCAAGAAACATTTATTCAGCCATTTTATTAAGAAAAGAGAAGTAGCAATATGAGGTTACATGAAGAAATGGTGATGGAAATGACTAGGTTGAGAATCAAAAGAAATTGTCAAGATTATGAAATCTTATCAGGAAATTCAAGTTCATATTCTACATGAAAAATCAATAAGTAATGGTGTCTGGAAGCATTATTTTTTGGAAGCATCTCTGAATTTTTAACCTCTTAACTAACGAGTAATTTAGAAATTAGAACAGCATGCTTTTGGTAAAGAATGATAGAGGAACCATGATAGTAATTTGATTTATGAAGGACGAAGCAATAACATTAACCACTTAAAAAATCTATATTCAGCCTATCAATCAGCCTACAAAATGTTCAATTTCTCCCATTTTGCCTGATATATTAGCTTTTCCCTTCTTTATTAGCTGGTGCAAATCTATAACAGATTGTCAAATACTTGCCTTCATGATGGTTCTTAAATTGTGACCATCCAAGAGCCTAGATTCTTAGAGGGAAGACTCTTTCACTTTAAATTAATGCTAATTTCCTCATATAATTACTTTGTACTAGGTCTGTCATACCGAAGCATACCGCCCGGTACCGCTACAGTACTACAGTATTATACTATAGTACTGCTACAGTATAAAAATAAAAAAATATTCGGTATGCCCTGATGTACTGCCCGGTACACCAATACCATACCATACCGAGCCTGGATCGAAACGCCGATACGGTATAGTACAGCGAACCTTGCTTTGTAGTACAACTATAGAAATCTTCCTAAATACGAAAAGTACCTTAGGCAATCTGACTGCTATGTCAGTGCACTTCCACACTACCTGAAAGTAACTGTCAGAACAAATGATGAGCTAAAAATTTTTCTTATCAGACTTCTCAATAAAGGCATGCCATTTTTCTAATGGTAAGAACTGACTATTGGTTGAACTATCTGATGTTTTATGATGTTATCCAACTTGGCTTGGGATGACATCCTTGTCAGACCCCAATTCAAAGGAATGGAAGGAGCAACTGGTCCTCTTTCATCAGGTCAAGAGTCTCAATGATTTGTAATATTTACTCAGATTGAAGTATAACTAGAACTTTTAAGGCTGAAAATTGTTCCATGTGTCTCGTAAGAGAAAGTGATATGCCCTAACTTGGGAAATGAATTTTAAAGTATGAGATAATGTAAACAAAAAATTTGAAGGTGAGAATTGTGATCACCTATTTGGTAGTCAAAGCAAGTAAAGAACACCAGCCTACATTTGTCATTCTAAATGCATGTTTCAGGTTAATTTCAACTAACAAGCCATCAGCAGTGGTTCCTCACATTGAATCAGGGAACCACTCGAGAAATACTTTAAATTGTTTTAAATTTCTGTGGTGTGCCTCGAGTTTCTATCCTTGTTATATACAAATAAAACAATCTCAAACCTAGGTATTAGTTACACATTTTTTGGATCAGAAGCAAAGATTTATCTTACCTCATAACATAATGCATCTGCTTTAACAGCTGCTTTATACCTTAAACACATTAACCAAAGAAAAGGTTAAGCATATGAATAACTTGCAATGTCACAATAAGAGGTAACCACAACTAAAACACATGATAGAACTAGTAAACGCAAAGGCAGGTCAAAAATTGCAAACAGTTACTTAAAAGTAAATCAAATAAAACTTCTAAAGTGATTCACACAATGTTTATCTTGTATATGAACAAATAATGTAGAAAAACTAACCATTGAAACGCACAGGGAGATTGTTTAGTAAATGACAAGATAAAGAAACACCACAAAAGAATTAACTGAAGTAGGAATTAGAAATATAGAATGATAAATACATATTTGAAAGATATCTTGTTGAAGTATGCATACATGAATTCTTGTTTCCAGCTTCACTCGTCTTGAAGAGATAACAACCTGTTCCACTTCACTCATCTCACCCAGGTAATGGCCTAAAACGTTGAGTTGAGAAACCTGGCAACATAACCAGGTTCTTAGGACAGCATGTGTTATTCCAATTGTCGATTGGCATACAGTGCAAGCATGAAGCCTTGAAAATTGGTCCTTGGGTTCCCACATGTCTAAGAGTTCTCTTAACTTCACAAAGAGAGAGATAAAAATTAGAGTGCCATTATAAGCACATATAGGTTGGTAAATTAACAAAATTTTAGTCATAGTTCCTCCATTCTCGAAAGACCTTACACTAATTCTTAAAGGTCTATGCATGACCTTTTGTATTAATAAGATATGACACCAAAATATTGTATCAAAAATACTGACTTCTTTATTTTAGAAAATTTGATTTTGGAAAAATTGATCAACATATGACTTAAATCAAACATTTCCAGCTCAATGTCCTTATTGCCCTATATCAGGCTAAATGAAGTGTCATTACGAGATAATTTCACTCTTTGAATACTCCTTTTCTGTTCTTTCATTCTTTGTATCATTTAATTCAAACATCAGTAACTTGGAAAACCCAACAGCCATATACATAAAACAATATCAAGAGTTGCAAACTATAATTAAAACAATAAAAGTTCACCATTGTCTGGCTTGAGCACGATTTTCCAAAGCCTCATATGCCTTGCCACGTAAAAAACAAATTGCTGAAGTAATCTGGTGACAGAAAAGAATACTAAAATTAGGCATCGTGAAGAAAGCTAGTTACAAGAAAGGAAAGTCACAGTTCATCAGATATGTTACATTAATTTCATGATCTTCAGTATCCTTATCCAAGTACATTGCAGTCCCATCATTTTGTGAGAGAACATTTCCATGCTCATCAACTTTAGCATCACCAAGCATTGCCAGACATTGATGCCATTCTTTTAGCTCTTCCTAAGTGAAAATAAATTGAAAGCAAAGAATAGAATTAAGCATGAAACAACCATTAAATGCATCAATTGGTAAAAAAATGCACTCAAATACATCAATCAGTACAAAATTGCAGCCTCAATTAAATTATATACAATTAAGATACTACAGGGAAGAAGAATTCTGATAAAACAGGGAAACAAGTAACTAGTAAACCATAGACAAGTTTTTGACTGTCACAAAGAGAAACAAACAAAAAGCAATATTGCAGCAACAAGCATAAATTTGGTCATGAACATAATCAAACATATTAACTTGGCAACAAATTAGCCTGCAGAATATTCTAAAAGGATATCTTAAAGTCATTATATGAATTATGGTCTCAACATAGATCATATTAACCATTAATTGCACTGATGTGGCTGTTGGAAACCAAATATTTCATGTTATATGGATCTTTCCATATATGTGGAGCCAAGCTACATGGATCATTTTTCACGATTGAGCTCTTTTAACAACATTGTTGCTAATCAAACTAAGAGGCATCAAATATCTTTTAATTGTTTCTGATAAATTGTATTAGGTTTTCTTCTACTTCTTTCCCCTACGAACTTTATAAACTTACCTTGACTGTTCATTCCATTAATAAGTCTTCTTTGGATAAGTCCATGCCACATTTTTATAGCACGGTTTTCATTTCACTCTCAATTGAAGCGATCCCTGGTTGTTAACAAACACAAATATTTCATTTCTATCTTATAAATACCCCACATAACCATTTCCACATTCTCATCGCCATCACAGTCTGCAATTTAGTGAGATACTAATCACATACTTTCTACTATGCACCAGGGTGAAAATATCATGGAATGTCAACCACACTGATGATTTCCTAATATTTCTTTGGGTTAAACCAACCAATTCAACAGGTTTCAATAAACCGTATCATGATCTCAGTAACACTAATTTCTGCGTGTGATTTTATAGCTATCCAATATCATCATTGACAATGGACAACTGTCCTTACAAATGTCTAGAAGATACATAATACTTTGTAGTCTTTCAGTAACTAATTTATTCTGAATATGATTTATAAGACCAAGAGGTATAAGGATAAATAGGTAGAAAGGAAAAAGATTATCATGCTCCCCGTGGAATCCCAGGATTTAAAAAAATTAAAATGCAGAATAATTTGTATTCTCAATTTTCACCTTGTGTATGTTTAAAAGAAACATCCAATGTGGCACATTATATATTTTAATCCATATTTTGAACAATCTAAATTCTAGCATTCACAAGACCTAGTGCATTCCTTCTAAAAAAATCTAGGTTCCAGATGTGGCATGAGATATATTTAGCGCATCCTATTTAACATCCTAAAATGGTCGACACATACTATTTAACTTGCTAAATTCCAGCACTCACTGGACCTTGCACATCCTTCTATAAGAAAACCTGATTACATAAATGCCACATCATTGGATACGAACATGGTAATAACAAGCTTACATTCCTCCAATGATCGATCATGCGCTTACACAGTCAGCCACAACTGGAAAAGGTAATGACAAACATTTACCAAGAAAGTTGCCAGCTGACACCATTGTGCCACGAGATCAAATAAATCTACACGCAATATAAAAGTCGAAGCAAAAACGAATAACCCCTCTGAAACTAAAGTCGTTCGACAAAATGTCTCAGGAAATATATGACGATCGCTTAAGGGTAGTGACGTTATGGAGGTTGTACCAGGCATTTGGCGGCGAGGTAACGGAAGCGGAGGTCACGGAGAACGATCTGGGAGGAATTAAGGAGGTGGAGGGCGCGGCGGTACTGGCGGCCAAGGAAGAGGGCCTGAGCCTGCATGTAGATGTCGGCGGGGTCACCGGTGGCTGCCACCACCTTGTCGGCGAAGAATATGGCCGACGAGTAGAGGTGCTTGCTCACGCAGTCGCGCACCACCCCTCGCAGCGTCTCTACCGCCTCCTCCCTCATCTCTCTCCCACTCGTCTCTTCTCCCTACCAAATTCCAAATCGAAATGAGAGGGAAACAGTGGAATGTGATGCGACGGACTGACCTATTTGGGTTTCTTTAGGGCTTTATAGTCTGAGCGTTTTCATAAATAAAGTCCGACATATTGGTTATAACGCCCATTATGGCGGTTTAAATGAAGCTGTTATATTGCTTGTTAATAACGGGTATGTTATCGAACATTATAACGGTACTTCTTTAAAAAGAGGAACGGCTAAATTAGTATAAACTCTATTCTTGTCCACAAATTAGAATTCCACAAATTCAATAGATATATTAAAAAAGATATAATTACTCTTTAATAATTCCATTTTGTGGATGTTAATTCAATTACGCAATGTAAAAAAAGAATAAGAAAAAAAAAACTTGTGACACTGTCATGGTTCTAAAAAATTGATTGTTTTGTTCAACACTAATTATCATCATCAATATGGATACAAATAGTTACATTAATAAGTGGTAGATAATGTGAGATTATGAGCTTATCCAATTTACTTTTTTAAAAAGAAGACAAATTTGTAGAAAAGCATGGAACCAACTAACTAGATGGTCATCATAATTGATTATTGATGACAATATCCATCTTGTTCCTAATTTTCAATACATTATAGGGCTTCAAATTTGGAGTACATCAGTCAGTACCATTCATCTCAATATACAAGCATCTTTTCACTTTTTTTTTGTCTTTTGAGAGATTCAAGAGGGATGGATACTTTGGGTGAGATTTCACAAGTTGCAAACCTTGAAATCTTTTCCGGTTCTGAGAAACCACTTATACTCGAGCACAATAACTTCTAACATAATCTCTTCTGCTGATACAAGAATAGGTTTCCCCAAGCGCATACGTCCATTTTGAAACTCAAATTTGAATGGGAGCCAAATAAAATCCTCTAGAGGGTGAGGATCAATGAATTATTATTTCATTTCAGTGACAATTTCGTATTCTACATAGCATTTTGATATCATTCCAGTATATAAGACAAAACAATATATGGAAAATACAAGAACAGTTATCTGTCACTGGAGACTTCACAGACTAAGTGGTAAAGAAATGAAGCTTGTGATGATTTGCTAACCCTCATTAACTTTAAAGAAGGTGTATGAAAGGATCAGGTTGTTGACACCATCCATCTTAGGATCAGCCTCAAACTCTGGGTCAACGTAGAAGAAAACCTGGAGACGACTCCCAAGTCCAAAGTTTCGTATTCAGAAATTAAAAGATAATAATTAGAATGTCCGGTAGTATCAGTGTTCACTCATTACCGGCATGTCAATTTGTTCTCCTGGAAGAAGTCACTGCTCTTCAAAACAAAAACACTGAATCTTGTTAAAGTAAACTACAGCCTGCGGAAAAATAATCCCAATAATATTATGACCTGTCCAACCTTTTGAGTATAACTTCTTGACAGTGAAAATACATAATGATAGGCCAAAGCAGGCGGGTTTTGCTAATTTGATACATCTTTCTGTATATCTAACTCTTAGATCATCATGGCTGGTATAACAGTAAGCTACCATTTTTCTTCTCAGGATGGACATGAAGGGAGCTGTATCTGTCTTCTACAGTATAATGACAAAATTATTATCCCTGATACCAAAAAAAAAAAAAGCCTAATGTGCACAAGCATGGCATTTCTTGCAACAAATGCCGTCCGTCCACATTACGTAAATATCCCAATCCAAATCAATTGTTTACTGTTTTCTCAAAATAATTGGTGAAAGGGTGTCTTGTAGATTATTGTTTAAGCTAATAACACTATGGAGAAATATTGACAAAATAATCAATCTGTTAATATCAAAGAGCCTGCTATAATTCATCAGAAGTTATCAATTAATTAGTCTTTCCTCTTAGCACATGTGGTCTCTGTCTACTTACAATTCTGCTTATCCATGCCTTGGAGATCAATGTAGCTCTTAAAAGGGAACTTAATATCTCCTGTTAGAGCTTTACTCTTTCCAGGCAGTATATAGAGTGCAATTATGTCTAAATTTTTTGTTCGATGAACTTCATAATTATATTAGCAAGGAATTGTAGACAACAAATGGGCCTGCAAGGCACAGAATTAAAAGTTATCAACACCAAGCCAGCACAAGTTTCTATCATCATAGAAATTATGTGAACTATTTTCCAAACTCATGAGGTAAGTTATATTAATAAACTGTGACATTCGAAAATGGGTTGAGAAACATGCACAACTTGAGAATTCATACCTTCATTGGGGTAACATTGTATGTAGAAACACCAGTTATGGGAGTTGAGCTATGATTTTCAGCAGTATAAAATGCAAGGGCACTTTCTCCTGGCTTAACCCTGACTTATGTGAACTAAAAACAATTAGATAAATTTTATACCTGCAACATGTGTTTCCATTACTATAGTTAATAACAAAAGGTAACCTCTCTTTGTGTAGGGGTAACTTTCCATGGCATCCCATCAGCAACATCAGCATTGAATTGAACAACAAGCTCCCTGTCGAAAGCAAAGGTCAGAGCGTAATTCAATTATATTCCAGTCTTAAACTGCAGTACATTAAATGCGCTAAAGAACATTTTGTGAGTTTTGATGGAGTAATCAAGTATAAAATTATAATTGATTGAAGCTGATCTATTCTATAATCAAGGCATGCTAAGATGACATTACAACTTGCAAAGTAAGGACACGACGTGCTATGACATTATTCCTCTGGAACATTCCAGCTATAGCATGTGAGTAACAATCTTCGTCGTAAAGGACAACCACCACCATATTCACCTGATCATATCAACCATATTTAGTCTTCTATCTTTGATTAAATCTCTCCCGCTTCACGTAGAAAGACCAATTGAAGATAATAATCACGGATTAAGGTAATCCTTGGTTAGGAATAGAGTAACATTCTTGTTAAGTTTCTTGAATTAAATGCCAAGCCCAACATTCAGATATTTTAAATAGGTTAACCTTCAAAACAAATTCCTTTTTATTTCTCTTAAACATCATATGAATGAGACCATTGTTAGATATTAGATCTTCACCAAACTTTATTGTGCACTTTCACTGTACACAAACTCATTAACGTAATCCTTGGTTAGGAATAGAGTAACATTCTTGTTAAGTGTCTTAAATTAAATGCCAAGCCCAACTATCCCAGAAATTTTAAATAGGTTAACCTTCAAAACAAATTCCTTCTTATTTCTCTTAAACATCATATGAATGGGACCATTGTTTGATATAAGACCTTCACCAAACTTTATCATGCACTTTCACTGTACACAAACTCATTTCAAATTCTTTAACTTCATGTGATAAACTGCTATACTGATGCATCAGGTGTCTCAAAATCTCTGTCAGTTTATATTGCAACATATCATATTAGCTATGTTAGTTTACTACCCTCATGATTGAGAATTTTTGTAGTTATAGTAGGAGAAGATCCTAATCCTAATCGTAGGAGTGCACATGGATTTAAATCCTAACTTATTAGGAAATAATATCAGCCGATTTATGGTTGAAAAAGAAAAAAGAGAGCTTTCAATTAAAGGTACTGTAAGACTCTTAAGACATGACAATTTTGAAGATCTCTTCTCTCTGTTTACTTCTCGATTTCTCTTTACCGCATCCTCCATCTTTTCTCTCTAATCTCTTTTGGAAGATATCATCTTTCCCCAAAAGAAAAAAGAAGGGACAATAGCACATGATAATAGCGGAAATATCCCATCATTAAAGATCTAAGAAAAGCTTTAAATGGGTTTTTCCTAAGAAGCAAGTTGAAGTAAATAAATGATGAAGTTGCCACAAACTGCCACATCAATGAGAGTATGGCCAAAGAACTCAGGTCTAAGATAAAGATAAAACAGCATTGGACAATAAACAGGATGGAGATGGAAGTTACAGTGGGGAGACGCAAGAAAGGCAACATAACAAGAGTAACTAGTAGGATTAATGTAGTGCAACAGTATCTGCTCCAGCACTGGGCACGCAGCTGGCACTCTCCTCAGGTCACCAACGACAAGATTCATACTTATCAATTGCATCAAAACAATCATGACGAAAAGATAAAATCCACACCAAGAAAAACATAAATAAATAATCATGCAACACAATGCTTGCAAATTCTTAGGGTGGATCACATATATATAATTCCCGTCGATATTACCATATGTCATAAATACATGTAGGTTGAGAAATCGTTACCTCGAAGCCTTGGTTCCTTCTTGGGCATGGCGAGCGATCTTCTCCTCGACACTCTGCACAGACATAATCGTCGTCACAAGCCATCAACGGTTGATTATTTCCGAAAGCATTTTAAGATTCTTAAGCAAAAAAGAAATGATTTCGATCAATTTCTTCATCAAATAAAACGAAAGTATCGACCGACTACCAAAGAAGAAGACAACGGACAAGAGGGAAAGAAGATCACCTCGCGGCGCTGCACGGTGCCTCCGTAACCGGTGGCCTGGCAGAAGCGGCGGTAGAGGGGGACGGCGGCGTAGGAGGCGCCCACCATCGCGGCGACCATTCCGAGGAGGTACACGAGGATGTTACGCGAACTCCGATCCCGGGCGGAGGCGGCGTCGCGGCCGCTGGAAGCACACCGGAACTGGCCGCGTACGCCGGGCAAGACGGCTGCGGGGATCGAGAACCAACCGTGGGGAGCAAAAGGGTGGCTAGGGCAGGGAGGGTGAGGGAAGAGGAGGGAGGAGAGGTCGCGTCGGCCGAGAAGGGAGAAGGGAGAAGCGGGCTTCGGGAAGGGGGAAATCTCGGGATGGGAATGGAGCAATGGTGGCACTCTATTTGACCGCTATGTGTTTGTTCTTTTGACTAACAGAACAAGCCGCGGCTTCTCGAGAACTCGTTACCGCGGGGATATTGTCCCGTGATTAAAAAGTGCTTATACAACTCATTCGCATCCCGAGATGAGGTAAATGAAACTTCTGCATCCAACTCAATAAAAATATTTTACTGTATATAATGAACAATAAAATTGATAATTTTATCTTTCATTAATGAATATAAATATATATTTTATATATTTTTTCATTTTTTTACTGTAGGCTTCTTTCATTTTCTTACCGTAGATATTTTTGAATCATTTCATTTTTTCTATCCATAACTTCATTAATATATCTTAACTTCTTTTTATTATTTACTAATTAAAAGATTCGAATAAGAAGATCTATTTCTTTTAATGTATAAACTATAAGATTATAAAATGATAGTATTAAAATTATATCATCATCCCTTTTGTCATTTTTTTTTCATTTGCTTTTCACTCATTTCTTTTTATGTTATATTTTTTTCGATACATGTTATGTAATATCAAGAAGAAAGTGACAAATCACGTGACACTATATCTTACTATTTTTTTATTATTTATATGTTTTTATTATATTTAAAATCCTATTATAATTATAGAGAAATATAACAATAAAGATTACTCATTCTAAAGTTTTTCTTGTATCAACAAATATTTCTAATATTCTTTAACATTAAATCAATATAATATGTCACACATGAAATCTAATATAAGTGTTATCTTTTTGCTTAAGTAATTTATATAAGATAAAAAATAATAAATTTGATAAGATATAATAGTCAAATAGTTTTTCTATTCAAATTAGAGATATAAAATAATAATACAATTTTTAAAACTTAAAAGATAAATCTTACTAGCACATAATTAATTCTATCATTGGTTATAACTTATATGACATTTTGTTCATAAATTCGTCGAGCAACTCATTCATCTTTTCTATAAATTTCATAAAAAATGATGCATCTATTGATTTCACAAATATCATACCTAAAAAATAATTGATCATAAAATTAATTATACTCTTATATTTTCTGTCAATCCAAGCATCTGATATAATAGAGCAACTATGCTTTACCCATGATTTTATGTAGTCTATTAATAAGTCTGTATAATCTAACTTTTTTTCAATAATGGAACTCATAACTCATAATAACTTTGAGGTTTTAATCCTCCACTATATCTTTCAATATCCTCGGTCATTTCTTTAAAATTATCCAAATGATAAGTACTAAGAGGAAGACAAGCATGATAAAAAAAGCGAACAATGTGTTGAATCATTCTTTCCCTTATTTTCTTATCACAAGTATCACTTGTATTTGTTTATCTTAATTTTACTCTTGCTTGACCTTATTACTTTTATGATCCTTGATACATATATATGTCAATCGATTCCTTTTTACTATTCTTAATAATTATGATTTTTTTTTCTTTTCTCTCCTATATTCTTTTTCTGTTGGCATTTACACTTTCTAGATAATCGTGTTCTTCATCATCTCTAATGTATTGAATATTATCCTTAAGTAAAATCATATAATATTTATTTCTTTATATTTTTTTTAGTCATATAAGCTACCAACTCTTCTTTTGCATTAAGTGGAAGTTCCCAATTTGATGCTGCTTTGCATAAAAAAATATCACCTCTTATAGTCTTATCATAGAAGAGGCAAAGTAATTATATTAAAATCATTCAGGTAATTATTTTTTTAAGTAAGATTTTTTTTTTAAATCCTTTAATTGCTTTGCACACTTATCATTAATCATGAAATCATAATGATAGTTCTACATAAATAGATATTAGCAGTGCTAAAAATCTAAATAGAGACTATTATATGATGACAATAGTTAACAATATACTATTAATAGTAGTTGAGAAGAGAAAAGAGTTACTGATGGCGAAAAGTAAGTAGAGGGCAACAATAATGAAAGAATTTTCAAACAACAATAACGACAGTGGAGGAAGTTACAAATGATGACAACAATGGTAGAGGAAGCTTTAAACGATAATAGTGGTAATGGAGGATGCTAAGGACAGTAGCAACAATGGTAAAGAAAGCTTTGAACGATGGCAAAAGCAACATCGTAGGCAAAGGAAGCTTTAAATATATCTGTCGATGGCAAAGGAAGTTTCAGATGTATCCGTTAGTAGTGGAAAAAGCTATGATCCTTTCCCTCGATAATGGAAGGCATTGCACATGGAAGCAACAATGATGGAGGAAACTACACACGAAAGCTAGATCTTTGAAGTCATCTATCAATGATAGAGGAATTGTTGGCAATGGAGGCAACGACTATGCACGATGTATGGTTCATGGGTGAGGTTTGTGTGCGCAACTTTAGTAAAATTATTTAGCTTGGTTTAATCTAAACTAACTAAGCTATTATTCAATTGAACTAGACTATCATGTATGATTCGGTTGCTTTGCTTCAACCAAGTGCTTACCTAAGGCGTCTAGCGCGTGAGTTCAAGTGAGCGCCCAAGTAATGCTTCACTAAAGCATGCCACTCGAGTATGTCTTGAGATGTTCGAGCCTTGCTTTACCTCATCAAATTGCCCATATGCTTATTTAAATACACTATCATATTGCATGAATAAGTATATGACATTCTACACAACTTATGAAAGCAATCCAACCCTGATAGGTAAAAATCAAGGGAGGATTGTGATTAGGATCATCTGGATTTATTCTTGGGACTTTGTTTTGTAGGTTTTAAAATATATTTTTTAATTTGATATTGATAATCAAGCTAATTTTTTTAAAAATATATATATTTTGTACAAAAATATATAGAATAATATTTAAATTTTTTATTTCTCACTTAATTGGAAGAAAATGGCTTATCTCATCCAGAAATACATCCAAAATTCATTATGACAACACTCGCTCTCTCTCTCTCTCTCTCTCTCTCTCTCTGGGAGAAGACAAGGCTTGATATGAGCAGGCTTCAACAAGATGGGCTTTCAAAAGAAGAGGGCTTAGTCGAGTTGACTAAACTAGTCATCTAAAATATATCAATAATATTTCAACTAAACTATCTCTAACTCATGATTTTTTCATACAGAGTTTTAAAATTATCTACCTCTCTATGGATGACTAAATACAATATCGATCATACTCCTCATATGGATTAATTGCAGAAAAAATGTGAAGAAAATGTTAATATCCTTACTTTTCGATGCCTTTGCCATCATCACAAGGTATAATTTCATATAGAACATCAACTTAATCCTGCATATACCAGGAAAAAAAAATTGTATGAATTCTATAGGAAAATTCTTGCAATATTAGAGATAGAAAGTAAATCCCAAGCATGTATATCCTACGTTGTCATCCTTTAATGGTTCCAATGCAGGTTGAGTAGCACCACAAAAAGAGAGATAGGAACTACAACGATTCAAGAAAACAAAGAATGGAAGTCAATTTTAGGTCAACATGTTCTTCATTAATGTTCTGAAAACAGTGAGAAGCCAATGCTTGGATTCCCTCTCAAGCGAAGATGCAGATCTCAGATCATACTTTTCCACCATCACAGTGTTGCCAAGTTCTGATTCATCGAGGACACAGCAGCTGATTCGATACTGCTCATGAACGTCATGTCCTTGACATGAAATAATGTGTTCGTACCTAAACAGGGGTAGACATGACTCATTTATGGGATAGGAATGGCTGCTGTCTTGTCAGTGGTGGACTCTTGATAAATGATGTGTGTCATCAAGACCCAATTATTTTTGAGGGAGGTAAGAGGATCGATGCAGGTTGATGGGTAAAAATATGCTCTCTTCGATTTATGTGGATGTTATAATAAATATATGATCTACATGACCCAATTAATAGCATAATAATATATGAATTTTTAATGACAATTAGAGAAAAGTATAGTAGAAGATATATTATTGTGATCTACGTGGAGTGCATGGGCATGCAGACTGTCGCAAAGTTGCATTCTCCTGATGATTCTTAGAACTTGAAGACCTACTTCTCCCTTGCTAAATTTACATCTGCAGGATGATTTCTTCTTTTATTTTTAGTGCCTGCCTTATGTTCATGCAGCTGCTTCACCCTTGATATTATTCTCCAATCATCCATCTCTCACATTCCTTACTTCCAAATCACACCATCTTTATCTCTCTCTCTCTCTCTCTCTCTCTCTCTCTCTCTCATCCATGGTTGGACTTGGTCTCCATGAACAAAAGTGTCAATAATGTCATCTCTCTCTCTCTCTCTCCTCCTCTCCAAGTATCAAGCAACAGCAAAGCTTTTTTGCATGTGGGGTGAGAAGCAAAGATGACATAAAGGGTGAGTTCCACCTAGCCTTTTTTAGCTGCTTGGGTAAGTCCATGTGGACCTTAACCTAAAGCAACAAAAGGGTGCTGCAATTGTGGGGTTCCTTCCCCACTCTACCAAGGGAGATCACTCCATTGTCAAATGCATGGACCACATGCTGTTCCTACTCTCTGACTTTTGGGAACAAAGTCCATTTGATAATTTTTTTGTTAAACAGATCATTTGATTGCAGCTATTTTTTTACCCAAATAAATGAGATCTTAAATGTAACTAAAGCCTTTTAGTAAGAATATCTAACACTTCTCTTCCCATGTAAATTAGAAGGATCACTCAAGCTTAACATGTGAAACATACATTAGTAGAAGATATCTAATACCACATTTGAGTTAATCTAACTAAGATCTTCTTACATGTTTGGAGATAACAAGGGTTAATCACTTACTTAGAGGTTTAATTTGTCACACATAAACAAGTTAGAAAATTATATTAGTTTAATTCACAAAAGAACTATTGGATTGCACCATTTGGTGTCTGCAAAAGCTGGAGTCCAACTTTCTCTTTCATGTTATTGTTTAGAGATGACAGGAATAGTAACATGTACTGTAGGGATTAGTAACATGTGCCTCTCTTACATTACCATGAGACTTGTTCTTGTGCTTGCTAAAATCCACCTCCATCATCACAGAATTGGTTAAAAAACACATTAGAAAAATAGATCCAATAATTTTATCAGTATTCATATATTTTTTATACCTTAAATACTAGTCTAATAATGGTGTATCGGACTTACTTACTAAGATTGAGAATTAAAAATCTCATCAAATATATTTTTACATCTAAAATATTGGTATAACCTATTTAACTCATCGATTTGTCGATAAGTAGCCGAATGTGTCAGGCTAATGATGGTGGGTGTGGTGGTAGATTCCTTATATAAGTTCAGTTTATAAATTAATATAATAAATAAATTATTATGTCTAAATATCAAATCATATTTCACTATGCTAATTTCTCATCCAAGAAATGTGTATAATTGATTTTGAATGTGATGGTGCAACTTCATTCAACTCCTATTATTAGATTTAGTCAACTATACATGGCATGTATAATAGTACTGCACTATAGGTTGATGTAAGTAGCAACATTGCTAAAAACATAATAATATAATATTGCTATGATATACAGATTCATAAATAAAGCTTCCTTCAATGGGCATTGCAAGTTCTGCACATCTTTGTCAATCTTTGTGTGTGTATATATATATATATATATTGAGATAATGCATAAACTGTTGCAGAGTCAAACTTGCTATTAAGAAGAAAGAAGAAGACAGAGAGGGGAAAAGGAAGTTTTGAGGTCCAATTTTCACATTCATAGCTATAAAATACTTAATATTTCTCCTATTCAGATTCAATTCAACAATGTGATTTGAAGTAGCATTTATTACCCAATTATCATCAGTCAATATTGACCAACATGCTATATAATCAAACATCTTCTCCTTATCGGAACATAACATCATCTAATGTACCTCACAAAAAAAAAGTAATATATTGCTCGTTAACTAATTCCTAATATACACATTTCCTAAGCATTACACATACATAAGTGAGTGAGAAAGAAATGGAATGATTTGGGTCTCGATATCAATTATTAACTCGAATCAATTGTGGGGTTTCAAAACCAAGATAAGATTAATTGATCATGATTTGTGATAGTCAAAAGGCATATAAAGCAAATTCTGAATTGACCGACCACAAAGAAGCATTAGAACAATAGAAGGCACGGCGTATGTAATGTCTAGAACATGATGGATGGTTTTTGAATCACTGGTTGAAATGATTTTTGGTCATATTAACATGCGCAAATGTTATTTCCACAGTTGATTTTTGTATTTCTTTGATGCTTATGTAAATATGTTTCGATTATGCAAAAAAATGATTTTCTAAGCTTTTCGAGCACCGTAAATGATGATCGATGTAGCTGATCTTGGTTTCAAAACCTTGTGGTAAATTCTAAGTTGATAGATCCTAAACCAAAATCTTGGAGTAGGGTTTAGCTCAACTCTATATTTTATATAAAAAAATACTAATCTTTTATTTGAATTATGTAATTACATTTTCCTTGACAATTTCCTGCAGAAAGTCTCATACACTTTCGTTCACGAGGGGTCGGTGTGAAACATGAAGGGGGAAAAACTAGAAAGCCTAACATATCATCATGTCATGCAAAGGCCAGCAAATGTTTTGGGTTCCATATGATTCCTTGCTTCAATTGATTGATGTGCCTGTATGAAATATAAGAGGCCTATACTTCATCTTTCTTATACTCTCTCTCTCTCTCTCTCTCTCTTTTCCTGAGACAATGAAAGTTCCCCTTCGAATGTGAATGCTAAGATGGTGTCTCTTAACTTTGCAGCTTGACATGAATAAGGTGACAATGAGAGTTCCCCATATTCCTCTCTTTTCTACTTTATTTCTTGGAGCAGTTTTTTGCATGTCAATTCCTCAGAGAACCTATTTGGTTGCAGCATCTATTGATCCACAATTATAAGAACTAGGCATGATAATTTCATGTGGGTTTCATATGCTGATGTGTATAATGACTTAGGTGCTGCAACCTCGAGAGTTTAATCATGCTACTAATCCTAAGAATATACTGGTAATAATTATTGTCCCTAATAGGCTTTGATAGAACTAAGTGAGTATAACTGCTAAACTAAGGGACCATGTTTAATCTGAAAGTATTTGACATGAACCACAGCATGCATGAATGAAGAGAAGGATTTTAATTGGACGTCCATAAAGTAAAGGAAACATGTGATGCACAATTGGCATATGAGAGAAGAACCTGCAACCCCAATGTCATTGAATTCAAAGCAGGTATTGATAGACTCCTCATGCCCCATAAATGCAGCCTGCACAGACTTGTGATGACAAAGAGGAGGTAACAGTGTTGTTTAGTATTCCAATGTTCCATAAAATTCTTGAAAATGGAGCCTAGACCTCATTGAAGTTGAAGGACCTCTGTGTATGTTTTGTAGATGTGGTTTCTGGAAGAACCTTTCAGCCATCTAAAAGGAGCCATCAACTACTTGATGTGCTTCCCAATGACAAAGCATCACAAGGAGGCCTTGATGGAAACTAGGGTTTGGGGGAAATGGAGGAAGGTCATGTGGGCATGATGTATATAAACTCCAGACCTAGACAAGATTGATGTAGGTTTGGAAAGGAATATTTTGGAGCATGAAAAGGGAAGTAGAACTAGAAGGTTTTTGGAATTAAGTACTTAGAACAATTGTACTTATATAATCATCATCATCACTTCTAATGTCACCATTGAAGAAAGTTTGTAGAAGGAATGCAGCAACCAATGGCATCAAATGTTGTGGATTTTCTTGCAAGAAGAAATCTCTCAAATTATGAAGTTTATTGCACAATGAACTCTCAGAATGGTTTCATCTGCCAAACTTCCAGGTTAAGCAACCATTGAGAGAGGAGAGGATGAATTGAGTGTCATCTGATGCTGGCTGTTTTAGGCATCTTTCCTGGTACTTCTTTTCTTTGTCTGGCAGTACCATATGTCTGATTTCAATTATAATAGAGCAAAAGAATTAGGAACTGAGGGAGAGAGAGAGAGGGAGACTTAAAGTCAAGCAAACTGGAAGAGGAAGGAACCTCTTGGAATGCCTTGGGCATCATTTTTCTGCATCTGTTCTCACTCTACATCTCTCTAACTTTTCTTTGTTCTTTTGGGATTATGTCATTTGTTATTCCTCTTAATGAGTCAGTGTAAGCTTGGTCGGAAAGTGATGAGATAACTTCTCAGATTAAGAAGCCTCAAAGCCACGCATTACCTAAAGCTGTTGTGACCATATATTCCTCTATCATCTCTCTCTCTCTCCCCAGTCTCATCTCCCACATTTATACATGCCCTAGGAAAGCAGAAGAGACAGCCCGTTTGCCTCTCCTCTCCACCTTCCTTTTCCTTCGTGTTCTTTAGGTCACAACACAGAGATAGAAGAAGACACTTTTGCAGATCTTAGGAGTGCAAAACAATCTCCGGTTCGCTGTCTACCAGATTTCCCAGCTTCAACCACTGAAGCTTCAGTTAGATTCTCGAACCGAGAGTGGGAAAGGAGGAGATCATAAGATGTCATCGCAAGGGGTGTTCACCGAAGCCAGCTCTACAGCCTCCCCTGATCTATCCTTACAAATCGGGCCTCCAAGCATCGCCCCTTCGGCCATCTCCGACGCAGGCAGCGGTTCCCGAGCGTGCGTCGACCTTTCCCTCTCGAGCACCATGTCGTCGTCGGAGGGCAACATCTTTCAGGGGTTTCGAGGACCACCGCCTTTCCATGAATCCATCATACCACTGACCGGTACTCCAACCTATGTAGACGGTCGGTCGCCGTTCAACCAGATGTCTTCCTCCTCGCTGTCTTCATCTTCTTCTTCCACTGGTTGCTGGAGCGCTATATACTCGACGGCTTCCTACTTGCACCCACACAACGGGAGCCACTCTTCAGTCTCATCTTATACATGGACGCCGCCTCTCCCGACATGGATTATGGGGTCATCATCGGATTCCTTCAGTTGCTACCACCGCCTCCCTTGTGGCGTCGGATCTTGGGAAGCCTCGCAGAACCTGATGAGGTCAAGGTTCCTCCCGAGATATCCAACGAAGCGGAGCACGAGGGCACCGAGAATGCGGTGGACTAGCAGCCTCCATACACGCTTTGTCCGTGCCGTGGAACTCCTCGGCGGCCATGAGAGTATGCGAATGCCGCCTGATCTTGCACCCTTTCATTATTACCTCTCTTGTGCGGTATGATCTGATACCTATGTTTGTGGCATCAGGGGCTACACCGAAGTCAATTCTGGAGCTTATGGATGTGAAGGATCTCACCCTTGCCCATGTCAAGAGCCACTTGCAGGTGACTTGCAACTCACAGCTAAAACTCTTACTCTTCTTCAGTTACCCCCCACTCTTTCTCTCTCTCTCTCTCTCTTTCTCTCTCTCTCTTTCTCAATGTGCACAGTAGCCAAAGGATGCAGTGATTGACTAAATGAATGAGAGTGACAGTCATGGGTCTGCTTCTCCAGAGACAAGAAGACTGCCACTCATGGATAAAGGCACAGAGACAGAAGAAAAGTAGCCATCATTTCACAATAATAAGAAGATATAAACAAAAGCATCAACCTCGTTGGTAATAAAATAATCAAAAGGAAAGAGACGAATGACCAGAGTGTCTCGTGTGTGATTTTGGATTTTCCTTGAGCTCACCTCTCTCTCTCTCTCTCTCTCTCTCTCTACTGTAGTAACATCGCTTCACTGCCATTTTCCACTTCTTTTCCTCTCGCTCTCACTCTCTTTAATGGCCTTTGCTAACTTTTTTTCTCTTTCTTTTCTCTTTTCTGGCGTTGCAGATGTACAGAACCATTAAATCGACTGACAAGCCTGCAGCTTCCTCAGGTAAACCGTGTTGCTTAGCCTTCTATGCCTTTTTTGTTCACTGCACCTGCTTCTTGGTCAGCTCTACTAAGCTTTCTTCCAAGTGATTACCTCATTAATGCGGTTCTCCTGTTCTAAGGCCAATCTGATGATTCTGGCGAAGAAGATTCCGCACCAAGAGACAGAGATCAGCCACTACTCATGGAGCACAAAGTCTCAGATCCACCAAAACAAGACCATTGTCTGGAAACCTCGTCTGGGTAACGACACACTCACACACTCACCTCTTGTTTGACTGATTGCTTTGAAGCTTAACAAGATCAGAACATTGACTCCACCTCCGTTGTAGGACTGCCATGACAGCCTTTTCTTTTCTCTGTCCTTTTGTGTTCTTTGATCTTATAGGGAGATCTAAAGCAGAAGACCAATAAAAACACATAGAATTCCCTGGTTGAAAAGCAGATCATAGGCCTTACTTTGTGAATGCCACCTTTGTCAGTGTCATATGAAGATATCTTGTTCTTTTCACGGTGATATATGTTTACCGTAAGAAAAGTTCATGTCCTCTGGCCACACATTATTGTAGTCACCAAAGCATGTTGGGTAGCCAATCGCTTGTCCCAGAAGCTTAGTGTTCTCTTCATTGCTTCTCCTCGGCTTCTTTTCGTCGACCAGGACTTTATGCTATTTTATTAGGAAGGAATTATATTTGTACCGACTTAATCTTGTTGGTTGAGGATATGTCGTACCATCATGACTAATCTCACATCGAAAGTGAGTAAAACTAAGATTGATAGATGTACTATTGTCAATCTTAACTTAAAGATTTTATGACTAATTTTTTCTTATTCAACAAAGTTAATAAGTCAATCATCTTATTAGGTTAGGTCAGTGATAATTGGTATCGGAGCTGACCTAGTATCAAAGAATGGTGAGAAATTCGATTAGGAAAAATCTACTAGTGGACACATCATAGCATGGAGTGTACACTGAGTTAGGTCTCGCATGCATTATGCTAAGGTTTAATCCGATTACTTGACGAGGACGTCAAACTCTTGATTAGGAGAGAATATAACACCCTCGTTAGTCCTATATTTTAATATAATTATAAGATTAAGATTATAAGAGCTTGAAAGGTTTATAATAAATATTTTAGTCAATAATTTTGATTTAATAATCTTAATGAGTCAATCATCCTATCGAGTCGAATCCCGATAGATTTATCATTTGAGATAATAACATATAAAAAGCAAACGATAATATCATTATCATTTTTGTTCTTATGTAGTTGCATAAATCCAATCTTCAAGCAACAACATAATATATTTTTCCTTGGTATTCAAATTCTTTAAATTGACTTTTGGTAGTTGTTTTTGGCAAAAAGTATCAGCCGAGAAGACTGGTTACCGATCAACTCAAATTACTTGGATTCTACCGGTCTTCGGTCGGCTCCTCTCTCATCACAAATTGAGGTACTTTAACACAGTATCACTCTCACACATATCGTGAGATATGGCGATGACATTATCGTATCTGCATTTTAAACAGCATGATTCTTCCGGATCAAATGGCACGAATGACTCTTACGAAGAACACAGAATTCCTAGCTTGGAGTTTAGCTTGGGGAGATCAGACTGGTATGATAAAAGGCCATTGTGCTAGTTGTTCATATTGTTTCAGGCATCCGATTCGACAGAGATGAGGAGCCAAAGAGTTCTTTGTGAACAATGAGAAGTCGATCAGGATGATTGTTTGAGACAAAGCAATCATTTTGATTCTTTTTTCACCTTCCCTTGTGTCGTCTGTAATTTTTTTTGTTTAGTGTCATTTTTCTTGTATCTGTGGATGGATTATGACCACAAAAATGAAATTAAATGTCATATAATCCATTACAAAGTGTGAAAAAAATATTATTTTTTCACTTGTTATTTTCCTCGATTCTTCTTCTTCTTTAATATTTCCTTTTGATATCGTCATTTTCTTTTGATCAATAAAGACTCGACACATGAAATACAATCAGCACTTAGCTAGGTCATCCGTCGTCTTCGACGAAGAGCTTGTTGTCAAAACTAAGCTTCTAGTGCAGTATTTTGCATGAGATGAGATATAAATACATATACCTTCCACACTTGCAACTGAAGTAGAACAATGAACAAAATTTTCGCTTTTGACTGCATCCTCCGAGTCAAATTTTTACTGACTTCTTTCTTTCGAGAATATAATAGTACTCGAAACATTAGCTTGATCGGATCGATTTCGGACTTCTTTGGTCTCACCCAACAAATTCAAATGTTAATCGGGACGATACAAACCATCGTTTATCTTTTCATATAATATGGTAGCGATACATAATCTAACTATTTATCAATCATAATAAGTTTTCCAAAAGGGAACCTATTTCTAGTGACCCATTGTTGCAAGCCCCTTCTCAAGCACCATAATCACTTGCTTATGAAGTCTCTCTGATTCAGTTTCAAGCACTTCAACTTCATTCGGAAGCACATACTACGGATGTGATGAATCATATCTTGCATGAATATTTGCAAGAAATGAGCAAATGCATGATTATATACACCGAGTGATGCTCCACAACCAATCCCCTTTCACCAATTAGATTAAATAGGAACATACTCCATCAAATTTTCATCTAAAATTTGGACATCTTTAACGAATATGTTAGTCCTATAGAACATATTATTGCGTTCAAGGCATGAATGATGTGCACCATCTTTTGGCTTTTCTGATTATTTTGTGAGGAAATATTTGAGAATGGTGCTGTTATCTTCCTTCTACCGTGATATCGTATTCTTTAGGCAACTACTGAAATAATGTGCACTTCATTTCATCTCTAGATGAAGTAGTCGATTTGTATTTCATCTTGCTCCACCTCAGCAATTTCTTGACTACTCTTTTGAGGCTTAAACTTTTAATCATCTTCTCTTGTATAAAGTTATCAACACAAGTAATCTCTTTGCATAATTTTGGGAATATCCTCTCTCAATTGAGAGTTGAAAAGAAATCACTTTCTAAAAAAAAAAAAACTTTTAAAAACATATTATATCTTTTTTAGTTGAAATTTTAAATAAAATATAAAAGTATATAAGACCATTTTTATGCTTATGTCACCTAATACGACTAACAACATATCCCTTTTGTGCATGATGCGTTTGCATACGATGGACCAAATACATTCTCTTTGTCTATAGTGTATCCACATATGACAAAATAGATATCTAAAATATTTGTCATATCCTAAAGTGTATAGTCCACTTATTATGATGGATCTGAAACATCCAATATAGCCAAAGTGACTCCTTTCATACATGATACATTTGTTCGAAATGAAAAAAAATATTTTATTTACCCGTTAGATCCCAAAATGACATGATATATCTGCCCATGACATTAAAAATAAAAAATAAAATCCGAAGTGATCCATACAACAAATTCATCCCCTTTACTCATGATGCATATGCCTAAGAGAAAAATATAAAAAATGAGTCTAAGCAACCTAAGATTTTCTCTTTGTGCATTATGCATTATGCTATGATAGAAAAGTAATTAAAGCACTCAAGAAATCTTATTTGTCCATCGTACATCCGTCTAAGATAATAAAATAATCAAAATATAACTTAATCTACGTAGACATCATGGTAAACCATTGACAAATCCTTACCTAAAAGCACAAGAGGCAAAATAATATGATGATTATCTTTGATTAATTGGGACTTTGATACATGGAATCTACACAACACTTACTACACACATCATAAGAAGATGACTAAGAACCTATTGTGCATATATTTTGAAAGATATATTCTCTTAGTAAAGTCACATCGACGATGAATCTTGATCTTATCATAATTCTTGAGATTTTATACAGTAAAATTACAAAGATAAACAAACACTAAATTTCATCCAGAATTATACTTGCCAAAGCACGCTTAAATCAGCATGTTAGTGTCAAAATCCAGACACAAAGAAGATGAATTTGGCGATGAAGTACGTAACGCCATGCTCAATTGATTTCTTACCAGGATGAACACACATAACGACGACATCTTTGCGAGGGACTTCAAGGAAAAGATCGAATGACTTGTGGAACAAACAGCACAAGTGCAAGATCATTTCTTTCTCACTAAGATCGTCAGACTTCCCACACCACTAGAGTTCTCTTTTCAAGTGTTTTCTTCGTATTTGTGTTGTGTTGGAATGTAAAACATAGCCTAAATGCTGTAATTTAGAGGTTTGCAGTTGAATTAAACCGATATTTCAATATGAAAACCTCTAAGTAAGGCATTTATTATTATCATCATCATCAATATAATATGAAATATTAATTTCTGGTTATTTTTTTTACTGTAAAAGCAATCTTATATGTTTATTTTAATTTCGTAATTTTTGAAAATGATTGAAATAAAAAAATACTTGTCATATATAAAAATATAAAAGTGAATATATATATATATATATATATATATATATATATATAATACTCATAAATAATCAGTAAAATGGAATCATGCATGGGCACGTAACGACAAGACCACCTGACAGAATATTCCAAGGATTCCATTTCTTTATCACCATATATTCCCGGAATATCCCGTCCATCGACCCACAGCCTACTCCTTGCGTTAACATGTCTCTCTTTCACAGCTTCCCTAACCTGCTCCACTGCTACATTACAAACACCACCCACCGTATCGCCCATGCTCCTTTGTTTCGGAACACTTTTCACGTGGTAGCAAACTGGGCACGTAAGCACGGTAATTAAACCTTCCTTTTCATTTGCGAGACCGTCGGACCCCACGAGAATCCCCGGTAGGTACGCGGGCGAGTTGGAAAACTGGGGGTATATGATTTATTCAGCCTTTCATGACTCACCAAAGCGATGTCTCTTGATTGGTATCGGCTGCGTTCGTCGGTCCCACAAGAGAACCGTATGCGTCCGACCGGTAAAAACCAGGAAGCGTTTCGATTGGAGAACGTTTAACTTTCACTGTTTAGGAATCGCTACTTCTCCTGCTTCCTTTCACAGCCCGCCGTCTCTCCCGCCCGCACGCCATCCCCTCCCCTCCCCCTTATAAAACTCCTCCCTGCGTCGACTCCATTAACCATCTATCCGTCCATCTTGATCGATACGGAAGAAGTCCCCCCTTTTTCCCTTTCTTTGTGATTGTCTTCTCTCGAACCGTCGGAGTCATGGCCGGCTTCGCGCGCGAGACCATGGCTCTGGCCATCCTCCTCTTCGCCATCCTCGCCTGCTCCGCGGAGTTGCAGAGGTTCGAGAGCCCGGCCAAGCCCGACGGCTCGCTGAGTATCTTGGTCGTCGGTGACTGGGGAAGGAAAGGCCAGTTCAATCAGTCGCAAGTCGCAACTCAGGTTAACCTCGCTTTCTCTGTTTTCCTTCCTCCTCTCTACAATTCTCTCCCCAAAAAAGTCTTCTTTCCATAATTCGATTGCTCTGTACACGAAATAAACAAAAAAAGAAACTTTTTTTTTTTTTCCTTCGAAGACATGTTCTTTCTCCCGTCCTTCGATGTTACCTCGTCTTCCAAGCGATGGAGGATGAGGGAGGGGAAAGGATTCATCTTGTCGAACAAGGTGATTGCAATCTGGGAGAGCAACGCAGAGGATTACATGGGAAGCTGGCGACGATCTTGTTTCTTGGATCTTTGGTTGTGTTGGAACATGTTCTATGTTCCAGCTTTTTTTAATGGGTCCCTTTGGAATATGCCAATCAACAGAATTATTACTCATGGAATCTTCCCTTTTGATCGACAAATGGGCAGCATGGAGCTCGAGTTGGTCTGTTGATGGTGAGATGCTGTCTTTTACTCCATGATTCATAGAATTAACCCATGTAATTCGTTGTAGATGGGAAGGATTGGAGAGGAGCTGGATATAGATTTCGTGGTATCCACCGGAGATAATTTCTACGAGGATGGCCTCACCGGTGTCGACGACAAGGCATTTGAGGAGTCATTCACCGACATATACACCTCAAAGAGTCTGCAAAAGCAGTGGTACAGCGGTAAGTTGAACAAAATGGATATCGATTTTCTTAGTGATCAATATCTAATGTTTAATCTCATGAAAATTGATCTTGTTGTGCTTCTAGTTCTGGGAAACCATGACTACAGGGGTGATGTGTTAGCACAGTTGAGTCCTGTTCTTCGGAATATCGATAGCCGATGGCTCTGCTTGAGAAACTTCATCCTTAATGCAGGTGAAATCAAGACTACTGTTTGTAGAACATCCTGTTGAAGTGTCTTTCTTATGATTGTTTCTGTCACCAGAAATCGTAGACTTCTTCTTCGTGGACACAACTCCCCTTGTGGAATCTTATTGGACCAACCCAGAGGATCATCACTATGACTGGAGAGAAGTCGCACCTCGCGAAAACTACATCCCAAATCTCTTGAAGGTATGGTATATCGGCAAATTGCTGCAACCATACATATCTATGAAGTTTTTGTTTTGAATGCTTGAAGATATGTCGTTAGGATTTGGATGCTGCACTGAAAGAATCCACAGCACCATGGAAGATTGTGGTTGGTCACCACACGATGAGAAGTGTTAGTGATCATGGTGACACACCTGAGCTTCTCGCTTTGCTTCTGCCAGTCCTCAAGGTAAGTCTGCTTGCTAATTCTTACACAAAGGGCTGCTTTTGATGTTCCAAGCCCTGATCTTGCTGAGATCACAGGACAATGGCGTCGATCTCTACGTCAACGGGCATGATCACTGCCTGGAGCACATCAGCAGCAAAGACAGGTGAAGTATCTGATTGATGCCTCCTCGACATGAATTGTTATAGAAGGTGGATTCCGATCTCCCTCATAGTGTTTCTTCATTGGCAGTCCGATCCAGTATCTGACGAGCGGAGGCGGCTCCAAGGCATGGAGGGGCGTCTTCACCCCAAACTCCGACAAGCTCCAATTCTTCCATGATGGTCAAGGGTTCATGTCTCTGCAGCTGACAGCGGCAGCTGCCAACATTGTCTTCTACGATGTGTTCGGCCAGGAACTCTACCAATGGAGTGTGACCAAAAATCTCCACGCTGCAGAGTAGGGCAGAACTCAAATCGCTTGTCAATATATCGCCATTGAAGAACTTGGGATTGTGAGTTATATGCCTGCACGATGAAGTGGGCACAACATGCATCTATAAGGTAGAGAGAGTGTGGTGTGGGGGTTCTTACATTGACTGAACGACTGTTACTGGGAATTAGATGATGATGGAAGTAGTATTGCTTGTGATCACCCCATTCACTTCCAGTTTGATGGCAGCCAGATAAAGAATGAATTAGAGAAAGGTCATCTTGTTGTGCCTGTTGCCATTTCATTTGCTTTCGGTGTGATGGCATCCAAATAAAGAAGAGATTAAAGAGAGATCAGCTTTCAGTTTGGTGGCAGACAAATAAAGAAGACATGAAGGAAAGATCATCTAATGTGTCAGTCGCCACTTCATTTGTTTTCAGTGGACACACTAAAAGAAAGATCATCTGATGGTGCCTTTTGCCACTTCATTTGCTTTTAGTTTCATGGCAACCAGATAAGGAAGACACCAAACAAAGATCATCTTCTTGTGCCTGTTGCCACCTCAGTTGCTTCCAGTTTGATGAGCCAGAATAAGATGACAGTCAAAAGAAGTTTGTGCCAGTGGGCATGGCAACAGTCCCAGAAAAAGGTTTTAATTGGTTAAAGGTGCACGCAACCTTGAGAGAATATGCCTTTAGATAATACCTATCCTGAATTTTAAAATATTTTTTTATATATTAAATTAAGGGATAATTTTTTAAAAAAAGTCTATAGTTTTTTTTATTTTAATTATACAGTGACTCATCTTTAAAAATTATAGCATAGAGTCATTCTTTCATAAAAAAATTATTTTACCTTTGTGACTAATAGTAATAAAAAGAGAAACTAATAGTCCTATATAGTACCTCCACCAGTTGACTCCACATGAAATCTGAAATCATGGGAGAATATATTAATGTCCTACATACTACCTCTATCAGTTGACTCAACATGAAAAGTGAGATCATGAGGGCTTCATCTTGCAAGATTGTGCATTGATGTGTTGTGTTGCATTAAGGTGACAACAAGAAGGTGGACACTGGAGAACAAGGAAAAGTTGAGGTGGGTGTGCCTGCTGCTGTAAGTGTTACCAAATGCAGTCTCAACCAATTGTTGAACTGATGGAACATGGAATCACCTCTCCTTCTTTAATTGGCTCTACAGCCATCACTTGAAGTGGTTGACATGGTTCCCTCATGTTGTCTTCTTCCGAGACAATGGCTGGGGATTCACATGGATTGCACTGCTATGGTTACAACTCCAAGTATTCCTAAAGGTGCTTCTGATGTGGATACCAACTCCCAAGTATTTGTTTCTCAAGGTGCTTCTGATTCACAAGGCATGCGCTGAGATGGTTGCAACTCCATGAATGTACTAATGCCCTAGATAGTACCTCCACCAGTTGACACCCACATGAAAACTGATCATGAGAGCCTCATCTTGGATGGACTATCAAAGAATAATGTGCATTAACATTAATGTGGTTGGTTGCATGAGAGTAACATGATTTGTATTTCGACAAGAAGTCGGCACTAGAAAACAAGGAAAAGTTGCAGTGGCCACCAGCATGCAGGTGGGGTAGACGCTGTTGCAGTTGCTTTAGCATTCCGGCAGTGCGATAGATGATATTAGAGTCAATCTCGGAGGATGATTAGAAGTCAACTAAAAAAAGATTATTGATCACGTAGGTAATTCACTTGATATATTTGTAATACGTCATCATACATAACATGATCATACTTCTCCCCCTTTGTCATCAATAAAAGGGAGAAGCATAACTTTCAAGTGTTTGGAGATATAAGTTCAAATCATTGCATCATAAAGCTCCAGTTTTATTATCATGCAAGCTAGCAAAAAATTTTCAAAATTTTAGAATATGCAAGCTAGCTATTTTTGCTTCCTTTTACAATGTGCAAGTTGTAAGTTTTGCTTCTTGAGATAAGTAAGCTAGTGATGTTCAAGATAGGCTGCAAAGATGCTCCTCAAATCGCTATATAAACCTCCTTTCCATACGCACCACGTGATTAAGAAGGGATCGATAGGTTTTTGATTGATAATAACATGATACTCGAATATCCACGTATAATATATATATCAAGGAATAAATTAATTAACTATGTTTAAACTTACATAGAAAATTAAAATCCTCAAGTGAGTTGAGTAGGTCACGGATTGATAGTGACGTGACATTCGAATAAAGTTGCTAATTATGTTTAAACTTGAAGAGTGTATGACCCTCAAATTAATCTCACATGAGAATAAGAAGATAATTAAGTCATTTTACAATATTTAGATAAATCTACTGTAATTAAGACTGACATATATATATATATATATATATATATATATATATATATATATATATATATAGTTGGGCCAAGAACGGCGGCGGGCCTTCGGGCGAGGAACGGCCGTGTCCATCGTTAATTCTTTTTCCCGCGCGTCGCCTCATCACGCTCGCGGTTACTTCTCGCCGTTCTCCGCCCAAACCCAGAGCAGAAACCCTCGGAGGCTCCGATCCCGGACCTCCTCCGAGGCCCCGGATAAAACCCTTGCCTTCCTCTCTTCTCTCTTTTGTCGATTTTATCATGAAATCTTTAATTTTTATGTAATTTTACTCTCTTATTTCTCGAGGGCCTTCGTTGGTTTTGTGGATTAGGTCAATCGACATCTTCCTATTAGCGTGCTTTCTTCCTTTAGTTTCTCCGTTTGGGGCTTTTGTTTTCTTCGAGTTCATGGCCCTTTTCCCTTCAATTTCTCCATTGATGCATTTGCCTTATTCGTCATTGTTGTTCAAACAAATTGCTCTTCTGGCAATCGAGATAGAGGGATTATTGCGATTGCATTTAGAGGGATTTTAGATCCATTATGTCCTCTGGCAATCGAGTGAGTTTCACATGAAATAACATACATGAAGTTATATTTTAAACTGGTGTTTCTTGAATTATTTAATGGAAGTCACAAATTTTATGTGGATTTGAAGAATGAAGAGTAAAGAATGATAAAATTTTTTGTAATTAGTGATGAGATTTTGGATTGTGGTATTGGCAAAAACAGATGGAAATTGAAGGTTACGAGACTATCTTGAACTGATATCGCATTAGTGCCATAGCATGTAACATGCTGAGATCATCTTGGAGAATGTTTTCATCCTCATTGCTATTCTTTAAATGCATTTACATATTTGTATTGTACGTTTTCATAGTTACCAAAGAAGAGATAATAAAGTAGGTGTTTGTGTTCCATAATCTAATTGCGCATCTTGTTAAAATGTCTGATATGGCCATTATCTGTTTGTTTATATGGCATTAGAACCATAGCAGGTGGCATGCTAATATCTTGAAGAACTCTGTTATCAGCATTTGTTTCGTCCTTTTGCAGACTTGCCATAGAACAAATGATAAAGTAGGTATTGTGCTCCGTAATCGTCTGATGTGATCATTAGCTATTTGTTAATATGACATTAGAACCATGGTATGTGACATGCTAACATCTTGTAGAACCTGGTATCGATATAAGCACTGTCCAAATGCATCTACATGCTTGTATTGACCTTTCTCATGTTCGCCAAGGAGCAGATGATATAGTAGCTATTTCTGTTCTATAACTCAATTGTGATCTTGTTAAAATAGTTGATATGAATAGAAGGATCTTCCTTCAATGATATTGACATTTTCCATGATGATATTAGCTATAAGCATGTTTAGTCTCAGTGGTCCTCCAGGATTCTTGTAAGCAAGACAATACATGTTCTTCTATATCTGATAGCTTGGATTGGGAGGTCATTATAGCCATCATCTGGATTAAACTATGATTTATCAGAACTTCTGAAATGCATTTGCTTGGGTGCTTGAATCAAGAAACAGGATTTTCAGGTGTGTAGCTCATGTCTCTTATTTAAGTTATTGGCTTTGTTCATTTATGCATTTCCTGGTTACTTTGTCCTCCATATTTACTGCTGTATGCTATCTCGATAATTCCTGTACATGGAAATAAGGCTTGTACATATTTCATGAATTTATTTTATCCCTTAAACTATCTATGCATGCAAAATAGCTGAAAACTCTTCTACATTGTAAAAGGAGTGGACATCTTTCTATTCTTTAGTTTGGTCAGAAGAAGCTATTTATGAACAGGTCATTTTATGTTGATTCTTGGGCCAAGAATATGCAGAGTAGGCATTTGCTATATTAATATTTTGCTGGAGAAAGTTATTTGTGGTACTCAAAATTGATTTACCATAATATTTACTGTTATTATATTCCCTAACTTATAATCTAGTGTAAGTTATACTTGCGACTTTTTTTTTGAAGTGTTTCATTCTTAAACAGTCATGCATGTTTCAGAATATTGCTTACTGTTTCCAATCAGATTAGCTTAGATAATCCTCTTTCTGAACCTTTTTTGTATGGAACAAACCACTTATATGGCTTCTTCTCCATTGTTCTATATGTCAACATCTTCATTAGGTTTTACATCCCTTTATCCAGCTTAAAACTGGCTCTAAATCTCAGGGAACACTTAGCTAGTTGCAAATGCATTTGTTTTCCTCACAGCTCAGTTCATGTTTGAGAACCAAAATTTCGTTAGAAAACCTCACAGCTAAGGATCTCTTCTAGCTTCCTTATCTAAAGGGTTGGAGGGAAATTATGTGGTGATGACAACAACCAATCTGATAGGATTTGTATTTCTGATGTGTCAAAGCCTTGATCTGAGCACACAAAATTATTAGCAGTTTCTACTCTATTTTAACTCATGGACACCAGATGACAAAAGTAGTATATGCCAATGTCAAAGTGCAGAAGCTACAGGTTGAATTTTGTTTTTTGGTGGATCCTCCATAAGGTAACGAATTCCAGATTGTGTCAGGCTAAGATTAGATTTCGTCAAGTAAGTTTGATGATTGCCAACTTTAGTTTAAACCCTATAATGCAATGCCTGTTCGCAGCAAATTTTAACAAAAAATGAAAGTGTAGCATGCCTCCTCCAATTTCACATGTTATCATTGCTAAATTTAAAGAATTTACCTTCAATGAACATTTTGTATCAATAAAACATTGATGGCACTCATTTCCTAACAAATTTATTCGACATTCATTGACCAGGAAAACAGCAGCTGAAAATAGACTCAGCTCAGCATGTTCAGAAATCTCATAGGCAGCACATAACACCAAGTTCAAAATTAAAGCTGCTATGGCTGTTTCAGTCCCATGATATGTGACGCCAAGGCATGTTCACCAGACTCCAATAACACCTCGACGACAGCATCAACACAATCAGCCTGCAAGGGAGTCTCCCTCTCGACAACCTTTGCTGCCAACCTCAGAGCCTCGTTCAAATGACCCTCCTCACAAAAGCCTAGCAGAAGACGAGAGTAGACATCAGAGTCGATGCAGACCAACCCCTTCTCCTCCATCTCGAGGACACGGCATGTGTCCACGAATCGCCTCCGTTCACATAGCTCCCTCATCAAAGAATTGCATGCCAGACCGCTCGGTCGATCACCCTTCTCCAGCATCATCCCAAGTACCTTCTCTGCACCTTCGATGTCCTGAATTCTCAACAGGCACACGACAAGCACGCTATAGCAGTCTGCTGTCGAGACCGCTCCTTCTCCAGCCACCCTCCCGATCAGCTCGTGTGCTCCGTTGACATGCCCCTGTGCGCAGAAGCCATCCACCAGAGTCCGAATTGTCACCAGGTTTGGAGAACAGCGTCTCTGCCCCATCCGGTCTAGGATGCCCAATGCGTCACCTAGCTGACCCTTGTCGCAGAGGCATTTGATCAAACAGGTATAGGTCACCACATTTGGTGCACATGCCGCCTCCAATTCACGCTCCATCTCAACCAGAAGCTCCATCGCCGACTTTAGATCACCGCAGGCGCAAGCCCCATCGAGCAGAGCCGAGTAAGCGACCGCATTGGGCACGCACCCGTTCGCCCGCATCTGGCCGTGGAGGCCGCGGGCGGCTCCAATCTGGCCTGAGGCGGACAGCCCTCGCACGGCCGTAACGTAAGTTATCACATCTGGGATCAACCTGGCTTCTGTCATCTCTTCCAAGAGAGCTGCGACAGCTCCGCCACGGCCAGCATCGGCCAGGAGGCGAAGGACGGCGTTATAAGAGGCGTTATGCGGGCGGCAGTTGAACTCCGGCATTCGACGGAGGAGGGCGAGGGCCTCGTCAGGAAGGTTGCCGTGGCGACAGAGGTTGAGGAGGATTTTGAAAGTCTTAACGCAGACGGGGAATGCGACGGCGCGGTAGGAATCCAAGAGTTGGGACAGGAAGTAGGGGTGGCGGGGAAGGTGGAGGGCGTCGCACGCGGCAACGTAGGCCGCGGCAGAATGGTGATGGTTGGGTTGGAGGCCGGCCCAGACGAAGAAGCGGAGCGCCAGCGCTCGGTCGTCGTCATCCTTGGTGGCGGCCGCGGAAGACTGGCGGAGGACCGATTCCACGACGGGGGCGGTAAGCTTGGTGTTGGAGAGCGAGCGGGAGAGCGTTCGCTCGAGGGAAGGGTGCCCGGAGTTGGAGCGGAGGAGGCGCCAGAAACCAGAAGCAGTGTCGTCGATCGCGGCGAAGGTGGTGGAGGAGAGGAGACGAGAGAGGAGGGAGGAAAGGAGGTGGGTTTCGGAGCACAGACGTCTAGAAAATGGGGAGAATGCAGCCATCTTACGAACGGAGGCGACGGTCCCGTCCCAACAGGGGACAAACTTATGTGGCATGCACAATCCGTATACATAAATAACAGTTGCCACAGAAAATGATTTAGGATATAGAGCAGGTACCTTTTACCTTATAAATTGAATATAGGTGAACCGATTATTATTAACAGTACCTTAGAATAGACTTATAGTATTTTCGATCTTTTTTATTAAAATATTATTTATATAATAATAATTAAGGAATTGAGCTATGATGAAAAGGAGATACTTATTTAAAAGAATAAAAAATAGGAGACACCATTTGTAAAAATGAACAAAAGGAACATCTCTCTCAGGAAAAGTCCAAAAATATATATTTTTTTTCTGAGAATTCACCCTTAGATTATTTAGTCTTAATTTCTAATTCTCATTTCTTAGATTTTATAACAATATCTTAGATGATTTATATAATTTTTTATTAGTCTCCAATAAACATGTACTGATGGCTATTTAAATGTTATAAAATTAATACTATATTTTCATTTGAATATTATTATTATTTTTTAAATTCAGCTTTAATTAGAATTTTAAAATCTCGTGAAACTGAAAAAAAAAAGGTCGGCAAATGGTAATAAACTCTTAATATGATCACAGCGTCTTTTCCGTTTACTATATAATATTATGAGATATTCGAGCTGTGAGTCATATGCGTTATTTGATATAATATTTTTAAAATTAATATAATATTATGAAATAACCCGATATGACAAAGTCAATTCCTTCCCGTCAAGACCAAAGTCACAATCTTCAAGCTGAAGAAACAAGAATTATGCCTCAAAATAGTGGCCTGCCTTCGACCCACCGAGAGACGGAGAGAGAGAATGGGGTTGCAGTGGGTGATTTTGGCGGGGGTGGTGGCAATGGAGGCCGCGGTCGCGGTGCTGCTGACTCTCCCCGCCCCGCGTCTCGTCAAGTCGCGGATCGTTGCCTTGGCGTCGCTCCTCCTTCAGCCCGGAGCCAGTATCCTCCCTTTCGCGGCCTTCCAGTTCTTAGGTAAACTCGTCATTTCTCTGTCTCTACATCATTCTAGGTGGTGTTTCTGAATTATTTCGATGCTTGTGCTCGATCTCTCTTTGTGTAATTCCATGTAGATTTGCGTTGGAAGAACGAGCATCGGCTGATGTGTACCTTCGAGGTCTGTACCACCGAAGAGAGGACTCGATACGAGAAATCCGTAAGCGTTCCTCTTCCCGCATGTGATCTCTTCACCCTCTCTTCTCCTACACTAACGCTTTTAGGGTTTGATATTGATTTGGGCACATATAGGTTTTGGAGGCTGTTTCATTCTATGATTGAATATATTATTTGCCAGTTTTAAGCCGGATATATTAATACTTTACTTTTGCAGAGGATCCTCAAATCTGACGTGAAAACGATATCATGGAAAGAAATTGCTTGTTTTCTGTCTGTCTATGGTTTAGAGACGATGTAAGAAAATAGAAATTTTAATGAATAGGAGAAGAATGTTGCACAGGATACAACGTAGGTCCTTGTTAGTTCATGGATGCCGACTTGCCATGCCATTATTGTTCTTTGAAATGCTATTTAGATAGTCATCTGAAGATCATCTTTAGCTGCTGTTCGTTTCTAACTTGTTAGAAAATATTGATATATCACCAAATTTATTTTTTCAACATGTTGCTATTATGTATGTGGGTGTTGTTGATATAACATGGGTTCTAATTGTAATATAGACACTCCAATGCTTGGTACAATTTGTTGCAACAATTGAGGTTGGTTTAAGGATACATGTTGTACATGATGTACATCCATGTGCTTGTAAAATATTGGGTTAGCCTGGTTCTCTATGAGAATGGCTAAATCCTGAAACATGTTTTTCATAAAGAAATTTCTTCAGAAACAGAAGTATAACTTTTTTCTATAAAAATAAGAGATAGGAACAACCACATATTTTAATATTTCATAGTCTGTTAGATATTGTATAGGTTATAACATGTTTTACTGCAGACGATTTACTGTGTGTTTTCATAAACTCAACTGTTCATGGTTCCATACACCTTTTATAGAGAAAAAAACTACATAACATCATCTAGTATCGTTATTTAAGCAAGGTTAATTTGCTTATTTTCTGTTTTCAACTTAATTAAAATCACAAATAGGGTTGTCTCTGGAACTCTCAACTTTGTTTGTTTTATTTTTAACTTCTAGTTGTTTTATTGAAAAATTAGCTTCATTATTTCTAGTTGAGACATGACTTCCAATATGGTTTGGTTCTTGCTGTACTTTCAGCCAATCTGATTGGAAACCCTAGATTGTATTTCATCTAACAAATAGGTTTAGTTTTTAGTTTGGTTTGGTTGATAACAATTGGGCTTTTCATTGGTTCCATCAGAAACCATTTAAGAGTGCATTAGACCCCATATACCAAAATGTATATTCTTAAGCTCACAAGATCACTGCTTTCTTTGGCTCAAAGAATTTCTGTATCTGGAATTTTAGACAAAAGGATTTTTCTATATAAACCAAAATGTATTAAAAAGAATCCAATTCTGTGTGTTGTTTATTAGTACTGTGAATCTTTTGTTCTAAAATATTGAAACTGAAGCTGCTGATACTTGATTCAAAACTTGTGAGACCTTTCTCTCTGGCCATTGGTCAAGGCTAAGACTTGAAGCCTTGTAAAGTTCGCTCATGCCTATTTCCACAGCAGAGTATGATATTATAGGAATTAATCTTAGAAGTAATTGAACTTTATAAAGTAGGTCTCCTTGACTTCTTTTTTGTGTTTTTGTGTCCAAGCTTTAAAAAATTGGCTGCCTTGACTTTGTTACGTGTCCAATTTCCTGATCGCCCTAGGCTTCTATCTGCTCAGATTGACCAATCCAGGGTTTCCTGATTAAGGTCTTTTTCCCTTTTTTGGGCCATTTCAGATAACATTACTCTATTACAACGATATGAATTTCCCTGATTGAGAAGCTGGAAGACCTTGCACCCAAAGTGTTGCCATGCCTTTGGTTGCTACTGAAGCATACTTCTTTGTGATCATTTGGCAGTTTTCATATTAGGATTTAGGATTAGTTATTTTGATTTGATTTCTTATAATCCAGAGCTTTGCCACACCGATGTTGTACCCGAAACCTACTTGTGGTTCAGTGTTACTTCTTAGATTCAGTTATCTATATCCATGAATTTTGCGAGTGGAAGATGTTTATTATATATTAAGTCACATACTCTGTAGAAGTTTATGACGCTGTTGTCTTCTTATGCAGATATTTAAAGCACAGAGAAATGTCATTCTATGTGTCTCAGCATGTCTCCTTTATTGGTACGGAAAATTTAATACTTCCACTATTGCGAGTATGTGTGTACTGTTGAGTTTGTAGTTCTCTCTGATGATTTTGATGGGCAGGTGTATCTTTCGTATTTGCAAATACCACAAAGAGATTAGGGAATTGGAAGAAGTTGAGAAGCATCTGAAAGATCAGTAGCCATACCATGTCTGATGATTAAATTACACGAAGGTGATTGGTTAATTTTTGGCTTTATTGCTCCTTTGAGTTTTCTAGGAATACATTAGTTAGTCTTGGATGTGCTCTGTATTGGCATATTGTTATTTCTTAGTATGTAATATGATGATTATTCGTTGTAGTAGTTGTTATCACATATAGGGATATGCATAATCAAGAATTCACTAGCTTATTGAAAGGAAAGAAGTGAAAATGAAATGAAAACATTTATGCTGCCTTATTTAAGGAATCAACTGATTCTGGTTGGTACTCACTTTTATGGAACCAGCATTTTCGGTGCTTTACCTTTATCAAACTACTGCTTCTGTTTCAAAGGTCAACATTATGTGGATGAATTGTACCATAAGGTAGTTATCCCCCAGGGTCTGGCTCAGCAAGTATTGCGGCAAGGTTGATATTTCGGCCCTTGGTTTTCTGACTAAAATATGGAGAGACGAGAAAATAGGTGTAAACTTATGAGCTTGAAGATGGTCAAATGAAATAATTTGGTCAGTAGAGTTTAGTAATCTATATTTTCATTCTGACTGACTTGGTATATACTATTTGTTGACACCCTCTCTCTCTCTCTCTCTCTCTCTACCTTACAGTCTCAACCACATATAAGTCCTTGTTCAAGGTGATTACGTTTTACAAAATTTTTGATACATCGGTTCAATGTTTCTGTTGCATAACTGTTCTTTCTTTCTGTTTTGAGCAAGTGAAGACTGAAACTTTTATTGGAGACCACAAATTACTATTGCTATTTTTTAATTACCAACTGCTATGAATCATATTAATTGCATGATTGTTAATTGATAATGATTTCCTTGTCATAAAGAATAGACATTTGTTCTCATTTCTAGAATAAGATCACATGTCTAGCTTACAGAAATGGAAATATTGATAGAATTTCATTAATGAGTTGAAACCATATGGTGACTGTCATTAGCCTGTTACATGTATTGTGTTCTGGTAGATGTCTGCAACGGTTCTTATCAAGTTCTCTTTATTATGTGCAACAGGTTAGATTGTTGGTGAGTGAATGGACAATTTTATAATGTAAGAGTCGATGAAGCTTTGATGATTACTATTCTCCGCAGATAGGTTTTCGAACTGGTGTTGATTGTCGTTCTTGTTCTTGTTCTCTTCATGTACTTGAATGACTTAATATGAAAACCATGATTTGAACTTGCATAAATGCATTTCATATCTCCTGAAAAATATTGTAAAGAACAGTTGCAGATTGATCTTCTTGATAAAATTATGATCATGATTTATGTCTGTTATAGATTATGTTTCAGTGTGATTTCGATGAATATACAGTAGAGTTGATTTTGGAACGGTGAAGTCCTCTGTCATGTTTGATTCAGGTACTCGAAATCAAAATCGAAATGATGATATTCATTTGATTGTTCGGTGTATGAATTCGAAAGATTCTAACTTGATTAAAAATAACTGATATGATCTGTTTAACTTTTTGCTCGTACAAGTTTATATTATTTTATGTCTTTGTGGTTATATTATGTAATATTCATATGTGTGTCTCTGGGCACTTAGAAGTTGGGTTTGTGGGTCCCTAGAATTGCGCAGACAGGGGAACTGAGCTTTTGTCACCTAATGAGCCCACTGTTTGCTTATCTCTGTATGTTATCATGCATTCACATGTATTCACATGAACACTGGGGAACTGAGCTGCAGTAGATGAACCTTTTTCTCTTCGACAAAGAGAAAGATGGGATGAGAAACCATTTCTTTTGAATTTCTATATTCTTAAATGCTTGATTAAATGATGGTTTCGTTGTTGTTGTTGTTCGACAAATGTTTACATCAATTTGTCTCTGCTGTATCTTCCTTCCATCATTAATGCGTATATGATTCGTCACTCTGATGTGCAGGAGCTTGGCTTTCCATGAATTGAAGTCTTCATGCAATCAGCCACTTGTGATGCTGAAACCGTCTAATAATCCTGCCATGTCTTTCCAGATTGCACAACAGAAACACCGCACACAGACAAGAAAGGTTCATCAAGTGGTTCAGTGGTCATCATGTTACATGAACAACAAAGGAAGCAACAAGAAAAGGAAATCAAGAACAAATCAAAGACAAACAAGAAACGAAAGGCTCAGTTGCAACTGCTGGTTACGCTAATTCCTCCGTCGAACTGAACTCATCTTCCATCGGCCGAGGTGAAGGAGTCGGCGAAGCCCGGCGGCCCCGTCGGTATGCTGGTGTAGGTGTTGTCCAAGCTTGCGAGGAACGAGCTCGTGGCTCCGTCGATGTGGCTTCGGTCCTCGAATGCCTGCCATTTCTTCAGTGCTTGGGGAAGCGTCATATCCAGGTCGATCCCGTAGCTCTCTTCCGAGTCGGGATCACAAGGCTTCCAAAGCTCTGAGAGCGAAGAGAGCACGTTGACCGCGTGCCCCATGTCCGGCCTCTGGTGAGGCTCCCTGGCACAGCAGTGGCCGGCGAGCTCCGCTACGGTCCCGACGCTGGCCGTGGTCTCCTCGTCCATGTCGATCGCGGGGTCGATGGCAGCCTTTCGGAACGCCTCCTTGTCGAGGAGCATCCTCCGAAACCATGTCACCAGGTGCATGCTCTCCTCCGGTTGGCTCTCGTCGAGCGCCTTCCTCCCGGTGATCATCTCCATCAGTATCACTCCAAAGCTGAAGACATCAACCTTTGTGGTCACACGCCCCGTCACTGCAAGCAAGTTAGAACGATCAGAACAACAACATCAGGCCCATGCAAACTCATGATCCAATCATTCTGGATTACCCGCATACTCTGGTGCTAGATAACCAAAAGTTCCTGCAATCCTCGTCTCGACGGAACACCCTTTCCCGTCCGGTGCAAGCCGAACCAGTCCGAAGTCGGCGACCTTGGCCTTCATGTCGTCCCCAAGGAGAATGTTGGACGGCTTCAGATCCCTGTGGATGAAGCTCTGCTGCGCCAAGCTGTGTAAGTACTCCACCCCTCTCGCCACATCCAGTGCAATGCTTAGTCTTTTCTTCCACTCCAATGGCTTCTGTCCTCCTTCCTTCCAGTCGAACAGATGGCGGCTCAGCGTCCCCTGCGGCATGTACTCGTACACCAGCAGCCTCTCGTTCCCATCCAAGCAGTACCCGAGCAGAGACACCAAATTCCGATGCCTGACCTTCGTGAGGACCGCGATCTCCGACTTGAACTCGTTCAGTCCCTTCGTCCCCATCGCGCCTGCCTCCATCCTCTTGACCGCGATCTTGGTGCCGTCGTGCAGCTCGCCCTTGTACACCGTTCCGAATCCGCCGTGGCCCAGCACGTTTTCCTCGCTGAAGTTGTCGGTCACGTTCCTCAGGACCTGGATCGAGATAACCATGTTCCCGGCCTCGAGGACATGGACGTCGCTCGTGCCACTGGTCGTCGGGCTGGTAATCGTCTCGCTCGCGGCTGCGCCGCCGTTGACGCTCGATCCTGCAACCGTGATCTTGATAATGTCCGGATCGGATCCCGAGTGCCGTGGGTGGATCACGGTTGTGTTCGGACTCTGAACTCTGCCGAGATTTTGCTGCTTTCTCCTGTAATGGCAGAAAACCAACAGCCCGACGAGGATAATCCCGAGCACCGCAGCTATCACCGAGCCTGCAATGGCACCGGCCACAGCAGAAGAAGACTTCCCGCTGCCTCTGCTTCTTGAGTCGGTCGATCCGCTTGGATTCGAGTTGCTGCCCTGCCCGGCCGAGGCCGAACCGGCGTCACCACCGACCACAATCTTCCCTATGTTCTGGTTCCCAGCGGTGTTCACCAGCACATTCTTGCTAAAGCTCGGAACTTGTCCCCATAACGAGTTGTTCGACACATCCAATTCCTTCAGAGATGGCAAGCTTGCGAGCTTGGCCGGAATGGTCCCGGTGAGGTTGTTGTTCGAGAGCAGCAGCTTCTGCAACGAAACGATCGATCCGAACTCTGGCGATATCGTCCCGTTGAGGCCCATCCTCTGGAAGTTGATCACCGTGATGTTGCCATTGTCGTTGCAGCTGATCCCCAACCATCCGCACGGGTCATTGCCCTTCCAGTTCTCGGCGAACCGAGCGGGATAGCCGAGATCTTTCGCGACGGCGAGCAGGACATTGACGCGGGGATCGCAGGCTCCTGGACTCGGAAGGCAAAAGCTCTCGTCTTTGGGGTCTACATCCACTTCTTTGACCGAACTCGGGAACACAGGCACCGCCCCCTGCAGCAGGTTATTGGTGAGGGTGACCTTGGTCAGCGACGGGAGCTGGGTCAAGGACTTGGGGACGACGCCGGTGAGGCGGTTGTCCCTGAGCTGGAGGTCGCGCAGGCTGGTGAGCTGGGAGAAGTTCGGCAACGGGCCGGAGAAGTCGTTGGAGTGAAGCCAGAGCTCCTCGAGTGCGGTCATGTTCTCGACGAACGCTATACCGCCGGAGAGGCGGGCGGGGCCTCGCTGGTTGTTGAGCCAGAGGGAGCGGAGCGGGGCGGCGGCGAAGGCGGCTGGGACGGGGCCGGAGAGCCGGTTGAAGGCGAGGCCGAGGTGGTCGAGGGCGGGAAATGCGGTGGCGAGGAAGGCGGGGAGGGGACCAGAGACGCCGGCAGTGTTGACGGAGAAGTTGACGAGGGCGGCGGCGTCACGGAGGGAGTCCGGAAGCGGCCAGGGGGCGAGAGGGTTGTCGTCGAGGAAGGCGGATTGGAGGGAGGATAGGCCGGCGAAGAAGCCGTCCGGGAGGGAGGAGAAGCGGTTGCCGTGGAGGAGGAGGACCTGGAGGGACGAGAGGTCAGCGAGGGAGGGCAGGGGGCCGGCGAGGCGGTTCTGCTGGAGCTCGAGGCGGACGAGGGCGGTGAGGTTGCGGACGGCGGGGGACAGAGAGCCGGAGAGGCCGCATTTGCCGGCCTGGATGGCAGTGACGCGGCCGTCGGAACAGGAAACGCCGGCCCAGGCGGCGCAGGGGTCGGCGGAGAGAGACCAGGCGAGGGAGGGGGAACGGTCGGCGCCTAGGCCGGCGGCGAGGACCCTCATGGCCTGCAGGTCGCTCGGATCAGTCTCCGCCCGGGCGTCCCCGGCGGCCGCGAGGAGCAGGGCCACCAGCAGCAGGTGGCGAAGGGAGCAGCCGGCCATTAGTGTTGTGAGCGAGTGAAACTTCGTGTTCGTCTATATAGGAAGAGGTTTTGAGCCTCAATAGAAGGGAAGAAGGTGAAGTGCACGCAAGGGAGATTGCGAAGGAAAATAAGAGAGAGAGAGAGAGAGAGAGAGACCCGCACATGGTGGGGACCAGAGTCTGGCTTACCCGTACGGGACCAGAGGCAGGAAGCAGGAACCTACAGTCTCGGGAATCCAATGGGTTCTCAGGATGGCACGCGGGCTCCACTGGGCCCACATCGTCGCCCCCACCATTTTTCTTCTATTCCTACAGTGAAAATACCGAACCGTGATTGTTTTCTGGCAGAAGATCTCCACCATCGGCAATGTAGGGGCCCGAGACACGCAGAAAGACAGCGATCAGCCAGCCAAGCCCAGCCTGCTGGATTCGGAGTGTTGCTGATATCTGACAACGATCTGCTGTCCAAGGCCTTGGATGCTCTTCACCCGCCTTCCTGCTCCTGCCGCTAAAGCAAGCCTGCCTTTGGAACTCTGTAAAGTTAAGCCACCTTGAACAATCCTTTTCTTCTAATCTCTACAGTTGAGAAACTGATCCAGAAAGGAAGAGGAATATAGCTCAACAAAGGAGTCGGCAACACTGAATCCCTTTCTTCTGTTCTCTAAAGTGGAAAGCTTGAAGGAAGAGATGCTCTGCTGGTTCTGGTTGGTTCACTCGGTGGTTGCCTGTCCAGTTTGGATAGATCTCTCTCACGGTACAGGTGAGAAACTTGAGAGTCAAATCACACCAAGGCAGACACATATTCCTCTCACCCCCTCGAGATTTCAAGGTCTCACTGCCCAATGCACAGACACGTTGATGAAGACTAGCACTACCGTAGTGTAATTCTGGGCTAGCATTTACCAGTCTCACCTGTCCACACAAGGGAGAGCTTGTGTTCATCGACCAGGCAAGAAGATGTCTGTGTTCACAGCCACAAGAAACTAGAGCGGCAGTAGGGACAGTTGGATCTGCCGTTGTTCTTGTTGCATACAGCCTTGTACAACACACCTAGCTTATTGTCTAAAGGAAGAATGCAATGTCTTGTTGCCTCATGCATTTAACACCAATCAATGGCTAAAATAATATGCTGTGCAGTGGACATGCTTCTTCCTTCCTTTTTGTCCTCTTCCATCATGAGAAAGTAATATATGTTGTGTGCTTTAGAATAGAAGGAATGGTCCTTATTGTCTCATATGATCTATTTGAATGTGTGGTTTAACGACACAAGTGGAGTTCTATTTCCTTTTATTCAATTGGAGAAACTTCTCTTTCGGATGTAGTGTAATCAATCAATGGCATTTATTCTCCAAAACCAGTCCAATGCATTTAATTCAGCAAATCCATGCAGAACTGCAGACAAAAACTGGGAGGAAGCAGGTGTACACAATGTCAGAGAACCATCAGCTTTCTCTGGGACTATAAATGAGAGACACTTCTTCCATGCTCCACTGCTTCTTTGCATTAAATGTTGTTGCTGCTTGTGTCCTTGTGGAAGGTACATTAATGAGAGATCAAACTGTTCAATAATTTGTATTTTTATTTAAAGAAATAAGAAATAGCAGGCAAGAAACTGAACCCCCCCCCAGAAATCTTGCTATCAAGAAAATATAGGCTTGATGTGGACCTGTCAGGAGTCATCCTGCAAACAAAACAAGTATCATCATAATCTGATGCAGGCAAAATGCTGTGACTTCAGCTTGGGAGCAGGATGCAACAGGAAGCTAGCATCAACCATGGTTTGTTGTGTGTATCTGATGCACCTCCTTTCCAGAAATAAAATCTCTGATTGATGCTCATTTTGGTTGAGGAAATAAACAAGAAGCATATTGAAGCATCAATGTTTCAACCATATCTGATCCACTTGATGACAATCTCAGCTTCACATCAATTTTAGATTAGAGAATTTAATGAATGTTGATTAGCTTTGGCATGAATGCTGTCCTTCTGAGGACAAATTTGTTAACAGAAATAACTTTGCAGTATATCCACTTATATTTTAGTTCCATTGCATACTAAGATTTCATTGGACAGGTAAACCAGTTATATTAGTTCTGTTTATCATCTTAGGATTTAATGCCCCCCCATTTCATTTTTCTAGCAAGCTTACTTTCCATGAAATCTAATGTCATCCATAAATAACCATGAAAAATTATGGAGATGTAAGGGTTTAGGGACTTGCCTTCCTATCAAGAAAAACACATACTTCAGCCCCAAAATAGGTAATAAAAATAAAAATAGAAATCGATGGCAATTTCGTAATTATTGATGTTGTTAAGGGTGACTCCGTCATGTGCCCATCAACAGCCGCCCCCGAAATCCGCGGCTCATCTCTCTCCGACCGCAAATCAGCCTATAGCGTTCGACCGGCGCCTCCCCATTTCTAAACCCTAATTCCAATTCCCCCCACCCCCACCTCTGCCTTCCTGCCCGATCTCTTCGGTTCTTCGTCTGGTGATCGATCGTCGCTTCGTTGTTATTTTGTTATGTTTGTCGTGTGTTCTGGTTTTTAATTGTTGAATTTGATGGAGGGTTTCCTGTGTCGCAGATCTCGTGACTGTTTCGCGTCGGTTTCGGTCGATGGAAGCCGCCTCGGGCCTTCGCTCTCCTCGGTGCCTTCGCAAAGCTCCCGGCTTTAGCTCGAGGTCGTGCCTCTTGGCCATCCACGGGACCAATTCTTCTCTCTCGTTTGATCCCAAGCCCCGTTACTCGACCCTGTGGCTCAAGGTTCGGGATGCATATTTGATTAGAATCTAATGTAATCCACGTTTTAGTTCGCTTGACGTTGGGATGAGCTCCTTTGATGCGTTCGTGACAGAGTGATTCTTCAATTTCTCTGTCAAAGCAAGGGCGAAGACTATTTGGTGCTCGGAGGAGCATTGGCGTTCGGGCATCGTCATCTTCCTCGGAATCGTCGTTGCCTATTGCTCCTCTCCAGCTGGAGTCACCTATTGGGCAATTCCTGTCTCAGATTCTCGTTAGTCATCCTCATCTCCTGCCGGCTGCTGTTGATCAGCAGCTCGAGCAGCTCCAGACTGACCGTGAGGCCGAGAAGAACAAGGAGGAGCCTGCACCTTCGGGAACTGACATAGTTCTATACCGGTGAAGATATAATTTTTTATAGTGAAAGTAATTGATTTGTTTTAGGTGACGGAAGATAAGTTTTTGTCTCCGGATCGTTGCATCGACAGAGCTTTATGTAGATGAAAGTTCTGACTCTTTATGCTGAGAAATAATAGTGAACTTATTGTATTGGGTAGAAGATTAATTCTGGTATTGAAATTGTTAGGAGGATTGCCGAGGTGAAAGCTAATGAGAGGAGAACGGCTCTGGAGGAGATTCTATATGCATTGGTTATTCAAAAGTTTGTTGAGGCTGATGTTTCTTTGGTTCCTGCTATATCTCAGTCGACGGACCCTTCCAGTAGGGTTGATCACTGGCCACCCCAGGACGAGAAACTTGAAAGGTTGCATTCCCCCGAGGCTTATGAAATGATCAAGAATCACCTGGCTCTCATATTGGGGCAACGGTTAAGTGATTCCAACTCTGTGGCACCTATTAGCAAGCTCAGGATTGGGCAGGTTTATGCTGCTTCTGTCATGTATGGTTATTTCCTTAAGAGAGTGGACCAAAGGTTTCAACTTGAGAAGTCCATGAAGACTCTCCCTTGGGGATCAGATAAAGAGGAGATTGCTATTAAGCAAGCGATGCCAGATGAGTCGAGACCATTCACTGAGTCCAGGATTTCAAATCCTGAGCTGCCTTCTTGGTCTTCTCCAGGCTTTAACAAGGGTGCAGTTGGCAATGGGGCCAAGTCCAGTCTGCTGCGATCCTATGTCATGTCCTTTGATTCTGATACCCTTCAAAGGTACGTCACGATTAGATCAAAGGAAGCCTTTACCATTATCGAGAAGCACACCGAGGCGCTATTTGGAAGGCCTGAGATTGTGATCACACCCCAGGGAACCATCGATTCTTCTAAGGATGAACTGATCAAGATAAGTTTCGGAGGATTGAGGAGGCTTATTTTGGAGGCTATAACTTTTGGTTCTTTCCTCTGGGATGTTGAGGGCTATGTAGATTCAAGGTATCATTTTGTGACCAACTAGTTTGCATATAATTAGATGTGGGGGATTTGATGATGACTAAATGGTTCAGACAGTGTGCTGCATATTATTCTACAATAATTGCTGAAGGTGGAAATCACCAAATGGTGGCACTCAGATCTTCATATCCATCGGATCCTTCCATACAACTGTTGAGGTCTTTAGTGCTGTACATAAGGGTTTCCTCTAGTTTCTGTTTCATGTATGTTCTTGATAGTTGTTTTGATGTCTGTTCCTTGACTGTTTAGTAGTCTTTTTTGGTTAATTTTTTTGCTTGTAACTTGGAGTTAGAAACTTTCTTGTTTGTGAAGAGCACCATTTTCTATCAGGTGAAATATTGTATTTTGAAGTAATAATTATTTTTTCTCAATAACCTGTTCATTTGTAGCTTTTCTACATTCTTAATCTTTATGTTATTTTCCATAGTAACCTTTAAAAGTATATATTCTGTTCTGCTTTGAACTAACATTTACTTGTTAAAAAAAGACATATACTTGTTATAAGATATAATTTCCAGGGATCTTGAAAGTTACTTTTGAACTAATATATATTGTCCTTACAGATTGTTTTATGATCTGGAATATAATATGGCTTGTTGGAATATGGTGCCTGATAGTTTTGAGAATTATTTTATCTCTTATCAAAAATATCTGCTGCAATGGAAGCAAATACCCAGATGAATATTTCTGTCTATCACAAATCCTTTTGAATATCTTGATAGGTTTATTTCTGTATATACAAATGGACACAGTCAATCATATAGCGGCAGTTTGTCTCACCTTTGGTTTCTTGTGATTGGATAATAAAGGTGTGCATTGGATATCTGTCTTCTCTATAATCCACCAGATTAGATATTGGAAAGGAAATCCCTTGTATTTCCTTCTCTATTTAATTTGTACCTTTCAAAATTCTCATTATTATATGTTTCTGTCAAGCCAGAACTTGATAAATTTGATGATTTTTTCTTTGTTGATTATTATGTAAACTGAAAGAATTTTGATTAGCGTTTGATGGTATACATATATAAGAAAAGAATATGTAGTCGATAACTTTGATGATTTTTCTTCACTGCTTATAATGTAACCTGAAAATATTTCGAGATTTTATAACAGCAAAATCTTGTACTAAGTTTAAAAACTAGCTTTTTGGAAAAGTTGGTGATCGAGGTCATCTGTGTGGCAGTAGGTTCATCTGCTCTCGTACTGCTTCGGTGAGTTACTTATATGGGTGGAGGCTTGGAGCCTAGTTTGTCAATTGAGTGAGCCTTTCTGTGCAAAGTTGTCAATTTAGGTAAAGATGGAGGTTTTGAGGTTTTAGAACAGTTTGTCATCGTGTGTCTACTAGCTGTGACATTTTCTATTTGTGTCATCTTTTCTGGTCATCCTATCTTTGGGTGCCTGATACACATATAATATGAAAGTGAATGTTATCGGTCTATCCGGAAGGGGAATAGGCAATTGGTTTGTGTCGATTTGGAAACCTAAAAGATGTTTTGTTTTGGTACTTACTTTGTGGGATTTTTTTTTTTGAAGTTTCTTATGCTCTTGTTATCCAAGAAAATAAACGGAATCGGGACAGATCTAGTAGGTTCTTGTGTAGCTCATTGGAGATAAATTTTACTTGAGAATTTAATCTGTTGGCTTCTGATACATTCGATCTCTTTCTTTTGCCCAATCATTATTTCTGATTATTCTCTATTATTGTAACTGCTAATGATCGACAACTCTGTAACTGTTGTATCTACTGCAGCAGGTATAGTTCCAGGTTTCTGATGTAATCAGGCATTTTTCTTATCTTATTTGAATTCACAACTCTACACCATAGAGATACTTAATCATCATTTCACATTTTCTTTCTCTAGCCAAACCCAAGCATTTGATCTGATTACAGCTTTTGGTCTCACCTTAATTAGTATTATCAATTTGATTGTGTGGTTGTACTACTGTCATCTGTTGTTTGCGTTCAAAACCTATTATTTATTCTATCAATCTTTAAGCTTGCTGTGAGCTTTAGCTTCGCATCTCCTAATGCTCTGTTGTGTTTTGCTCTCACCTTTCTTCAGTTCTTTTCAGGGACTTCCATCCCTGCCTTCTTTCTCCAACTTATGCCAATGTGTGTGCCACATATTAAAGGGTGATTGCAACACAGGTTGTTCTACTATCATCATTTATCGTTTCCCTTGAACCCTTCATTCATTCTATCGATTTCAGGTTCCTTTGAGCTGAGCTTGAGCATTCCATCTCCTAATGCTATGAGGTATTTTGCTATCACCTTTCTTCAGTTCTTTTCAGAGGACTCTCGTCCCTGCCTGTCTTCTACAACTTATCGTAATATCTATCATATGACTATCATATGACTGTGGATAAACTGGCTGAAAAGAACATGCACAGCCAATATTTTTTTTCTAGTTACGTTCCCCATCTCATTTGACAATCCTCTTCCAGGAGAACACATCCATCGGCCTCATCACAGACCTCCATTAGGTTGCCTGACCAAGAAAAAGCAGCATATAAGCAAATCCATTACCAGAACTCTCTCTCTCGTCTGAAACTTTTTGGCCTCTGTAGTATGACTGTGAGACACATCTCGTTGACACCAAACATTAGCAGGACTCATCACCATCCATAAGGTCTTCCATCCACTGCAGTAAATAACGTGTATAGAACTCTGCGTCGATGCATACAAAGTTCATTGGAACTCCGGGAGACGAAGGCTAAGGAAGGCAGAGTGGGCTCGGAGGTGGGCTCCCCCCACCGGGCCGTACCGGGAGAGTGACGTGCGCATCGGGCGCGGCCGTCAGAGGAGTACCAGAAGCGTCTGATGTTGATCCGACGGCGGGAAAGTCTCGAGAGGCGACGCTTGACGCGGGACCGGCTCGGCGTCCCCGAGGTGGCAACGGCTAATTTCGCTGATGTGGCGTCGAGTTCGACAAGTCACGTCACCGGTGAATTTACTTTTGCGCCCTGATACTTTACCTTAATTACGATAAAGCCCTCTTACTGAGTTAGGAAACCTAAGAGTAGATGAGAGAGCTCAACTCAGCAAGATCGCCTGAATTACTACTAATTGAGATAATACTAATTATTATTATTATAGTAATTGTATATTACTAGAATATTAAATCCTCAATTTATGAGAAAACCAGTCATCTTGGATTCCAAACATCCAGCTCAGCTACTTTGAAGGTGGGTACTCATCCATCCTAAGTTGGCTCCTTCTCGTTGGTCACTACTGCTGTTCAAGGACGTCAGTGGGCACTACTACGTTCATGTGAAGTATCAATTTGATCTTGTGCACCGGCATCTGACACATGGTATTGTCTACATCCAAATAGATGCCAGAAAAGAACCAGTCCTTCCCAATATATGACGAGCACGTCTTGTGCACAAAATTTTGGTTAATTATGATGTCCAACATGGTAAGAAAATTGAGTTTATGCCATGCTGATTAAGCCACTACTGAGGACAACAACAAGTCGCAAAAGTTCCAGTGATATTCACCTTATCTATCGTTTTTATGTCTTTCCTATACGTGCTGTATCTTTCGTCGATAAAATCGATGGTATTATAATAAATGAAGTTAAATATTTTACTTTCATAATTAATAAAGATTTCAATGTAAATTTTTGAAGTCTAAAGATCGAAATGTTAAAGAGATCTAATTATAGGATAATATAGAGTAAGCCCACTTATTTCTTAAAATGATCATATGAGTTCCTCATTTCGTTAATTTATTAGATGTCTTCGGCTTTCCAACGTACACACGTTTGAACCCCAATCCATAATCTAATTGTTGGGAGACAAAAAAATAAATTATGGATTGGGATCAATTAGCAAATCACATGGCAGCTTAATCGTTTCATTTAAGACGACCATCATGACTTTTACAAGAAAGAGAACAAATTGGCCAGCATCAGCCAGCAAGTCATTCGGACAATTAAAGTGCAGTAAGAAGAGACACTCTTTTAAGTGGCCATATACTCACTCTTTAAGGGACCTGTCTCGGGTCACTATTCATGACATTTTGGTAGTCTGTACTCGCTGACGACGAAGAAGAAGATATACTCTTTTAAGTGGACTGTCTCGGGTCACCTTTTCCACTGCTAGTATTCATTACATTTTTGGTCTGTACTCCACTCGTTGAAGAAGAAGACGAAGAAAAGGAGTTGATGATGGGAACACATAACAAATTTTACAGTGATAGAATACTTTCTTTTGGGCGATTTTTTCTGAATTTTTTTTCTCTTTTTAGCTTTTTCTCAAATGATGTCTTCAATTTTTTTTTAATTTTTTCATTTGTTATCCTTATTTTTTTTTCTAATATATTAAATATCTCTCGTTGTTCCATGTCGCTTTCGTCCCTTTGTGGTCACTCGCCATGAGGTTTGGAGGTTTCGTCACTTTCATTATATCGTCTAATTACTTTCTTTCCGTCACTTCTGTCTCGTTATAATCATGTCTGCATGGTCATCTCCTTCTCCTTCCTCACATTCTGATGTGCTTACAAACGATGATGTGATCGAAGCGATAAACAATGAGATAGAGATGACAGAGCCTCATCTACCATCATCGACGTCTATCACTCGACGAAACAAAAGTGATCAAACGAAGATGACAAAGCAAAGGTGATCACGGTAAGATACGACGAAGATGGTCATAACAGACGAAAGTAATATAGTAAAAACAATAGGACGACGATAAGTTTGTTAAATAAAAAACTAAATATATCAAATAAAAAAAATAAAAATAAAAACAATTATTTCTAAAAATGAAAAACAAGGGGGTGCAAATGGCCGCTTACTTTTCAACAATACATGTCAATTCTTTACTATGAATAGTTCACTGAGGAGAGAGATAATTGGGGAAGAGAACTATATATTGCAACATTGTGTCAGATGTCTGCTGCATTTTACTCTGTACTCCTCAGTGGCGTTGGATACAGCATTAGATAGTGCTCTCAATTACTATCAGTACTCTATAGCCTCTACATTTTACACAGGTGAGGCATACATCCTTTCAACTCTTGCTTGCATACTCTATTAATGCTCTCTCTCTCTCTCTCATTTGAAGGCCAGCCTTTCTTTTGCACAAGTATACCTTTCTTTCCTCTTCCCCCAAGAAACATAGAGAAAGAGGGAGCTCTTTTCTCAATACAACACTAGAAAGAAGCACCCATACAGAGCACACACAGCCAACCCTGCAGAAGAACAGCAGATGAATAAACGAGAGAAAGGGGAGATGGTGGTGTGTTCTTCTTCCTTCTTCTTCCTACTCTTGGCGTCATCTGTACTCCTCTCCTCCTCCACCACCTCCTCTTCCTCCCATGCGGCCTGTAGTATCCTCAAGCTACCCAACCTCGCCACCCTCTCTTTCGAGGAAGGCTACACGCAGCTCTTCGGCGACTCCAATCTCATGCTTCACCGCAATGGCAGGACCGTCCACCTCTCCCTGGACCAGAGAACAGGTACTCAAATGCTCTTCTTCCGTCTCTGCTTCGTTGGTTTTGTCTCTGTCACCTCTCTACAGCCATCTGTCTCTGATGCTGGATTGGACTGCACTGCCTTTCATGGTGTTGGACAATGGGTAGGTGCTGGATTCGCCTCGCAAGATCTCTACCTCCATGGATTCTTCAGTGCTTCCATCAAGCTCCCTTCGGATTACGCGGCCGGAGTCGTCGTCGCGTTCTATGTAAGCCCACCTCTTTTGCGTTGTATCCTTCGTTTATCCATGCACAGGTGATGCTGATGTTACTTTCCTAAATCCAATTCAGTCATCGCCTTCTTGAAGCTTTCAAGACAGACTTCTTTTGATGTAGGAATTTCTTGATTCCCCAGTCATTTTGCTGTTATTCTCTTCTGATCACAATAGCAATCGAATGCCACATGGTTTTGTTCCATGTTTGCCATGAACCATTGAAATGTTCTCTTGTTTCTCTGATTCATCTATTTCCGTGGTAGCTCTTCTGCAAGTTGCTGTAGTATTTCTGGTTGCTAATCATAATAGTTAGATGATTATGATGCTAACTTCATCCTCTTTTCCAAGCTTTTATGTTTGCAGTATAACCCCAAGTTCTCTAATATCTATCTTTGGTTATTATCAGCTTAAAAAATTTTAAGAATGACCATCTTTCAAAAAAGCTTTCCTCTGATTTCTCTCTTGATTTGCTGCAATCAACTAATATTTGACACATTCAAGTTGAAAGACACATTCTAAAATGCATGGTTCCTTATTTAGTATCTCCATCACAGTGCACAAAAATCTTGTTTTCTTGTCAAAACAGATGTCGAATGGAGACATCTTCGAGAAGACGCATGATGAATTGGACTTTGAATTCTTGGGGAATATACGAGGGAGGGAATGGAGGGTTCAAACCAATGTCTATGGCAATGGGAGTACAGCAATCGGAAGGGAAGAAAGATATGGACTCTGGTTTGATCCGACGGAGGATTTTCATCAGTACTCCATCCTGTGGAGCCATGACAAGATCCTGTAAGTTTGAGTAGCTTCAGAATTCAACACAAAGCAAGTAAACGCGATGATTGATCTTTCCTCGCAGCTCATTGCTCGAACATGCCTTTTTTCCTTTTACTTGATTTTGATAATTTCATCCTCTTACCTCTTTCTTCCACTTCTGACAGAGTTACAGGTATAGGAGATGGTGCTTGCTAACTTATTGTTGGATTTTAGTATATTATACTTCCGAATGGGTTTAATTTGGAATGCCCTAACACTTGTTTTTTGTTTCTATGTATTCTTCTTTCTTCTTTTACAATGTTATCATGATTCCATTTTTAAAAATGATAAAGTGTTAAAAGTCAAAGAGATTATATTGATCTTTGTGCAATATTTTTTCCCCTAGCAAACCAAGTTTCTTACTGTTCTTATTTACATGCAAAATTTTCTTTTATGCTGGTTTATTTAGCTTTTTTCAGGACTTTAATGCATCAGTAAGTTGAATATGGGGAAGCTTTGTTTTTTTTTTTATGATGTGATTTGGATTAAAATCATGCAATCCTAAAATTTTAAGCAAACGAAATCCAGAGTTCTTTCAATTCTTTGGAAATTGTGTATATTCAAGGCGCATGTTCAATGCTGCATCATGAATTCTGAAATGATAAGAGGCCTTTTCCTCTAATTGTTGTGTGGTATCTGCCTTAGTTCTTTCTACTATTCGAATAATAGTTTTGTGATCTTTCAAGCTACCATTAGTCTGCTTTTGTAGGTTACAAGCAAACCTCTTAGATTCTTTGGTCCATAAAAGTCAGCTTCTGATCTGTTATCCGAAAACGTAAAATTCTAATGAACAAAAGGAATACTCAAATTTATTCCTCATACGCATTTAGTGAAAAGTATAGCTATATTAGTCTTGTCATTTATAAAATTCAAGAATATATAGTAGTTGATGCCTAAGTATGCTCTTCAGACTAAATAACCCAAACCTCATCCTTATGGTGTTCTATCTTTCCCTTGTGCAGATTCTATATCGACAATACTCCCATTAGAGAGGTTATAAGGACACAAGCCATGGGTGGGCAATTCCCCTCGAAGCCTATGTCCCTCTATGCCACCATTTGGGATGGATCAAATTGGGCTACGTTAGGAGGACGCTACAAGGTCAATTACAAATACGCACCCTACGTTGCCGAATTTGGGGATCTTATCCTCCATGGCTGTGCCGTTGATCCCAGTGATCACACTCAGAGCTGCCAGCGGCCAGATGTGTTACTCTATGATGCTATTACAATGTCAACAGTTCAACGGTCTGCAATGGAGAAGTTCCGGAAGAAGTACATGACCTATTCCTACTGCCATGATCGTGTGAGGTACCAGACATTGCTTCCCGAGTGCAAAATTGGTCCCGAATCTGAGAGCTTTCATTCGTCAGGCGAAACAAAGCTCAATAAGCATCGTAATCGTGCTAAGCGCCATCGATGGAGCTCGGCTGGCACTGCCCTTTCGGTCTAACTGGAAATTTCAAATGTCGGGGAGGTAATAATTTTGCTTGTGCCGTATAGCATATTTCTGTGTGAGAGTGGTGGGACTATGTAGATTCTTATTTTTCATGGCACATTTACAAGCATTAAGCCAAGTTTCTCATCATTAAACTACTTATTTGTGTCTTCTCATCGTTAAATATTCCTGAAACCTCACACCTAAATCAAGAGTATGGGATGGACACATGGAATGATGATCCACAGATGGAGGTGGGAGGTTTCTTTGTTCATGTTCTTTTGTTCTGTGCTGGAGGTAGTGGTGTGTAGGGCCATGGCTTTGTAAAAAGAGGAGTGGTTGAGTTTGAGATACTTTTGTGTTTGTGTTGATCATCTTAGGATGCCATTATTAACTTGCCTTTTAGCCTTTTTCTCTTCTGCAAACTGGCAAGATTCTCAAGGTCTTTCATGCAGAAATGTGGGGTCTCTCCTGGCAGAAGGGCCAGCATATGAGGAAAAAGATGAACAGCTTGAGCATAATATGCTTCTCTCCTCATCAGCTATATAACTTTAGGCCACAGGGCAAAGAAAATACAGCTTGCAGGACATGGTGGGGTGATCATAATTGCTTTTCATGGAATCTGTGAAAGCTTGCTCAGGTTGTTCATTGATTGATGACAAGACTCACTAGCATTTCAGCATCTTAATCATCAACAGTTACTGATTCAAATTCATGGGAGTCCTGCCATGGCAGACACATCCAAAAACCCCTCCCTCATTGGTTTTGTTGCTAAAAATAATCATGAGTTTGATCAAATTGTGAGCTCATTCTTTCAGTTTATGCAATGTTGAAGAATAATAAGGTTTCTGCCTCATGCTTGTGTGAGGGGAATTAAGAACCATAACACCCATCTCTAAGGATTATATTCACTCAAAAGCATATCTGGTTTATGATTTCAGTAATGTAGATGGTGACTAGCATTTTTCAACATCATCACAACCTTACTCTGTAAGATGCATGTCATGCATCAGATGCTGCATCAGGTGAAGCCTCCAAAACAGAGTACTTATCACTAATAAATCTGATTACAGAATAGAATCAGCAGTTCGATTCGAATCCGAACTGATCAGAAAAAAATAAAATAAAAAAATAAATACCCATATAAATAATGTATATGTCCCTTCTAATAGTTTATTAAATGATTAAATGGATAAGTATTTTTTAAAAAAATAAAATAGATGGATTTCAGTTTCAAATTCGAGATTAGCATAAGGAGATGTTTATTTTTTTTAAAATAAAAAAAAAATAAATTCATTTGGGTTTAGAAAGATCTGAAAAGTAACATCAACAATATCTCTATATATTTATCTGGATTAGCATAAAAGTGAGTTAAGCAATGAGATTAGCTTAAGGAGATGTTTGTTTCTGTGGATTTGATAGCCATAGTGAGTTAACATGTGAACACAGGGAAAGAGAACCGAGCCGGACCGGTTCGATTGCTCAGGTGAGCGCGCCGCACGAACCGGGCTTTGGTTCATTCGACCCTTTTCTCACGTTTAAAATCCCCCGCCCTACTTAACGGTGGAAGACAAGGGAGAGAAAGAAGGTTCGAGCGAGACGAGCCGACGAGCGCGCGCGGTGGTCTCTCCCTCCCCACATCTCAAGCTCCAAACTTGCTGCTGAATCGATATTCTTCGGCCCGATTTGGTAATGAGCTCTTCCTCGATTCAATCATCTGGTGTTTGTCTGCAATGGTTTCCTCCCCCTCCTTCTTCTTCTTCTTCCTTTTTGTTTGGATGTTTGAGCATGCGGATGGATGTGCATCGAATGATCCTTAAATTTGACGCTTCACGAACATTGGCCGGTTAAGGGCTTGAGGTTAATGCTTCTGATCGTTGTGTGACAAAAAAACTTGGTTTTTAGTCTCTTTGGTTTAGATATCTGACCGCTGAGAGAAAGAACATATATGCAACTGGAACAACAATTCATGGCTTGCAAGTTTCATCCTCCGAGGGCAGTAACCAGTATTATCCAACCTAGATATGTTCAATCACTTATCCTAATACTTTATGACACACTGTCCAAGGAAAAGGGGGAAGATCTAAGAGTTTTAGGCAATGTCGAAAGCTGTGAGATGTAAGGAAAAATGCAGAACTTAATTTGTGACAATGTGGGAGAATGATGGCATCCAACTACATAAAAAAATTTGCTTACAGAAGATCATCATTCGCAAACTTGTTCTTGCCGGCGACATAACAGGCGAAAAAAAATCAAAGAAAAATATGGACAAATTGTGCATCCAAGGACTAAAGAAAACCAATGAACCTTGGTCGACCTAATTTACACCAAATTTTGTTCCACACCATTAACCAATAATTACATAACTTCTGGACAGTCTCCCATGCTTTCATCCTACTGGTTTAATTAAAAAAAGAGGAAAAGAAGAACAAAATTATTGTATCAAACTGACAAGCCGAGAGGGCCTTCTTTCTTCAATTCACAACCACAAAGATCCAATGGAACGTATTTTCTCAGCATCCAATCACTTGTCATAACTACATTGCTGGTGGACCACCTTGATAACTTACCGAGTATCTTGGGAGATGGCAAAAGATGAAGCCCATGAAAGAGTTGTTCCGACTCAATTGGAGATCCTGTCTATTGCAAAGATATGCTGCTTTGGATCAGTAAGTCATCCAGCTGACCCATAATCTACAAAACAGAGTAACCGGTTAAAAGGTCCTAAAATGCAAAACCTCTTTCATATAGAGCACAAAATGCGTAACCAGCATCCAAGTTTATGAAATAAATTTATATGAGAGGCCAATAATACAGATGTTTATGATCATATAATTAATTATAAAGGTCACCCATTTTCTGTTAATCAAACTCTTAAAAAGGTTGTAATTGCATATAGCCTGCAACAAACTGGAAATGACATGCCTTCATGGTATCTCGAATTAAAATTTGGAGGTGCTTTCAAACCAACGACAGTCGTAAACACACATAGGCATATCTAAAACAACTTGGCCCATACATATGATGAATGTCCAAACACATTAAATTTATAGTTGCATGCTAAATCTATAAATCAATCCATAAACCACTTGGAATTGAATTGTCAGGTCCCTCTGCAGTAAATAGAAACTCTAAAAGCTTAACAATTTCCTCTAACGGTTATTATATCCATTTTCTTCCAGCTGAGAGATATTCTAGCCACTAATATCAGCAATCCTGCTACCAACAACACTGGAAAAAGTTACTGAGGCATGATACTCATGCCAGATCACATGAAGCGAACCATATACGGTTTTACAACTCTACAAACAATTAATTGTAGCAATGGCATTACAATTTCTACAAAAAATATGCATAGAAATCAAGAAAAGCATGCAATGTTCAGGACACAAAGGATATATGCAGCTAATAAACATATTTGATGATATATGTACATACATATATATATACACACATACATATATATATAAGTTAAACAAGGTCTTTACCAGGACCTTGCCTTTTTTTCTTACTGCTAACTTCTTCAGCTAACAATGAAAACCCTCCTTCAGAACGACAGTCCTGCCTGGTTGGCTGCCCTGATCAGTAATGGGCAATGTTTCTTCTAATTAAGTTAAGAGTTGTCCTTGGTTCTCATTGATTAAATGGCAACTTTTGGTCTATTGAAGCTGGAAAGTATTTAACTTCGATTTAATGGCAAATGCATCTATGGTAACTATCAAACATGATAAACCTATTAATCCACAGTGTGGAGAAAATCTCTGGTTACCTTAACATGAGACCTGCGATATAAACAAATAGGGTACACGGATCAATTAACCACAAGATGATACAAAAATGAGCTATGTATCAAAACAAATGCAACTCTGGCATAACGTAACTAATCAAAGAAGCTCCTCAGGCTGTTTATATAGACCAGTAAGAATGCATATCTTCCTCATACTAGAGAAATCAAACTTTACAAACTGAGAATGAGGATATATTTTGTGTCTTTTTATCATATATAAGCAGACCAAATGGATCCTTTAATTTCAGATTAAGATAATAAATAAAATGAACATTGTGAGATAGAGCTATGAAGATAACCTTATCAAATATTAAATAATGCACATGAAAGAATTTCAAGTTTTACTTACTAAAATATTCATGAGATCATTTGAAACTTGTGGAAGCACAATGTCCACTTTGAAATGCCCCATTAATTCCAAAAATATCTTGATTTAGAACAAATCCATCGTCACCGGTATAAGTACTAGTATTAGTCAAGTCATTAGTTGGGGACTCAATATCATCCACAGCAAAACGGCTTGGAAGGCAAGTACCTTTACCAACAAAACCAAGACTTCTACATTGTCCTTTTTCAGGAAATTTCCCCAATTGTGTATCAGTGGCTTGAACATTGCAAGAGTTAGGCACAAGACAAGGTGACCCATTAGGCCGACCTATAATAACATCAGGGTGATGCAACTGCCAACTGGTACTGCTACTTGTGCTTGATAAAGCTTCTGGAACCATCGATATAGGAACAGAATAGCCATCTACAGCAGCTAAATTCTCAAAGCCTCCATCTAAGACTTGTCCCATGCTGGATGGCATAATATCTGATTGAGTTGGCAATGGATTGTAATTCACAGTGACAGGCATAATGCTTTTCTCTGTCTGCAGGGTGCTTGATAGCTGAGATGGAACTACCATGGAGTTCTGGTTACTATGAAAAGATTTGGTCCCTGCCTGAAAACTGTTTGATGTTTGAGAAGGGGGTAATATAGAGACTTGATTTAGGAGCCCAGTATCATTCCCTAGTGAAAATCCAGTCAATGATTGTGAGGGAAATATTGATGATCTATGATTTGTAATAAAATGATTATTCCCTGCCTTCAAGCTGGTGGATGATTGAGAAGTAACTACAACAGAATCCTGGATCACCGGAACAACAGTATTCCCCCCTTGATAATTAGTTGAAGACTGAGAGGGGACTACAAAGTCCTGATTTAAAAGCATAGGATTCCCCTGAACCTGAAAATTGCTTGATGATTTTCTGGGGGTTACCAGGCAAGATGGTTGCATTTTAATTGCACGATTGGAATCTGATATCACTGTTTGTGGCTGTGGCTGCTGCAACATTGTCACCAGCATGTTATTGTTCCGAGTATTCAACCTTCCAAGGTTGCTGGCAGAGCCCACAGCCCCAGGGTCATTTGTGGACCAAACTGGTAAAGAAGATACTGCCTGACCCTTCAGCGAAGGCTGGCCAAATGCTATTCCACATTCAAAAGTAACACAATTAGTACCTTGCACTGAAGCCTGTTGAGGTACTGGCAGGTTTGTTGTCTGCATAGCAAAGCTATGCGAAGGATGACCTAAGAGCTCATCTTGCAAGGCAGCCAGGGTTTGTGGAGGAATTTGACCTGAGACTGCCAAAGTTTGGAAATCAAGTCGTCCCAACTGACCCACTTTTGCATTTGAAGAAGATCCACATAATGAATTATTAAGTCCAGTGTGGTGTTGAGCCACTCCACTTAATCTCTTTAGGTAAAGTCTGAATTTCTGCATATTTTAAAATTTTAAAAGGTCAGAATTGTTATTGTATATCATCTCAAATTTCACAAGGAATATCACATCACATTTCCTACATAATAAGCAATCAACTAATACTGATACATCGACTATTACTATATCCTAGGCAAGATCGTATATCTTAGTTAATCAATGCATGCTTTCATGTCTGCCAGTTAGCTCATTTATCAAACTACCATGAAAAAAAGGAACAAATAAGTACATGGCACATGGTTGTTGTCAGAAAGCTGCAACCACAATATGGATGATCTTTCTGAAAAAAGTGTAGCCACAATTACCTATAAATTTAATGAATGGACTCTGATGATCAAGCATATTAAGATTCCAAGAACATTGGTTTCGAATTGACAAAGACGATTTGTGATTACGTTCATAATGGCATTAAGCCCCATTGTCTGACTTCTGACATGTAAAATGCATCAATGCAGCTATTGATTTCTGAACTAATACATAATAGCACCATCTAGTGATATAATCACTGATTTATTGTGAAGGACCAGATACTAATGTAATTAATGTCATAGCTACATATAACATTAGATTATGATATGATATCATCCTTATGGATAGTGCCTGTTTTAGCCCTTAGCATTGTTTTATGCAAGCTATGGTTGGTGCTGTTGATGTTGGAGTCCAAGTAGAATATCCAATATATATATCTTACTACACTGAGATTATATCATATAAATGTGTTGTTTAATATGACTTTTATTTTAAGCTTATGCTAGATATTCCGGTAACCACTAGTAAATTCTTCCGTTTGGCTCTAAGAGATTTCTTAAAATATGCACTTTGATCATCAAGAAGTTTGTTTGTGGCTTGATATATCAAACATTTCAACTGTGCAAATTATTTACTGAAATAGTGACTTATCATTTGTGTTACATTTTTTTTATTATTCTCCGTAACTAATGATTAATGTTAGTAGTACAAGGAGAGGTAAAAGAAGACCTAATAAGACTTTAATAGAAACTATAAATAAAGATCTAAGTACTCTGAACTTAACTAACCATATAGCATTTTATAAATCTGAAGACAACAAAAGATTCATATAGTCAACTCTAAATAATTGGGACTTACGGTTTTGTTGTTGTTATTGTTCTCCGTAACTGTTTATCAAACTTTATCCTCGATCCTTGTGTCCATTATTATTTTGATAGCTCTATGATTTAGGATCTTATGTTCAAGTCCCTACTAATTTCAAGAAACCCTGATGTTATACTAGTAAACATGATCTGGTATGTCACAAGGCAATTATACAGTTGATATGGATAGATCAATGTATCATAGCTATTGCAAAGTCCATGACAATTGTTATGTAGGAACTGTCTAGGACATAAATTAAGGTAGCGGGTAACTAGCTTTTGGAGTGAACAAGGATCAAGCTTTGGAGGACTGGTTAAGATGAAGAGGCTGGACTGAAATGCACTGGTTTATCAGAGATAGGTAGATGTAGTACACAGAGGCAGATAACTGGTCGATGCTGATAGGGAACTTTGTCAAACCAGTAATAGTATGGTGCAAGTATTGTGGCATGCATATCCAGTCAGTGCACCATGGTACAGCATGCTAGTACAACTTTGTCTGATCCAACCGGTACATATTGGGCTGCACGGCCAGTACACAGTGAAATTACATAGAACAATTAAAGGTTCACTAGAGATAAAACAAATAGAAAAGAGAGAAGAAGAAGAACCAAGAGAGAATGATTCCCCAGCCAATCTCCAATAAGAAAACGATATGTTTGCCTGCTTGGAGTAAGAAGGCCTGTGGACAGTTGATACCTAAATCCATTCCCTGTTATTATGCCACATGAGAGAGATATTTGAGAAGGAAAAGGTGCAATATGGAAGTGTGCAAACAGATATTTCACAAGTATGTATATGGGAAATTGGTTATTTTGAAAGGTCAATTTAATGCAAAACAGTAAATATTATACAATTAAACAGTAACATATTATGGAAAACTGGCGAGAGAAAAGGGGGGGAATTTTTGACATATTCCAATATTTCAGATGCACAAAAGTGCACATATAGTTGCAATTTTAACATTAAAATAAAGTTCATATGTAGCTCAAAGTCAAACCTGCAAATGGCTAGCAACATTTTCTCTGGTCAAACCAGGAACATTCATTAATTCTAAGATTCTCTTCGGCACAGCCTCTGCAAAATCCAGCAAGATTTTTCAGTACTATTTGAAGTGCTGTTTTAAATATATAAAGAAAAGCTTATGTATGGTTAACAATGCATCAAAATTTGTATTGACAACCATTTAACTTGACAGTTAGACTGTTGCTGTCAGAATAAACATACAAGAGTCATGAAAAGTTCATACTGTCGATTCCAAGTTGGTTCACAGCATTGACAAACTGCTGATGGAGTTCAACCGACCACACCACACGTGGTTTCTTTGACGAAGAAGGGTCCACATTATCTAAATCACCATCATCATCTTCTTTAGCATCTCTTTTCATTTTCCGATGTTTCCACGAACCATCAGTTCCATCATTCAGTGTGGAATCATATTCAGAATCATCATTAACTTGTCTATTATGGTCAGCTTCCTCCACACTACCCGAATGTTCAATTTCTTTACTATCAAGCCACTTTCTTCTGACAACATGCTGCCATATGTTTTGTAGCTCTTCCATGCGTACAGGCTTCGATAAGAAATCACAGGCCCCATGACTTACTCCTTTCATGACAACATTGAATCTAGTATCACCAGACATCACTGAAAATTAATGCATAAAATAACATAAATATCCCTGGAATAGGTTAGTTGAATGTAGTGAATTTAGAAAAGAAATGTATTTACTGATGACAGGTAGATCCATTTCGAGACCAACTAATTCGAGCAGCTTGAACCCATCCATATCAGGCATATGAACATCGCTGATTATCATATCAAAAGCATCCTTGTTCTCCCTTAGAAGAGACAAGGCTCTTTTAGCCTCGAAACAAGTTGTAACTACAAGAGTAAAGAAGTCCATAGTCATTCTAAAGATTTGGAAACTACAAATGAGAGAAAACCAGGTTGACTATAATTTAATATGATATCCTTTTATTTGGCATACCTCTAGGTGTTAACATTAATCTTCGATGCAACCAAAAAAATAAGATACCACTTTGCAGAATTGTCCATATAGAAGTGCTTTTTTCGAATGGAAAATGCATTTTTAGACTAAAAAGCACGACCACAAGAAAGATGTTACAGACAACATATTTTAAAATGACAATGCCACACATGGAATGTGTTGAGTCATATGACTTTGTTATCAAATTGGACTAATATATTATATTACACAGTTTGCTACTTGCAAGCAGGTAAGGAACCAAAGGAAACTCAACATAAGTTGTGAAAAATCATGGCTTGAGCAGTTCACTTGGGATTAAAACACATACGTATCGGCTCACTTTTGATTGTCAAAGAAAATGCACCAGTTTTTTCTTTATTATAATTGTTTAAATTTTACTGGAACAACATGAGATAAACAGTTATGAGTATGCATGCACGCAGGGCAGGGAGTGAGAATCTGAGGTTGCTTTTGACTAAAAAATATTGGAGTATTTTCTATCATTAATAAGGCATAAGTTGTGGCCAGGGAGATTTAATTAAATGAACACAAATATGTTTGAGATAAATAGATGAGTAAAAACAGGATAACCGAGGTCTGCTCCCAAAGCTATTTATGGTCTAAAAGAAAGGACGAGAGGTTGAAGGAAAAGTTGTGAACTTGATCCAGTGTGGAGAAATCTGTAATTTGTGAATTAACAGGGATACTGTAAAATGATATTAAAAGGGATTTTCCACCTTTATTCACCAAGTTTCTGTGAAAGCAAAACCCTACCCTACTTTGACAGAATGGCACCTTGACCTCTCCAATTTCTCTGATGCACGCATGCAGGGCAGGGAGTGAGAATCTGAGGTTGCTTTTGACATAAAAAATATTGGAGTATTTTCTATCATTAATAAGGCACAAGTTGTGGCCAGGGAGAATTTAATTAAATGAACACAAATATGTTTGAGATAAATAGATGAGTAAAAACAGGATAACCGAGGTCTGCTCCCAAAGCTGTTTATGGTCTAAAAGAAAGGACGAGAGGTTGAAGGAAAAGTTGTGAACTTGATCCAGTGTGGAGAAATCTGTAATTTGTGAATTAACTGGGATACTGTAAAATGATATTAAAAGGGATTTTCCACCTTTATTCATCAAGTTTCTGTGAAAGCAAAACCCTACCCTACTTTGACAGAATGGCACCTTAACCTCTCCAATTTCTCTGATGACCGAACCTCCATTTCGCTCAAACGACATTGAAGACTAACTGCCAGAGAGAAAGATAGTCACACTGAAACACTAAGATCTTAAGTATATTTTCTTTTGATGTATTCTCATGGCACACCTGTATCACCACAATGCATGATGAACCATGCTGACAGCACTTGCCATGTTAAAAAAAATAAATGTTCCTGTGGATTAGGAAGTGCTTGTGACAAGCTGAAGGCAAAACTGTAAACTGTGCAATTATTTTGGTTTGTCTTAAAAGTTCCAGAGCACCTTGTACTTTAGAGATCCAAAATTTCCTTCGAAGTTCTAGAAATTGGAATGCATAAACTCTCCAAATCATTCTGCGAGTATAAATTTCAGTAAGATGAGTCTGGCCCATAAAGTACAACTTCCTCTTAAGAAATCTTAGGAGAAGGCAACAAAAATTACATTATTAACATCAATCTTCATGTCTTCACAACCTACAGATCAAAACCTAACCTTTTAGTTCCTGACAAACTAAATTTAAAAAGATTACCACAGCACCCACAATCATAATATCATCTGCTACCAGCAAGTAAAGATGAAAAACATTAAAAAGATCAAAATGTTTAAGGAACATAACATAATGCACTAAGGACAATCTCATAACTAATACCTGAGATTTCAATAATCATAAGGACCAACAAAACCCAGTACAAGTTTGAAAGGCGCATAAATTTCAGGCACACACAAGAATGCAAAGAAAATCTTACCATCATACTGGCAGTGAAGAAGCATGCGCTCCACCACCGCCAAGCAGGTCGAGTCGTCATCCACCAAGAGAACCTTCATCCCCACCGGAAACTTATCCGGCATCCTATTATTCTCCAACCTGGAGCTCGCGTAGCTGCTTCCCACGCTCATCTTCCGCACCGTCGATTCCCAAACCTTCGCACTCCCCCCAATCTACCCACCACTTCCCAGAGATTTTATCAAATCCCACCCCCGAACGGCCTCTTTTCCTCCTCCCACCGATACCCTAACGGCGTTCCTATCTAGCTTCCATCCATGACATCTCCAATTCGAAGAACAGCAAGATCCATTCCCCGGATCCGCCGCAACCTCCACGCGGCAGCAGGGCGGCGAAGTCAACGGGACGCCCCCTTCGCCGCAATCCGACCCCGCTACGATCGGATCCACTGCAGGATCAGGAAGAACAAACCCTTGGGAGCTCCGGATCGCGCCTCTCTCATCCAATTCCGTCGCCCTACCTCGATCCAAAGATCACTGTGCGCGATATAGAGAGACGGAGAGAGGAGAGAGGAGCGAGAAAGAGAGAGACGGCCACAATTTAGACTGTACTTTTTTCGATCCTTTCGCTTTTCTAAGGAGAGTTATTGAGTTATTTATAGTCTTTTTTAAGAATAGAGGGAAAAGGTTCCGGGAAAACTTCTCCCACTCGTGTTGTCGTTAATCTGTCTACCCGCGTTTTTATTGGCGGAGACAATTATATTACGTGGATCCCACAATTGGGTAAGGCACAGCGTAGAGAGTTTAGGTAAGAAAAAAATTGTTTAGGAGAGGGTGTGCTGCAGAGGAAAAGAAGACCAATAGGATCGCGCCAAGTGTCTTAGAATTATGGGGAAGTGGGACTCGGGGGGATTTCCCAGTCTTATTTAGGCACCCCCAATGAGTAGAATCAAATCATGCATTGGGAAGAAGATGGGTTGTGGGTTTGAGATGGGGATGGACTGTGCACAGCGACATACGAGCATGATTGGGGGAAGCCTTCTTGGCACCAATCTATGGCTTTGCAGTCTCTTCATTCATTGCTGCATGCTGGCCTCTTGCAGTTAATGTCGAGGGCCTGAGGGCGGATTGGAAGCCACAGCTGGCAGTCCTTTGAATGGTCTCAAATGGATCACACTGTTTCTTGGATTTATCATTCTAGTCTGTAGGGATTTAATCTACAGGAAATGACGATGACATGGGAAAGTAGATTCCCTACTTGATCAGATGATGAACGAGATGGCTTTCGTTTCTTAAAGCACTGGTGAAACATGGAGTGGGATAAAGGGAAAAGGCGGCGATCCACATGTTCCATATGGATAACGCATGGAGAAGCTCCACAGCGTGTTCTTATCTCGCCGGTCTCTTTCCGAAACCAGCTGCGTCCACTCGAACATGGAGTTGCTCATCCATGCCGACCTCCACCATCCATGGCTGTGTGGGCCTGTGATTTCGTAGACCAGATGGCCACAACGGTGACCACGGATGCACTGCAGAGGTCAAAGTCAGGTGTAGCTCTCCGGTTTCAATCCCTCAGGAGATAGTTGATAATGTCTTGGAGGTGTTCTTGGCCGGCGTCAACCCCAGGAAAGCTGAAGGTGACAGTACAGAAGACGAGAAGGTGGCCTGATGGAGAGTTTATTAGTATGTTTCATGTGCGTGAATGCTTCGATAGATAAAAGTCGGATATTGAGCTTCGCTCTCCAGTTACGATCCCTGGAGTTCATGGCTGCAAGAAAAGCTTTGCTGGTGTCAGCTCAGGAACCCTGGACAACGATCGAAGCTGACAGCTCAGGAGCCAGGAGAAGAGAGTTCCTCCTCATGTTCAATCTGCATATTTCTTCGTATCACATGAACTCAGATGCACCCTAGCTAACTCCTGTTACAAGGTCATCTTTTGCTAGTGTAGAAATCGAGAAGAGAGAGAAACCATGACTAAGCATGTTCATGTTCTCGTTGACATGGTCAATTGTTCTTTCTCAACAACATTTGACTTTGTCGGCAGTCAATTTTAATCCAAACATGGTATCTCTCTTCTTTTCATTTTGGATATGTCTAATTATGTTGGATTATTTTTGCTTTTTATTCCATGACAAAGGATGAAAATACAGAACAAAAAATATATGTAGTTGATTTTTAGCATTTGCCTTCTTTGCGAGTGTATTTTATATTTAGACAATATAAACCAAGAGAAAATAAACAGTTCTACTCGTCCATTAACTTTAGTTTATTTAGAATGAAAATATATTACGGAGAAACAATTTTATATAGTGTTTGATTGGGGTACTAATGATATATAAATTAATCCAAAAATAATAGCCATATTAGTGATGAAGTAGTAGTCACTAAGTGAAAATTAGCCATATGCAAATAATCCAAGACAAAGATGGAATAAATGTAATTGAATCAAGAATTTATATAATTTTGCTAAAGGAGAAATTATTACTGTTTGATTAACGAGTTATATCAGCTTCTTGCGTTGAAAATTTATTGATGATGAACCTCAAAGTCAAAGACTCGATCGGCGATGATGATCCCCAAAGTCAAAGAACTCGAGCTATGAGTTGGTCGCACAAGTCCCGTAGGACCTGAACCGAACCTGGTTTGAGCGCTTGGTTCATTCACTGTAGGATCTAAACTCAACCTGGATTTTGAGCTTGGTTCGCTTACTTGAGATGTCGTGCAGGGGATTCAAGTCGCCGCTATTTGGCGCCGGCTTGCTTGATGGTTTGCCTTTCGCTTTCGTTCGATGCGACATGGAGGAGGAAGACGAGCCTTCTTCTCGACTCAAACCCCTTCGACGCCCGCCTCTGAGCTTGGCGACCTTCTCTTAGCCGCCGCCCTCTCCAAATCCTTCTCCCGATCGCCCCCTGCCGCTCCGGCCCTCGACGGGCCCTTGCACGAAGCCGCCGCCCTCCACGTCCTCCGCCGTCCCTCCCTTCCTGCCGCCTCGAAGCTCTCCTTCTTCCGCTGGGCCACCTCCTCCGGCGGCTATTCTCCCTCCCCCGCCGCATTTTCCGCTCTTCTCCGCTCCCTCACCCGCTCCCGACCCCCCCTCCTCGACCCGCTCCGCCCCCTCCTCCGCCAGGCCCTCTCCTCCTCCCCGGCCGCCGTCGACCCCCCCACCTTTCGATCCGTTCTCGACGCATTCATCCGCTCCGGCCGCTTCGACTCCGCCATCGCCGCCCTCGATGACGCCGAGGAGCTTGCCGGCTCCCGCGCCGCGGCGGGGCTTCTCACCCCTCGGACCTACACCTCCATCGTCCTCGCCCTCCTCCAGAAGTCGCAGCTCCCCCTCGCCCTCGTCCTGCTCCGTAAGCTTCTCCGTGCCTCCGCCCTCCCTGACACCCTCGCCTGCAACCAATTGCTCGCCGCTCTCAGGAAGGCCGACAGGAGGGATGAGTTCCGCTCGCTGTTTGATGAATTGTCCCAAAAGGGCTTTCTTTTCGATACCTGGACCTACAACATTTGTATTCATGCGTTTGGATCTTGGGGCCAGTTGGGTGTTGCTCTTAGCCTCTTCAAGGAGATGAAGTCGAAGGGACCCCGAGTTGTTCCCGATCTCTGTACCTACAATTCAGTCGTCGGAGCCCTCTGCGTCGCCGGGAAGATTGCCGACGCATTGATCGTCTACAAGGAGATCAAGGAATCTGGGCTGGAGCCGGATAAGTTCATGTACCACACACTGATCTATGGTTGCTGCAAAGCCTTCCGTGTCGACGAAGCTGTTCGAGTTTTCAACGAAATGGAGTACAACAATGTGCGCGCCGATACCGTCGTCTACAATACTCTGCTCGATGGGCTTATGAAGGTCCGGAAGCTGGACAAAGCCTGCCAGCTATTTGAGAGAATGGTCTCTGACGGCATCCGGGCCTCATGCTGCTCGTACAACATCTTGATCGATGGATTGTTCAAGAACGGAAGGCAAGCTGCAGGTTTCGTTTTGTTTACAGAATTGAAGAAGAAAGGCCAGTTTGTGGACGCCATCACCTACAGCATCGTCGTGCAGCATTTGTGCAAGGAGGGCCGGGTGGTGGAGGCGCTCGAGCTGGTGAAGGAGACGGAAGAAAGAGGGTTGGCGGTCGATCTCGTCACAATTACATCTGTACTCATCGGGCTGCACAAAAGCGGGAGATGGGACTCGTCAGAACAGCTCCTGAAGTACGTCAGGGACACCGCCATGTTGCCGAACGTGCTCCGATGGAAGGCGAACATGGACTCCCTGATGAAAGCCCCCCAGGACAAGGGGAAGGACTACACCGCAATGTTCCCGTCGGCTGGCAGCCTGAGCGATATCATGAGTTGGATCAACCCAACACCGAGCACAGACACTGCTGATGCTAATTCGGAAGCCGAATCAAAAGACGAGTGGTCTTTGACACCATACTTGGATAAGCTAGCAGACAAATGCGATTCTTTTGGCACCAATTCCCGACCGCTGACCGACTTCAGAGGCCTCCGAGTGCAGGAGAAGAGGGGTGGATCCTTCGATATCGACATGGTTAACACATACCTATCGATATTTCTGGCGAAAGGGAAGCTAAGTTTAGCCTGTAAGCTGTTCGAGATATTTACAACACTGGGCAGGGAACCCATGAGTTACACCTACAACTCCCTGTTGAGTTCCTTCGTCAAGAAGGGGTATTTGGCGGACGCATGGGGGATTCTTGAGGATATGGGAGACAAAAACTGTCCCGCCGACATCGCAACCTACAACCTGATCGTCCAGGGGTTGGGGAAGATGGGGAAAGCAGAGCTCGCGTGCGCAGTTCTCGATCAGCTGTCGAGCAAGGGCGGATACCTCGACATCGTGATGTACAACACTTTGATCCACGCACTGGGAAGGGCCGGGAGACTGGATGAATCAAACAAGCTGTTCGAGCAAATGGTCGGGAGCGGCATTAATCCGGACGTTGTGACGTTTAATACGTTGATCGAGGTGCACGCCAAGGCAGGGAAGGTGAAGGAAGCCTACATGTTCTTGAGGAAGATGCTGGCGGCGGGGTGCTCCCCGAACCATGTCACGGACACAACCTTGGATTTCCTGGAGATGGAGATCGAGAGGTTGAGGTATCAGAAGGCATCAATCAAGCGCGACCGTGAGGAGGTTGACAGTGAATGAGAAGATCTTGTGTTGGTCTTTTAACAGAAAATTAGAAATTATGTTTTTTGTTAGTAACAGTTATATTAAATTAGACATAATTACCCATAAATTTCATCCTACCCAAAAATAAATCCTACTAATTATCTGTGTATATTCCAAATCGACTAAATTATCTATTTCTATATCCATCCCAACTCCGAGAATTGCATTTTTAATCTGATTTGGTCAAGCAGCAGGTATTTAATCCCACTCCTAAGGAGACCAGATTCGGGTGCTTATTTCTTTACATATCTCAAATCCAAATAGCGAGTCTTCTAATTTGGTCTAAACAAATCGGAAATGTACAATTCTAAAAAGCAGAATCTGTTGCCAGCCTATCGATCGGTCATATTATTTCTTGTGAGAGACAACTTTTTGAATTCGTATATTAGAGGAATGTGGTTGATTTTTTTTACTCCTTATATACCTGCTTTTTCTTACCTTTGAGGGTATATCTAATATTTGCCTGAAGTGTTTTTTATTGGGTGTATTTTTGAAAAAAAATAATTTTAAATTTTTTTCACGACACACTTCCGAAGTCTAATAATATTTTTTTTCATAGAACCAAAGTTCATTTTTTTAGTAATTAAAAAAATATTACGACCTTAGCCTTAGTTGTGCTTGGTTGCTCGACTCATTGAGCCTCTTTGTGGTTATTAGCCTATGTATAGATGACACAAACAGTCAAGAAAGAAGAGGGGATGATCGATATTATATACTGGTTCGTATGCAGAGTTATACGTAACTAAGAGATAGGAGAGATTAACCGATGAGGACCGTGATTATCCATGTTGAGTGAGCAAGTACTGACTGGATGAAGCTACTAGGATGCCCAAGTGTACCATAGAGGCATGGCCCGATGCAAACATAAGCGTAAGAAAAAATAATAAGAGTAAATTAATTATAAAAAAAGTGCCCGTGATATTTTGTTTGGTGATCTCTAGGGGAAAAACTCAAAATTAAAGATTTTTATCGAAAATTCGTTTATTATTATTATTATCAATTAAATATACTAGGCATATAAATTAAGTGTTTCTGGGAAAGAAAAGGCAAAAATCATTGCGTGGGTCATCCGGCAACAGATTCAAAGAGGACTGCTCTTTGAAAAGGCATTTTCCGATTCGATCCTCGCCTCGTTTCTCCGCCCATCGTCACCGTTCATTTCACCAAACTGGGATTCAGATTAAGAGCGATAGGGGCTTTATTATAATTTTGGAACAGCTTATGAACATTTATGCAAAAAAAAGAGAAAAATGTCGTTAAAACGAGAGAAATTAGAAAGTCTTCCTCCTTTCTTCCTTTCTCTGCGTCTCATCATCTGTTCTCCGGGAACCCCTTGTTGGTATAATTAGGGTTAGGGTTTTCTTGATTCCTCCGTCGAGGTTTCGGGTCCGATTCGATCCGAGGTGATTCCCCATCGGCGATGTTCTGATTCGTGGAGGAGAAGGTCAGGAAACGGCTACCTGCCCCGGTTCTTGATCGACTTGTCGAGATCTCTGGCGGATGCACCTTTGAGACATGGCCGACGTCTTGTCTTTGATCCCCGCCTCCGTCCTCCGGAACCTCGCTGACAAGCTCTATGAGAAGCGGAAGAATGCCGCCCTCGAGGTATTCTGTTCCGATCCCTTTCTTTTAAAGAAAAGAAATTTGGTCGGGGTGGAGGGGGCAGAGGGGAGGGTTGATTGTTGATTGTTTGTGAATGATGTCAATGGTCGAATTAAAATGTCACGAGAACGCAGATTGAAGGGATCGTGAAGCAACTCGCTGTAGCCGGGGAGCATGAGAAGATTTCGGCCGTTATTAGCCTGTTGACTACAGAATTCGCTTATTCCCCGCAAGCGAACCAGAGGAAGGTCTGTTCATGATGTACTTTTATAAGTTGGAACATTGTTGATGTTCCTAATGACCATTTTTGTTTCAGAGTTGAGAAGTTTGCTTATTGATTCTTCTGCCAAGAGTATCATATGCTATTTTGCATGCAGGGTGGGTTAATAGGACTGGCAGCGGCAACTGTCGGGTTGGCAGCAGAAGCTGCTCAGCATCTGGAGGTTAGAAACTCAAAAGATTTTGCTTATGTTTTTCGATGTTACATAGTAGAGTTCTTTGTACATGTTGATTTAAGTGCCTAGTTGCAATAATAACAAAATTGTCATTATTGCACCATCAGTGCCATGATGATATTTGCTTGTGCTGTGAGATATTTCGATCTTGATAAACTGTAGGGGAAAAAGGCTGACTACAGAGTAGAATAGCATGTGTTTGCTTACCAACTTGCACATGTAGCAAGGATGTTCATCTGCAATTCCAGACTTATAGTGATAAATTTACAATGGAAGTTTTGTGGCACATATTAGGCATGACAAACTTTGTTTTAGATATTTTTAGCTTATGTTCAGTCGATTCTTTCATAGAAAAAAAATCTTTATGCTCAGAAGATAGCACAAAATGATTAACTATTTATAGCACTTCTAAGATTCAACATCATTTGAAGGATGGATTGTATTACATAACATTTCTGGAAAGAAAGCAAGCACAGCATGAATTGAATAAGTGAACACATCAAAGCATCTCTTGTGCCACTGACCTTGCAGTACAAGGGCTGTCTTCTGTTGTGTCACTGGCAAACTAAGATAAATCTTATTCTATATAAGTAAGCTTTATATTCTCGTTTCTTCTGAAGTTTTCCAAAGGTTTTAGTGGAATTTTGGAGGGTTGCTTTCTTGTTGTACAAACTTTAATAGCAGAAACAATTACATTGGTGTTTTCACATTTTTTCTAGCCTTTATGCTTTAAATAGTTTACGTGTTCCTATATTTGCCTTAGCTAGGTAATGAACACCATGTCTAGAGAGTTGACATAGGTCAACAACAAAGTTCTCTAGATTTAAACATTATGCTCTATTTCTGACCCCTTAGTCATGTTTAAAAGCTTGGTTGGTGAGTTATCATCGATAGTTTTCTTGTTTGAAATGTAATGGCTATCCAGTTCTTCAGTTTCTGATTCTTTTTAATTTTAATTATGCTAGAGCAGACCAATTGATTTGATTTTTTTTCTTTTAGTTTTTCCAAGGCACATACTGACTTTTAGCTAAAACATTCTTATACTGGACCTGATTTTCAGCAAATTGTACCACCTGTACTTAATTCTTTCGCTGATCAAGACGGCAGAGTTCGATATTATGCTTGTGAAGCACTGTATAACATTGCAAAGGTAAGCAGGAGACATGACGAGTCTAGCACATGAAGCGTTTATTTATCTTCCACTGATGGACTAGCTAAGGCATGTTGTCTTTGTATTGCGTAGGTTGTAAGAGGTGATTTTATTATCTTCTTCAATAAGATATTTGATGCACTTTGTAAGCTTTCAGCAGATTCAGATCCCAACGTGCAGAGTGCTGCTCATCTTTTAGACCGTCTAATAAAGGTAAGATTTGAATCTGATGTTTTTTTTGTTGAAATTTTGGTTTATAGCTGTTTAATGATTTTATTGTATTCACCAGGATATTGTGACTGAGAGTGATCAATTCAGGTGCATCACTTGGGCTTATCTGCTATAGTTTTTTCATGTCTGCATGTTTTAGCTTGAAATATGTTTGCATGACTTTTTTTTCTTTCTCAAAATCTCTTTAAAGCATAGAAGAGTTTATACCACTTCTAAGGGAGCGCATGAATGTACTCAACCCTTATGTGCGGCAGTTCTTGGTTGGGTGGATCACTGTTTTAGATAGTGTTCCAGATATTGATATGCTTGGCTTCCTTCCAGATTTTCTTGATGGTAATATATCTGAAAAAATAAAAGAAGTCAACAATTATTGTTTGGATTATGGTGGTTTCTTAGGTAAATAATTATTTCTTTTCAGGTTTGTTCAACATGTTAAGTGACTCCAGTCATGAAATACGACAGCAAGCTGATTCTGCCCTATCTGAGTTTCTTCAAGAAATAAAAAATTCTCCAGTACGGCTTCTTCCACTGGATTAGTCAGTTCGACCAAGTCTTTTCTTAAAATGATTTTAGATCTCTCATCATTGTATTTAAAATTTAAACTATAATTTACGCATTGGTCCCATTATTTTTTTACTGTTATTTACTTTTACCGTGTGCACATGTGTATGAATTGTATATGTGATCTATTCATTTGGTTCATATCTTGTTTCTGTCAGCTTAGAGCTGAAGTCTGTAATATGATAATAGCTATATTATTTTTTCTAATTTGAGATTTGCTATTATGAAGAATGTAGATTATGGTCGTATGGCTGAAATATTGGTACAGAGGGCAGGTTCGTCTGACGAATTTACTCGGTTGACAGCTATCACATGGGTAAAGCTAATTACTTTATCTCCCTTTTTAATGGTCTTGCTATAAATGATAAAATCTGTTTAACACCACAGTTTCTTGCCTAATGATGTGGTCCCTATGCAATTTTTGGAGTCAAGCACATGATGTTTCGAGAATAACCATTTTCTTTTCTCTCTGTCTTCATACTTGTTATTTACTAGAATCAGTGGTGTCTTATTAATAATGCAGATAAATGAATTTGTAAAACTTGGTGGAGAGCAGCTTGTTCCTTACTATGCAGACATCCTAGGAGCCATATTACCTTGCATATCTGACAAGGAGGAGAAGATAAGAGTGGTAGGTATAATTCTTATTTTGCTACGTTTATATGACCACTTTCTCAAGGAAAAATTATGTTCTTGAGTTCACATTCTTTTGATTTATAGGTTGCTCGTGAAACCAATGAGGAGCTTCGTGCCATTCGAGCTGACCCGGCTGATGGATTCAATATAGATGCCATCCTCTCGATTGCAAGGAGGTGCATTTTTTAGCCACCTGAGAATCCTCTAGGTTTAAAGGTTACTTGTGCATCTAGAATATGTTTTAGTGTGCCTCTTGTGCCTATAAACGAGTGAAGAGAGGGATGTGTATATGAATGTGGCTTGTTATGTATTATATAATATATTTAGTTATATATTTCTGTCAATTATTATCATAATTAAACAAGGAACTAAGTTATAAAAGCAATGTTGTGGCCCTTTTTTCTCAGAGAATTAACTAGTGAATGGGAGGCTACTCGAATCGAAGCACTGCATTGGATTTCTGCTCTCTTGGCTCGGTATCGAAGTGAGGTAAATCGATTTATGATATTGTTCATCTTTGTGTGTAGTAGTTTTGATGAAAAGATTATGTTGCTTTGTTTTACCTTGGGTGGAAAGACTTGCATCTACAAATTATGAGCATCTTAGTCACTGGATCTGCTTATTATAATTGGTCTAACATAAGCATATTTGCTGCACTGAGTAGAGAATTATTTCGTGTTATAACAAAAGATAATTGTTCAAAAAATGACTTACTCTGGTTATATGGTTGAGAAACTATCCAAAATCAATTCAGTCATGAAACTATAAAACTTCATACTTAATTGTAACTTCATATTCATAATCATGGCTTGCCTACAAGCAATTTTCAGAGCAATGAAGTTGGTCTTGGTACAATATTGGGATTTGGGATTACCATGAAATTTAGTTGGCTAAGATTTGAGTGCCGGGTCGACCTGAGAAAACATTCAATGCACAAGGTTCCTGCTTGTGCTGTATTTTGAGGAAGCTCACATTATACACACACTCAATGTTGCTTGCATAGTGGTTGGTTCCTTGAGTTAAATTTTTGATTTGGGAATGGACCAATCTTATGGCTACAACAAGGCTCACGCATAGTAATTTATAGTTTGTAAATTACTTCCCAAAGGGATATTTCCATCTAGAAATCATTTAACAATTAAAAGTAAATCTAAGAAATATAAAACCTATGGAAGAAACTCTTGAAATCTATGTTGAATCTTGGCTATACAGGTAACAAAGTATATGTTTTTATTCAAATGCTTATGCTAGCATAAGTACTGAATGATACAGGTAACGAAGTATATGTTTTTATTCAAATGCTTATGCTAGCATAAGTACTGAATGATATGTATTTGAATTTTTTTATCAGTAATTTTTAGTATTGAAGAGTCACGCTTCAAAATGTAAGAGTTATTATATGTGGCTTATAGTTGGATGGTATTATTGTTGGAAGCATAATTTTATGTTTCACCTGGACTGGTGTGTACTGGTCTGATGGTTTGTCGGGTCAGTGGCACATGCCTCCTAACACTGTGTATACTCAAATCATAATAAAAGTTATGTGAGCCATCGTACATCTTGCCGGGAATTGGCATGGCTCCCATGTCTGAAACATCAAACCATGATTGGAAGCAAAAAATTCAGAGAGATTCCCCATAGTAGTGCACATTCTTATGGGTCTTATATTCTTAAATTTCAGTATTTCTAGGTATCAATGATCCCTAATGATCATGTATGTGTAAAACAATTTGTATAAGATCGGTCACATGGCATCACAAGGAGCATTTTTACCTTTCTATGGTGAAGAATTTCACATACACAAGCTAGCACCGGGACCGACAGTAGGAAATTTTTATAGTTACTTATCGTTATCCATTTCAGCCACTGAGGACCCTTGGTGGTATGGGCAAATTACCTAGGAGGGGAACATTGAGGATTACATTGCATGTGTATGGACTTATCAAATAATGATTTTCTTTTCCCTACTCTTGGGCTTTTCATTGTACCATATCAAGTAGTAAGCATGTGACTAAGGCACTTTGCCTTACTAAATTTCCATCTTTTCGATGCAGATTGTTTGTGTGCCTTTTCTACGTCTGCCAAATTGTGTTAGCATACAACTAAGGAAATTTGCCTTTGCGGATCATTTGAGTAGGCTGACTTCGTTGTACACGTGTGTCATGATAGAGTCCTGTATTGTTTAGCCAATGACAACATGGAGCCAAAATGAGATCAAAAGTGGAGGTTGGATGTCTTGAGGCCCAATGCCACCAGATACTAAATACTTGCTAAAAAAAGCCTGTTCAGGTTAAAAGTTTCTCGTGGTCTCATAGTTCTGAGATAGTGCTGTGCAAAAGATAGAAAACATAATTATTGGAAGGGTGTAGATTATAGTGCAGTGTGCTCGACAATGCGTTATGGTTAAAATGTTATGTTAATCTGCAAGTTGTTGATTCCTATCCCTTTGGTGATCACAAATTTAGACTGGATATGTTACATGCTGGTCTTTGGTCGAGGATTATGTTGATCTGGTCACATGTTAAGTTGAATGCAAAGTGCCTACCTTAAGTGTTTTTGATTACATGAACAGAAATTAGCAAACATTGACTTGCAACTGTGTTGTTTCTTTTATCTATTTGTATATTCTTTTAGTAAAACAATTCCTTTTGCTATTTCTGGACATTGTCATTCCATCAAAGTAAATATTTGTGCTTGTATTTTGCTAGATGTATAATGCTGTTGTGCTCTGGCAGGATTAAGTTTATATTATTTTCTTGAACAGGTTATCTCATACTTGAATCATGCCTTTGACTCCTTGTTGAATGCACTTTCAGATTCTTCAAATGAGGTAATTTTTGAAAATTCGTTTCTGTTGATATTGTTACTAAATGAAATGTCTCATCTGATTTATACTGGTGTCGAAGCTAGAATTCTGAAGCACCATGTCACTATAAACAATGCACTTTACCTAGAATATTGATGTTATCATGCTAAGCTCCTGTTGTTTTTCATCGACAAAATGGCTGATCACATATCTATGCGTCAGATCAGTCACTGCTACCGACTGAAAACTTGGAAATAGAGAAAAAAAAGCAAATGTTTTCCCATGTATATAACTTCCAAAGAAACATGTCATCTGTGACTTTGTAACCAATTGAAACTCATTGTTTCTATCAGCTGTTGCATAATAACTAGTTAGGTAAAGTCTATGTGGCATCTTGTGTTGCATCTCTTGGCTACAAGCAGTCAAGCACAGTGCTGCTTTTTTCGATTCAACAACAACAACAAAGCCGTAAGTCCCAACTATTTGGGATTGGTTACATGGATCTTTTGCTGCCACTGAGATCTTGTTTTTTTTTTTTGATTAAGTCAAATTCAAGGTAGTCTTGCTAGTTACCAAGCAACATTTTGTGTAGCATTGTATAGAATTATGCACTGCTAGTTTGACTAATACAGATTGAATGCATGGTAATGACTTTGTTTTTGTATTTCACTTTCATTCAAGTACCTTCTCTCTTCTCCTATATCAGTTTGTAGTAGCTATTGTAGGATGATATTACAGCTTAATCCTGATATGCTTTCTTAATAGGAAACAACTATTTTCTGTTGTGGATTATTTTCGTTCATTTATATATCGAAAGATTTGCACAACTCAATTGGATGAGGTAAATACTTCTTTTCAGAAAAAAAATGATTTCTCTTAATCACTCGGGACCATTGCTATCCCCAGAAAGTACAGAATTCTCCTCAATGAAGTATGGAGCACAAGTGGACCGGGCCTCATTAGGAAGAGTACGAGCAAAGGTGTTTTCTTTTCTGTTAGTATGAGCAAAGGTGTGTTCTCATCAGCATGTGCTAAGATGTAATTAAGGTTACAGAGGAAACAGGGAATGGGAATTGAACAACTGAGGATTTGTATGAGCTCCAGAATGTCAGATTTGACCAAAACATTGCAAAGCTTTAGCTGCTGCTTTTTCTGTAACCTGTCCAAGACAGCCCAGCATTCAGGATGAAGGGGACTGCTTGCATGATGGGTGGTGCTAGCACTAGCAATGGTGGCCCCTTGAAATTTTAGAAACGGATTTCAAAACCTGCAAGAGATTTAAGATTAGAGAAGGATCTGTCACACAAAAGTGAAAGCAAAGACTCCACCTTGTTAGATTCCCTTCCATATGCAAGTGGAGAGTGAGGGTCCTCAGAGCTTTTAGGGGAGACTAAACATAAAACTTTGAACCATAGGGTTATTAATTGGGATGTGCGGCTGCTGTATCTAGAGTGTTTTTATGTTCTTCCGGAGGAAATGCTTATGATAGAAGCAATGGTAGTAGGGTAAGATTTGCCCAAATGACTTCACTCACTAAGCCAATCTCCATTGGGCCAGATCAGGAGAATATTATATTGCTTACTTTTATTTTCTTTTTTGTATTAATTCTCCAAGACAGAGAAGCAAAAAATGGAGTCAAAGCATTTCAAAACTTAGTTTACATGGGTTGATTGGTTTTCCTATATCCGTGTGAAAACTAATGACTCGTTTACTAGTGTTGCTGCATTTTTAATTGTGAAGTTCCATGTCAGATTAGTAAGGGATTTGAACTGTTTTGTGTTATTATTACTCGTTGCATACATGTGCTTTCCAACTAGTTCAATTTTGAATGTACTTGTTGATAATTTATAGATGTCAAGTATCTTATGGACAAGGATTTTAATTTCGAACAATACTGCCCTACCGAGCGGTACGTATCGATCCATCAGCAGACCGGTACACGGGTCGCTCGCTACCGTCAGTTGGGGTTGCTTCCGCCCCGTTACCACCTTAAATTGGTCGATGACGGTCGATTTTGATTGTCGCTGCATGCTATCGGGTGGTATTAGCTGAGAGAGAAGAAAGAAGAGGGAGAAGAAAAGGGAGAACTTGGGGATCCGGCATCGCTCTGTCACGGACTTAGCTGGAATTGTCTAAGTCGTGAGGCACCCTTGCGGCAAAGTCACGAACTTAGCTGAAGTTGCCTAAGTCGTGAAGCACCCTTGTGCCAACTCCTCGGATTTAGTTGGGATTGCCGAAGTCATTAGGCGCCCTTGCGACATATGCATCTGCCAAAGGGTCAGCCTAATTGCAACCTCGTACAAGTCCCGAAGGACCTGTAAAAGAGAAAGTTGATTAGATTGAAAACGAGCGACAGACAAGTCCCGACGTCTCACGGAGAGGGAAGCTTTACAAGCAATTCAGCGAGCATCTTGAGTGCAGGAGAGAAAAGAGAGGAAGGTGAAAACATGGACTTTAAAAGGTAGAACGAACAGTTGCAAGTCCACAAACAATTACTCACCGAGTGCCAAGCACGAAGGCAAGTTCCCGTAAAGTTAACGTGCGAACTTATGAAGATTGTTCAACGCCCAACAATATACCGAAGCCCCATCTAGTCCTGTGCGACTCGAGGGGTTCCAGGGTGTTAAGATGTGCAACTGCAATGTGCAGAAAACAAGCCGTTGCACACGAAAACATAGTCATTTTGGGGCAGTTTGGCCCGAGGTGACAATAGGTCGCACTACAGCATTGCGAACTATCGTTGCTTACATTTTCCAAGGAAAAACACACAAAATCAAAGCAAAACATGCTACCATGTCTCTGTATAAGCATGCAAAAGCAACTAATGGTTCGTTGAACGAAGTTGTTGCGGGTGCGTGACGACCGTTCATGACATTCTCCCCCACTTAAACTGTCGATGCCCTCGTCGACGCTTATTGGTAATTGTTAATGACTGCTTCTTTATGTCGTAGGGTGTCTTCGGGCTCCTAACTGGCTTCAGTTCGGGGAAGCTTTCACCGCTTCACTAAGTACTTAGTCTGCTCAGCTTCATTGGGTAGCTTTATCTTGTGATCTGCTAAAATAGTTTCAACTTGCTTCTCGTAGGAGGCTCTAGTGGGAGGTAGCCGAGTTGGAACACTTCGAGAAGCATCTTGCGAATCTGAGTAGTAGGCTTTCAAGTTGTTGGCGTGAAAAACATTGTGAATTTTGAGCTACACCGGCAGTTGCAACTTGTAGGAGACGTTGCCCACCCTACTGATAATTAAGAAGGGTCCTTCATACTTGCGCACCAATCCTTTGTGTACTTTGTGCCTAAATAATTGGAGTGATGCTGGTTGGAGCTTCACCAATACCAAATCGTTGACCCTAAATCGGTCGATGGCGGTCGATTTTGATCGTCCTTGCATGCTATCAGGTGGTATTAGTCGAAAGAGAAGAAAGAAGAGGGAGAAGAAAAGGGAGAACCTGGAGATCCGGTGCCGTTCTGTCACGGACTTAGTTGGAATTGCCTAAGTTGTGAGGCACCATTGCGGCAAAGTCACGGACTTAGCTGAAGTTGCCTAAGTCGTGAAGCACCCTTGCGCCAACTCCTCGGACTTAGTTGGGATTGCCTAAGTCATTAGGTGCCCTTATGACATATGCATCCGCCAAAGGGTCAGCCTAGTTGCAATCTCGTACAAGTCTCGAAGGACCTGTAAAATAGAAAGTTGATTAGATTGAAAACGAGCGAAGAGAGAAGCTTTAAAAGCAATTCAGCGAGCATCTTGAGTGCAAGAGAGAAAAGAGAGGAAGGTGAAAACAAGGACTTTAGAAGGTAGAACGAACAGTTGCAAGTCCACAAACAACTGCTCATTGGGTGCTGGACGCGAAGGCAAGTTCTCGTCAAGTTAACGTGCGAACTTGTGAAGATTGTTCAACGCCCAACAATATACCGAAGCCTCATCTAGCCTTGTGCCACCCGGGGGGTTCTAGGGTGCTGAGATGGCTGACATTTCACATGCAGCTGCGATGTGTAGAAAACAAGCCGTCGCACACGAAAACAGAGTCATTTTGAGGTGGTTTGGCTCGGGGTGGCGAGAGGTCGCATTATAGCGCTGCAAACTGTCGTTGCTTACATTTTTCAAGCAAAAACACACAAAACCAAGGTAAAACATGCTGCCATGTCTTTGTATAAGCATGCAAAATGACGGACAATTCGTTGAACGAAGTTGTTACGGGTGCGCGACGATCGTTCGTGATAGCCCTCTCTTGACGATCCCGATCCGTCGTCGCCCTCCCTCACTGGACGCTACAGATGAGACGTCGCCTCCTCGTCTGAGGCGACGAGGCCTCGGCGTTGTCGATGACTTCTCCTCATTCGCGCGGGGAGAAAAAGCCTCGGCGACATTGTGGGGAGAAGAAACGGAGTGTCGTCGAGGTGACGTTTCTTCTCCTCATGCGGGCAGAAGAAACGAGGCGGCGACGTCGCCTTGGCGCCCTTTTTTTGCGCGGGGAGAAGGAAACCTCGGTCTCTTCTCCCCACGCAGGCAGGAAAAGGAGGCAACGTCGTATTTTTTTTTTAACACACACACACACACACATATATACATATATATACATATATATATATACCGAACGATACACCCAGGTGTATCGCTCGGGATTCTGTACTGTACCATACCAAACTACGCGCGAAACTTCGGTACGGTACGAAATTATGATCCTTGCTTATGGATATCTTCACTATTCTTGTTTTTCTTAAAACAACACATCTGTTAAAATGCCGCCTCAGATAGCCTATTTGGTCTATTTGTTTGTGCACCTTTTCTTCTTCCTAGTTATCTGAAGCAGTGAATTGTCCTTTGTTGTTATGAATGTTATATTAGTGGCTTTGAGACCTAGACTAATCTGGATCATGTCTTAACACAACAACCACTGTAGGGTTACATTTGTGTGGTCAGTAGATGCGTACTCTGATGGTGTTATGGAGTGCACTACTTAACACCAGCTTATTGTTTGCTTCAAATTAATGGAACTGGTTGTAGATAGTCAAAAGTACTATAACTGTTCTAATTGCTGTTGTGTTAACAAGGTCCTTTCTGCTATTTTTATCGACAGGTTGTCCTCCTGGCACTTGAAGTGCATGCTTGCATAGCAGAAGATCATAAAAATTTTCATCGTCTTGTTGGGCTTCTAGTCCGCAACTTCCAAAATGACCGTGTGCTTCTTGAGAGGTATGACATTTGTTATCCTTTTCACTATATTCTTGATGCAGTATGCAACAAAATGTATTTCTTCTTTTCATTCAACATAGAACAAATTATATCTTGTTGATGGAATACTCAGACCGTAAATGTGTATTTACAAAATTTACATTTTCCTATACTCATTTTTTTCTTTTTAGACGGGGGGCTCTGATTGTACGACGACTTTGTGTTCTCTTGGATGCGGAACGAGTTTATCGACAATTTTCCTTAAATTTAGAGCAGGAACAAGACATGGATTTTGCGTCCGTTATGGTTCAGGTTTTTTTATCATTTTTAATTTTGTTTCAATTGCTGAGCTTAGCAATTGCCATGTTATTGAAATTTGAAAACCCACAGTGCCAAAATAGGGCAAGTGTTTTTAATAATCCACTTATCTTTGTTTAGGCTTTGAATTTGATTTTACTCACGTCATCGGAATTGGCTGAGTTACGAGGTCTTGTAAAGCTATCGTTGGTGCAGTCTTCGGGCCAGGAGCTATTTGTATCATTGTATTCTTCTTGGTGCCATTCGCCAATGGCAACAATCAGTTTGTGTCTTCTAGCTCAGGTGTCATACATTCTAAATACTTGTATCATTTGCTTGGATCACTCTCCTTAATTTTTCTGACTGTTATCGCTCTCCATGGAAGGCATACAATCATGCCAGTTCTGTAATTCAGTCTCTTAGGGAAGAAGACATAAATGCAAAGTTCCTGGTGCAGCTGGACAAATTGATTCGATTGCTGGAGACTCCGATTTTTGCTTACCTGAGATTGCAGGTATGTGCCCCGTGTAGTTCTTTTCTCTTTTTAATCAGCTTTTCTTTTGAATGGAGGAGATCCAGATAACATGTCCATGAATTGTTGATACTGTTCTGTTTTGGGAAGTGGTGAGTATGTATATAGAGCATGTATGCTAGTTTTCATGTGCCCTCAAGTGTCTAAGAGTCTGCTTCATGAAAATCAGACTGATTCTTTTTTTTAGATTCCTTTCTCACGATGGCATACAATTCTAACTGTTATATTATTACTCCTATTGAATACTAGTTACTCATTTGACTTCTGTTATAATTTTCCTTCTACCGAATATTAGTTATTCACCTGAGATGAGGAGGATATTAGTGCTGATCTTACAAAAAATTGTACCGTTCATTATTCATTTTCTTCTTTTAACTCAACTAAGCCTCATCTATATTTTATCAAGTAAAAGAATGTATCATGCTGAGATGCCTTTCATTTTCCAGTGATTTGACAGCTGGCTATTAGGTGTTTGTCAAATAATATTAGCTTGTGTTGTTAGAAGGTTGGTTCCTGTCAAGGATTTTAATCTGTCTGATCCTGGTTCTGAAAATTTGCAGGACTTGTACGGTATCAGTATATTCCTAGTACATTGTCTTGTATAGGTGGATGTCATCTTAAAAGAAACATCGACTGGTACATGAAGTTTTTGGTTAGACTAGTAAATACTGGTTGCTATGTGACATACCGACCAGTATTTGAAATTGAATCCATGGTTCCTGTGATTTCTTAAGTTGCCATTTGGTTGTCAGGTATTAGTAAAGCAAGTTATGCAGACATGTAGAAGTTCTGTTAAAATATGTGTTTAGTTGCTTGCAGTAGAAACGGTGAATATTTGTTTGTGTCCAATTATGTTCCTAACTGCCTATTAAAAGATTTGTGCCTAACTACCTCATTTATCCAGCATGGAGTCATTCAAATGAGATAAACATCATAGTGATGTAGATACCTTGAATTGTATTACAAGCTGCTCAGCTCCAATGAATTATATTAAGAAGATAGTTGGTATGACCACTTCTATAAATGTCATGGTTTTGTTTCTTGATTTCATAGAAAGATTAATATGCTTACAGACAGATCCCTGTTTTTGGTTAACACACCTGAAGTATAAGTCTGGTCTAGTAAGTTTTGAGATTGGATTGAAATGATTTAGTCAAGTGGATCAGGTTCATGTTTTGCACCAAAATTATAAGTCTGGTCCAATCAGTTTTAGTTGGGTCAAACCAACTTAATCAGGTGGATCAGGTTCATGGTTGCACCATAAATGTAAACCTGGTCCAATCAGTTTGGGCTTTGGTTGAACCAATTTATCAAGTGGCGCAGGTTCATAGTTTGGTGCAAACCCAACAAAATCCATGCCCATTTAGCTTACTAATTACTTGGTCTGGTATCAGGTTTTAGGTATTACCATCTGGAAGGCAGTTGTCTGTGTATGGCCAGCTGCTGCTGGCAGCCTGAGACAATTTCTGTCTAAATCAACTGGCTGCTACTAGCTGGCTTGTCACTGCCATCCATTACCTAGTTGACTGTCTGGCCAAGTCCAGCCATGGCTGGCCTGCCAATGCTGATGTCCATTGAACATCATCTCCCAGTAGGTCATTTTTCAGTTGCCTTTATTTTTATTTTTGTGGCCCTTTCTTGCTTTTTTTATCTGTTTATTTGCTGGATTGACAGTTGCCCATCTACTAGCTGTTTTTGCCTGCAACTGCATTGGCACCCCTTCAAGTATGTTGGAAATCAATTATGGTTGAACATCTCTTTCTCTGGTCTAGCAACATTTCTGGCATGCAATGTATCTAGAGATGGCAAATGTTGAACCTCAGTCGATGGCAACAATGCCATGCCATCAAGCTTTGATGACAATTACTTCGCTATATATGGCAGCATATGGTGGAAGTGTCACTATGAACATGGAAGCATTGCTTAGGGCGTGGCAGCGGGCCATATGTAAGGCCATACATAAATATATTTTTAAGAAAATAATTAATGAAGCATTATTAGTTTAACAAATAATTTAACTATAAGGAATTCCCATAAGGATGATGTAGAATCTTGAACATTACAAATATTACAACCGTAGTCTAACTTTACTGGTTCTTTTCTCTGAAAAGGAGATAATATTATATTAAATATGCTATCTATACATGCAAAATAAATGTTATGGTTTAGCAAATTTTGTCAGCTTTTATGACTATGGCCCTCTTATTCCCTTCTTCAATACAAAGCCTAGAATCAAGAACAAAAATCTTACGGTAGATATCTGCTATCATCTTTATTTGCTAGGCCCAGATAGAGCTAGTATAAAATATTTTATCAGATGTCAGTTTTCTAATATAAAAATTATCAAAGAAATTTCATGTGTTGTTATTACACAATAAGAGATATATGCCTGATTCAGTACATAGTTCAAAACTTGTTTCTTGCTGTTTTAATATGTGACAATTTTCCCCTTGAAAATATCATTTATTGTCAATCTGTACTATACCTAAAAGTTTTATCAAGAATTTATGGTTAGGTTTAAATTTTGAATTGGGTAAGATGTTAATCAATGTAAAAAGAAGAGTGTTTAGGACATGCTAAATTAATTACTAATTGTGATAATAGGTATTAGATTTTGTGAAAACTAATGATATGTTTTCAGCAATTGATATTTACTATATAAGTTTATGATTTTAGTTTCTTTTTGCAGTAAATATTTGGCTAAATGTACAATTTGTGGCTTTCTAGCATGTTTTACTTTGAAATGCTTAAATTGTGATAGGGAAACACTTTGGTTGCTCATGTTATCATCCTTGCTCAGTCTCAAATGCCTTGTTTGTTTGCATCAGTTATTTGTGAAAAATATCCTTTGTCAGGATGCTTCCATCAACTTGCATTTGCACATATATCTTTTATTGCTTGAATTGTTTCTCATGTTTATCATGATCAAGCAAACTTTACCTCCGTTATTGGCACCTAGATTTCCTTTCTAACGTGTAACTTATATACTTAAATTTACAGCTTTTGGAGCCTGCGAAATATACATGGTTATTGAAGACTTTATATGGCCTTTTAATGATGTTGCCACAGGTATGTTCATTGATACACGTATATCATCTTCTTCTCTAAATTTTTTCCTAAGATGAACACTTACCTTCAGTAGGTCGGAATACTAGATTTCTATATATCAGAGAAGTGCCAAGGTTTTAATAGAAACCATTATATTCATGGACATCCTCTAGTTATTGGCAACCTAGTCTGACCAGAAACATAAAGATATCTGTGGACTTATTATAGTTATTATAGTTTTAATCTTGATTAACGTAGAGGAGATTTACTGCAGTGATGATGTGTCCAAATGTTTTGACTAATTTCTCAATGTGTATAGGTTATGGTTGAAGTAAACTTGACAAGAGATGGTTTTGAGTATTGTATGAGACTCATAATACTGTTGATATAAATTAGTTTGAGATTCATATTCTTTTTGTAGCCCATGGCAGGGTTGAGGTTGACCTGCACAAGATCTCTTTTTGGCTGACGGTGACAATGGCCAAGGTTTATTCCCAGAAGAACCCTTATTATGTATAAAATGACGCTCAAAAGCTCTATCATGTGATCCAATTATCAACTTCCTTTAGGTTCAGTATGAGAATGACTTGTGCAGTTTAGGCATAGAAGAAGAGATGAGGAGATTCAAGATCTCCATCCTGTCACTGAATTTAACCTAAAGTTTCTAAAGTAAGCAACCACTGGTTTTGACCTGGTATTTTTAGTCCTTTTTTGTGGTTGGTAAGCAAAGTTAAAAGTGGTTGACATAATTTATAATGGTAATTAGCCAACTTACTTGGCGCTGCTTCCTACTTAAGCGTCCTGTAAGTTACCTTTTTCTTGCTAGCTAGAAATCTGAACTGCTAGCCTTGTCTCGCTGGGTCTATTGGTTCTGAAATTTTACTATCTAGTGATGATGGTTCTACACCTAGTGGTCTGGTACAGCTAATAGAGATCTTTCTCTTTGATGAACCAGTGTTTTTCTGGGATTGGATTAAGTTAACTGAGACTGTTCCAGTTTCAGATCTCAATATAACGACTTCCAATGAAGATGTATGATTGTGCATATGACAAGCAGACTAGTTTGAACTGCTAGGTAAAATGATATCTGTAACACTACTAAGATTATTTGAATTAAGGGAATACAAGTTGATTTCAGGTCAACTTGATTTCAGGTCAATAGCTTTTAGTACTTATCTCTACTTCTAACACCACCTTTTATTTCTCCATCTATGCTTATTTTCACTTCCAACCACACATAATAAACTGAATGATTTATGATCTTGACTGCACTGAACTCTACTTTGTTAAACTAATAAAGTTAGGGATAGCTTTGCAGTTGATGGTGCATATGCTTTCTTTTGGAAGCAATCCATCTTTATAATCTCGGTCAAGGGATCTGTTTCTTTATTGTTTCTGGACCAGTGCCTGGAACTTCCACAGATGTTTGTTCCATGATTACTGCTCTTTGCATTTTGTTAACTGCATATTGAGCTAACGAATCTCCTAATTATGCATGCAGCAAAGTGCGGCATTCAAGATATTAAGGACTCGCTTAAAGACTGTTCCTTCTTACAGTTGTATCGAACAACTAAAGGGCACGTCTTCAGAAAACCCATATTCCCAGATTCTGCAATTCTCGGAGGATAACAGAAACCAATATGCTGCAAATGTTGCAAATGTTTATAATGCAATCGACTTTCCATCTAGACTGCAACAATTTGAGCAAATGCAGCATAAGCATCGGATGCATTCCAAGTCAAAGCTGCAATCTCGCAATTCGACACCCTCAATTGCGTCACAGGTTTGTGGTGTTCGTAAAGCTTTGTTTTTGTTTTTGTTTTTCTTTTCAAAGCTTTTGATCTACTTTATGATTTCTGATCTTTCTGTTAAACCAAAAGAAGTTTCTCGAGTTCCATGTTTCCCTTGCTTCAGAACATGATTAACTAAGAGATGTATGGTGTTTCTCTTTCAATGCTGGTGTGTAGGAAATAAATATATCGGAAGAATCACGCCCTCCTTCCCCTCTCCCTGAGATTATGCGACCTCCCAAAACATGGAACAATCCAAGACAGCTAAAACCATGATTGTTCTTGTCATTCTTGTATGTGCTTCAGGCCATATGGCATTTGCCACAGAATCTCAATTGTACCACAGCAATAAGATTTGTTGCAGCGAGGTGGGTAAAAAGTTGTATATCTTCTTGTTTTATATTCACGCTTGTCCTGTTGGAAGGCTGGGATTGGATGAACGAGATGAGCCAGACATTTCAGCCAGCTTCAATTCTATTTTGTCTAGACGTGGTATGCTCATGTGGTTTTGTAATTTTTTTTGATAAAGACCATATGAGCCCTAGGGAAGTATTTGGGTGGGTTTCAGTTCTTTGAACTGTTTAGGTGGAGTCAACAGTCTCAATAAATCATTTAAAAGTGTACATTGTAGTGTTTGCCTTGTGGAATGTTATCTATGGTCACTATTATTGTGATTATAATTGCTTCCATTTACCCATTGTGCTACAGTTCATTAGATGAGAATAAACCAATTTGCTATTGTTTCATTTGTGGTTCTAATTATTTATGGAGATTATTATAGTTTAAACGTTCTAAGGTGGATGGATCAAAAACATCAAGAGACTGTTCAGTGGCATGAGACTCCCAACAAATAAAATGATGGCAATTGCAGACTCAGCAGTGAGAAGTATATGACAATGGTTAGTTTTAGAGAGGGAAATAAAATCTTTACTTGTGTTATGTCTATGTGAACCGATCTTGCTGTCTACGTTGTGTGATGCAATAACTTTTCTCTCTCCAAAAATAACCACAGATTTCAAACTAGGGTTGCATAATGGCAAGTGCTCACATGGATGAGTTACAACACACAACAAAGATCTCTGCCGATTGGTTCTTTATCATCATGCTGCCGAGAATAATACTGAAGTGGGGTACCAGAAAGATCAAGACTGGCTCATGCTGTCCTACCACTTGTCTGCAAGTGAGCCAACACAGTGTCAGACATGCATTTATGGCAGATCATCCAATTCAGTGGTTCAGATTTATTATCTGCAGAAGGATGATTAGGTTTCTGGCATTCTGGAGGTCATAAAATGGGGACATTAAAAAAAGGTGAGCTGACTGTCTCAGACAAGTTAGAAAACTAAAACAAAAAATATATATATATATTAATTTGAGGTTAACTGAGTCAGAAGTTCTATTGATTTAGCTTTCATTTTAAAATGGTGAGCTCAAGAGGCAGCACATAATTGCTCACATGAAAACAACTTGAAAGCCAGGCATTTTTATACTATACCCTAGCTTTGTGAGGTCAACAACATCTTTATATGAATGTCCAACCATGATCACTATATACCAGAGAAAAGAAGCAAAAACTGAGTTGTATTCATTCGTCAATGCTGTGATTCTATCACTTTGTACAACCTTCTCTTGTTCCTGTATGATTCTTTCAGCAAAACAATCATTAATTTTGCTGACAATTGGATTATATTCTATTACAAGTTACACCACCTACTCGAACAAGATTGGCTGGCAACCATTTAAATCAAGGAGATGCAAAGAGATGCAAAGTTCATCATCTAGAAGAATCCTCGACTGTCCTATTAAAAGATTCAACTTGAACCATTTCCCAAGAAACAACTCAGAAGGTTTTTCTTCTGACATTTATGAGGCATTCATCAGGTCAGCATGATGGTCAGGTTTCTTCCATATCTGAGAGAAGCCCAAAGATGATGCAGACCTGAAATATAGATTACTCAACTGTTTTCCCTGGCTTCAAACACCAGCATACTTCACAGAATTAGATCGGATTCAGTATGGAGATGCCAACTCAATTACGTATCTTACAGTTGACTTACCCATATAGTTTTTTGAGTTATTGAATCAGCTTAAAATATAGATATGACAAAGAGGCATTGAGTTAAGAACATAATTGAGTTTTAAGAATCAAATTAACCTGTGAGCTAATCCATATAACCTAATTAATTATTTTCGGAATCCAGTAAAATAATATCATAGTTAATTTACTTAGGATAATTTAAGTCATTAGACTCCAAATCAGTGTAATATCAGCAAAACAAAACTGAATCTGAACTAATCTGGAGTCGACCTATTACTACCTGAATCACAAAGCCAAGAAGCAACAGGAACATAGAATATTTTCCAATTTTTAGAATACTAAAAGTCAACCATTGGGAGACTACAGAATGCTTTGAACATCTTAATCATTGGTCAGGAAAATTAAAATTATGGTTTTTGGAGCAGTTAACTTATAATCAAATGCATCGACAGAGAGTATTATTAGCTTGCAAGGTAATCAAGTTGACCAAGCTAAGTTTCCATACATGATGTCTGCATCAGTAAATCTAAATACATGTGTGCATATTCATATAATTCTGTCAAAATCATATATATATATATATATATATATATATATATATATATATATTGTTATGCAAGAAATTTTCTGAACCAAGATTCACAAAAGACAGAGGGCATGAAGAGTTTTTGCATGGTAGAGAATCTTCCATGTCACCTTGGAACAAATTTATTACTTAGACATAACACATTACTTCATGGCCTAAACAAGTGCTTAATCTATGGGCCTCAATTGTAAATCTAGAGGTTCAGGTTCCAGTATCGATCGATCCGAACATATTGTTCCAATGTAGAGGACAATATCAAATTTATGCTTGTTTTTTCTTTTTTTTGGAATTTTAGCTTAATATTTCATGCAATTTTAGTTAAATATGTTGAGTTCTGAGTTTTTTTGAGAAAAGAAGATCATTTGATCCAAACTATCAAGAAGCATCTAACAAATGGAGAGTTTTGTTGCAAGAACATGTTTAGCTGCTGCTATCCTACAGCAACAATCAATTGCTGCTAATCTTTATGATTGCAGAGTCATTGCTCACATGCAGCTTCCTCAATATAATAGTTCTTTAGCAGTGTGAGGCTTGAAGACAAGGCAGATCCTTGCCCAACTCAGGAAAGAAAGATAAGGTAGATCTAGTAATGTGTTAAGCAATAACCTTGGCAATTACTGCAGAGTAAGGCTGTATTGTTGCTACCAGATAAAGTCCATCAAGTCCAGGGGACATCAATAGAAAAGTTCCTATGCTGATTGCAGAAAGAAAACATCAATGACACTCTACAGAAGTAAGCAAAAAACATCAAAGGCACTATGCAAAACAAAGCATTCTTTTTCTTTTAAATACCAAACCCCATAATAGCATGATAAACCTCACTTGATCTCCATCAATGACAGTACATATTGATCATAATGCTATATTCCCTTAAAACATGTAAAGCCTATGCAGAAGACTACATGTATTATAACAAATCATACAAGAGAATGTTAAAGTTCTCTTTCTTCTTTTTGCAGATAAATCTCCACAATTTCTGCAAGTCCTTTGGCAAAGGATAAGTTGATAATGGGCAAATCCAAGGGTATGGTTGAAAACTGGTCACTTCATAGACCTCTTTGTGCCATATAAACCATAACTCTACATCTAATCTTTCTGTACCACAAATTTGAATCTCTGCATTGTCAACCTCAACTTGGACTTTTCTAAGGAGTGTATGTCAGGTCTAGATTATCACCATATTCCAGTCACTGTTTACCTGCCATTCCCTCCACCACCATCTCTCCTATATATAGTCCCTTCCTTCTACCCTTTCTTCCTCACTCTGTTCTCTTTCTCAGGTCATTCATAGAGTAGAGAAGAAGAGCAGCTCTTTGCAGCCATGGCTCTGCTCACAGATCTCATCAACCTTAACCTCTCCGACTACACGGAGAAGATCATTGCTGAGTACATATGGTTTGTTCCTTCTCTTCTGTCGATCTCTTCCCTTGCTATCCTCTTAATTATCTCACTCTATTATCCGGTTTCTGCTTCTGGATTTTGTTCCATTATTTTGGAAGGGTTCAGCCATTTGGTTTTGGGCTTTCAATATTGTTAGGTGTCAGTTCTGTTGTTCTTTGGACTCTCTTGTTTTTCTTGAATCTTCTTTATGTTGTTTGTTTTGGTACTTTACAGTTGTTTGCATACAGGTGAGTAAATGCCATAATTTGTTTGGAGTTATTCTTTCTCAGAAGTATTTGCATGCCATGCATTGAGGAAAGAGGTTGATGACTTACCTTCAAAACCAGAACTTTATTAAGGATTTGCTGTTCTCTTTCCTCCAAAAGGAAAAGAAGAAGAAGAAAAATATTGTTTCTAGTGGTGATTGTGCTTTTTTTGTTGCTACTTCATTTTGTGATATTCTTTTGCTTGTAAAAGGTTCTCAAAAATAGTTTTGCTCTTTAATTTTTGTTCTGGACTGTCTATGTTCTTCCTCTTTTTGAGGGAATGTGCACTAATTGATTTGTTTCTAACTTTCCATTTAACCATGAACAACTAATTAGCATAAACATGTTAAGATTTCCTTTTGAAGTCAATTATAATTAAGTAATTAATTGAACTTTATTCACCTGAAATAAAAAAATATCAATCACCTTTTCTTCCCTCCTCCTCCTGTCCTTCAAATTCATACAGCTCCTAATGGTGCCTTTTGTCTATTGCAAATCCAACAGGGTTGGAGGCTCTGGTGAGGACATCAGGAGCAAAGCCAGGGTATATGATATCCACATTATTATACTCCTTTAACTTGTAGCTTCTGTCCTGACATACTATCTGTTTCAATTGGAAAGACTCTCTCAGGTCCTGTGACTGATCCCAGCCAGCTTCCAAACTGGAACTATGATGGCTCAAGCACTGGCCAAGCCCCTGGAGAGGACAGTGAAGTGATTCTGTAGTATGTTGTCATGCTTCCTCTTCACTGTAGTTTCTTTTTCTTGTTGAAGCTTCTGCAGTAAAAAAGATGCACCTTCCTGTCTGCAGTCCCCAAGCTATTTTCAGGGATCCCTTCAGGAAGGGCAACAACATCCTTGTGAGTCTTACTCTACTTATTTGTATCAAAGCTGATGTAATTTGCTTGGATTCTCACTCTCTCTACTTCTTTGTATCAAAGCTGATACAATTTGTTTTCCAAACAATTTTTTCTCATGGTCTTCTGTTTGCTTCTTCTTCATCTGGAACATATAGGTCATGTGTGATTGTTACACACCACAAGGAGAGCCAATCCCTACCAACAAAAGACACAATGCTGCCAAGATATTTAGCAACCCTGCTGTTGCTGCAGAAGAGACTTGGTATTGTTGTTCTCTCCTGCTTGTTGATGCTGTTTCTCCTTTTTGCTTTCTTTTCCATTCATCTGAGGATGATGTAAAGCTATCACTGATGGATGTTTACTCCCTGCCAGGTTTGGGATAGAGCAGGAGTACACTCTCCTCCAGAAGGATGTCAAGTGGCCCATTGGGTGGCCCATTGGAGGCTACCCTGGTCCCCAGGTAAGTTCTTGTGCCATCCTTGTCTATTTTCCTATGATTTATTTCTCAACAAGTATCTCACTGTACAAGTTAAAAGACAAGAAAACTGGAAAATCCATGATTTCTTCATTTGTTTCTGTTTGATCCAGTTATTACATTTCGGTAAAAACATTGAAGTACAAAAAGCCTTGATAAGATCGTTCGGATAAATAGAGTTAGATTCACGCGAACAATCTCTTTATTTGTAAGGATAAGTTGATACAAGGATATTGAAATATCTGAATTTTATTTCATTTTTTCCTCAAAAAGTTAAAGAAAAAGATGAAAAACCTGAATCTCATCATGATTAGCAGCATGAATGAATGACATGATATGATTTCTCCTCCAAAGAACAAAGTTTTAGCCTTTTTTTTATATGAAACCTTGGAAACACTGCTTCATCATAAGTTTTGGCCTGTAATTAAGCTATGCAATGACCTAAAGTTCCATGACAGGGTCCTTACTACTGCTCTGCTGGTGCTGACAAAGCTTTTGGGAGAGACATAGTCGATGCCCACTACAAGGCCTGCCTTTATGCAGGGATCAACATAAGTGGCATCAATGGAGAGGTCATGCCAGGCCAGGTAACGTTCGGAGCCATTCGAACTCCTCTGCTTCCTTCTTCTCATCAAATCTTGTTCTTCCTTCCCAGTGGGAGTTCCAAGTAGGTCCCTGCGTCGGCGTATCAGCTGGTGATCAGCTCTGGGTTGCTCGATACGTACTCGAGGTAGCTGCACATACCCCCGTCCGAATCCATGGTTTCTTCTGCACTGCACTGCACTGCAGTCCCCAACTTGTTCTAGCCAGCCAATCGTTAACTTGGATCTCTCTGTGAACAGAGGATTACCGAGATGGCCGGAGTGGTGCTTTCTTTGGATCCAAAGCCGATTCAGGTAAGATGAGCTTGCTCACCTGCTGATCCAACACACCGTTCTTGCAGTATCATATCGCTGTGTCTTCTCGTTTCAGGGTGATTGGAATGGCGCAGGAGCTCACACAAATTACAGGTGAACATATAGCCCATGAACTTGGAAATATATATGCATATATATATTAATCGTTTTTCCATTTGAAACTCTTCAGTACCAAATCCATGAGGAGCGATGGAGGGTATGAAGTCATCAAACAGGCGATCGAGAAACTTGGCTGGAGGCACAAGGAGCACATAGCTGCCTATGGAGAAGGGAACGAGCGCCGCCTTACCGGGCGCCATGAGACTGCTGATATCAATACCTTCGTTTGGGTACAATTCATGCACAGATCATCTCTCGACTACTCACTCGAGCTCGTAGATGAGATGCCACAATCATTCGCATTGGTAGAAATCTCGTGCATTCTTAACTCGTTGCGACCTATGACAGGGAGTTGCGAATCGGGGAGCATCGATTCGAGTTGGCCGTGACACGGAGAAGTCCGGCAAAGGTGGATAGCATTTCCTTCGTCTTGAGACTTCTTTATGTTGTGTGTCGTTCAAATATGTGCACCTCACTCTACCATCCTCGTCAGGTTACTTCGAAGACCGAAGGCCGGCTTCCAACATGGATCCTTACGCTGTCACTTCCATGATTGCAGAGACCACCATCCTCTGGAAACCAACTTAATCAGCTGCTTCATCTTTGCGCGTCTCTTGTCATGTTAAGTGGGCTTCGTTCTGTCTTGCATTGCATGGGGAATTCAGCAGCGTTTTCCGTCAGTACTCCGCGGGGAGATCTGAATCGAGTTAGCTATACTTTTGATTGGTTTTCCTGTCTTGTTTTGTCACTTGGGTTGCAGTTGTGGCAGCAATAAAAGTACATTGGCAGCACAAAAGAGCTATCTCTCTCTCTCTCTCTGTCTCTCTCTGGATCTGTGTTATTAAACTGAAGGAAGAGCAGTGGAGAAATTACAGAGAAGAAGGTAATTACAGTGGAGAACACGTTCTGGTTGAAGCATCGTTAATTACTGTAGCATCCGATGAAGTCTATCGAGTAATCGGATCTCGCAATGTGCTTCGTCAAATCACATCTCATTTTTTAGAGAGAATAATTCATTTGACGGCCCAAAAATTAAAAATAGGAGAGGATCATCACATTCGAATCTGAATCAACAGATACGATATCATCTTCATCATCAAGTAAACAATCACATTTGATCCGTCAAAACAAGAGTTTCTCCACCAATTCCTGAGATTTGCCTCGCCAATTACAATTGATGGAGACATCTTGAATCTTTCCATTTCCATGTAGAAACTCCCACCAACATAAGGTCAGGGCACTTCGTTTGGATAAAAGTGGCAAACAACCTCAACAATAACCAGTGAGTCTAGTGATTTTGCAAGAAAGAAACAGATACATAGCAGCGATTTCGGATACATCTCATCGTAAACTTTGTATTATTTAATATAATCTCCAACCAGAACTGGGGTTTAATTTTGAGTGGTACTAACACAAATTATTTCAAAAACATGTAGCGCGCTGTGTCACGTGGCGCTAGGTACAAAATTAGTCGATAAAAAGAGGGGAAATCGATGTCCAACTCAAGAGTACTCGTCAATTTGATTTTATGTTATAACAGTAGGAGCAGATCGTCCGGTGAATTCTTTCATCTTTGAGAGCTTTATCGCCACTTCCACCTACAGCACAAAGCATCTTGTAAGGATTATCTTAATGTTTCATGAAAATATAACACAGAGGTAAAGTCCTTTTACCAGAGGACCAAGTGCTTCTTGTGAATCCCTCCCGGTCTTTGTTGCATCGTTCTCGTACTGCTCAATGTAGACCCTGATGGTAGCACCTTCGGAACCAGTCCCAGATAGCCGGAAAACCTAAAAATTATGTGGCAGATGTAAATTAGATATAACTCTAGACTCATACCTGGACGGAGGGAAACCACTTGTGACTACCGAGAGTGCCATAGACCATAATATAAAGTTTAACAGTTATAGTTGTTTTGCAATAAAAGACATAGTCTTAGTACAAAGTTTAGTATTCCACCGATGAAACTTCAGCTAACAAATTCAGGCTTCAAGTCAGCATCTGATTATTATAATTCGTTGTAAACTAATCCAAAAAATGAAGCACAACAAGCGATAATAGCTTACAAGTCGTGATCCATCCACAAAGAGGTACCGAATGCCTTGATGCTTAGAAACAGAGCCATCGACAGGATCCTTGTATTCAAATTCATTGGCTTGGACAACATCCGAGACATCTGATCTTATCTCCTTTATAATCCTGAATAAATGAAGCAACATCTATTTTTTTGAGGAAATCATATCCCGAGTATACATACTATAACTAGCATGCATGTTGCAAATTGTCTCCTAAATCATGCATTTCCTATAACCTATCAGAAAATAGGACTCCTATCAAATGACACCAGTGAAATAAACTTGAACAAGAAGAGCATCATGGTTTTGTGGATAAGATTGATGGCAATATTTAAATAAATTTGAGCAGGAAAGGGATCATAGTCTAGGTTTCTTTTCTTCCCTTTGCAGATTAGGTTTCACCTGATTCCCCCCTATGCTTTAGAATCGAACATTGTTAGAAGCATCAGCTGGTCCCAATCTAATACAGACCAATCAAACAGACCACATACTATGTCAACTGATTCCATCAAGGTTTTAGTTTGTGGAACAAGCTAAAAATTAACATTGTTTCTTCTTAACATATTAAATTTGATATGAAAGAAACTGTAAACAAGGATGCCTTATGATCTAAACACAAAAATTGAGTAGCAACAAGATGCAGTAAAAAAAAAGGATGCAATCGGATCTATATGAAACTGAAAAGTAGAATCTTTAGATTCACTTGCCCAAGTGATGCTATACTTAGCAGGTAATGGAAATGAGAACATCATGGAGAAAAGGATAGTTACATTGAAGCCTATAGTATAAAACTAAAAACAAAATATTACAAATTAACAGAGCCATAAGCAAGACCTACTGCCATGACACAAGATGGACATTTGAGAGAATAATAACTGAAAACAACACAACACAACTAAGAAATAACAGCATAATGATGCAAGAACCAAGAAATACTACCAACAAAACCATATAAAAAACATGAAAGAGAAAAGTCCATACAACAGAGAAGAACACTTCGATGTGCTCACAACCACATCTATCTGTAGTTAGCCTTGGAGAGTCATGTATTTGATGAATTTCTTTTTTCACAAGTGACATACCTGTTAACTTCGGAAAGGGACGATTGAAGATTCACCAAATGTGCCATTAGCTCCTTAGCAGCACCAGCATCAACATTCTTCACCAAAAATAATAATAAACAATTGGCGAGAGTATTCTCATAGGCAGCAGCCATGTGAAAGAATATCATGAACTATACATTACATTTGATTTTTAAAAGAATATCCGTACATCTATGCTTACCTCATAATCGTAGCGAGTATAATAGTGGCGACCATAAGTGGCCCAATGTTTACGAACTATATCTTCAACTGTAACCAACTTATCATCATTAAGCTTGTCCTTGTTCTTAAAGGCAAGAATTGAAAGCCAAGCTAAAACTGCCCAGATTCCATCCTTTTCACGAATATGATCTGAGCCTGCAAGAGAAGACAAAGGCTTACAAAAGTCTATTTTAAATGATAAAAATGCACAATCCTCCTGTAGCGCAAAAAAAAAAAGGGGGTCACATTTGAAGTGCAGACCTTGCAGAAATTCAGTCAAGAAGGCTACTGGTCCAAAATGTTAAGCTTTTCTTGTTCAAATGCAGCATGCATAACATGAGACAATTTGTTATTTTCATGACAACATGCATCTCTTGGTTCCGTACCAGTCAAGTGTTTTGAACACTAATCAAAACTTGTAATAGAAATGTCACAATCTAAATTTCCACAATGCAAACTTGCAAAGACATGCAGGGGACAAAAATCCTTGAAATTACCTGTCCCAAAGCTTTCTTCACCACAAATTGAACAAAGTCCAGCATCCATCAAGTTTCCAAAAAATTTCCAACCAGTCGGCACCTGAAATATGGTAATTTTTGTTTTAAGCCATCAAATGCTTATGCTATGTGTAAGACTCCAAGAAATACACACCTCAAAAAATTTAAGACCCAAGTTCTTCGCCACAACATCAAGGGCAGCTGAAGTTGGCATACTCCTGAAAGGTAAGATTAGCAAGGTGAATAAAAACGTGACCAGACAATGGGAAAACTGACATTACGTAGGAGTTTTCTAATTGACAAACACAGACTATAATAGACTAACACATGTTTAGTAGTCAGAAGAATAAGAAAATAGTCTATTAAAGTATTAAGTACTTTATGTATAGTGCTATCATATATTGGCCTGAGGCTTTATGGATTATTATCTCTCACTCCTTAGGTACCAAACAACTAAAGACATAACTGATGAAATAAAAAATTTCTAGGATCAATCATATCAAAGGTAAAAACAAAAGTGAATTTTAGATTTTGCATCTTCAATTTTCAATCCCAAAGTTCATCATTAATAACTTAATTGCAGAAGGTCTAGTGAACTTCCAATAAATACAAAGTCCAAATGATAAAAGGCAAACGCAATGCACAACACATATCAAATATTAAAAGTATATAATCAAGAATACAATAAATATTCAGATCACAAATAGATAAGCATATGTTATGGCCAAATCAAAATTATATGGGATATCTATACTCTTCATGAAATTACTTGAGTAATAATTAGTAAGACTAATGTTAAATTATCATTGGCTATGTTTTCATCATTAAAGATTGTATAATAATATAAAAAAATGAAGGAAACACAAACCACATGCAATCACATCTTACGCAGACCACATGCAGTCACGTTGCTCCATACGGTTGCATATGCAAACTGCATAAGCAGTCATGTAGCTGTGTATCACCATGTACACTGTACATCCTGTTATACCACATGGTAAGGTGGCATAGAAAACCACTTAAGAGCTAAATCCACCCAACACTCTCATAGAAGTTTCTGTACAGAACCCCTGAATCTAGTTTGATTCATTGTTCAAGCATTCCAAAAAGATTCAAGTAAAACTTGGAGTTCATAACTGAAGATAGCACACCTGGCAACCCCTTTCAAACCAGAGGCAAAATATGGAATGGCTTCAACAGCATTGGCAGCAATTATAGCAACAGAATCTGATGGTGTTACAAAGAACCTAGTGACACAAGAAAAGAGTTGCCTAGTCACGAACATAATAGGATGTGCTATAGCTTCCGTCTATTATAACTGAAGAATACCTTTTACCAAGGACCATGTTGCGATCTGCATCCCCATCAGCGGCAGCACCAAACTCAGGTGGTTCAAATTGTGAGCTTGATTTACCCAATCCCATTCTTGCAACCAATTCTTTTGCATAGGTTAGATTAGGATCTGGATGACCACCTCCAAAGTCTTCCTGTTATAAGATTATCAATGCTTAATAATAAAATCATACAATTTTTGAGAGAAGACAAATGGACATATCAAGTATAAACACACCTTAGGCGTGCAATTTAATAGCGAAGATTCATTTGCACCAAGTTCCTCAACAAAAATATGCTTTGCATAAATTCCAGCAACACCATGAAGTGCATCATAGCTGAAAATAGTTTAAGCATGGACTTAGATCGCAGGTGTAAAAACAAGAATTAGAAGATACTAGGAAAGCAAGGCCCCAGATGAGTACCAGAATGTGAACTTTGGGCATGAAAGCAGCTTTTGGATGGATCCAAAGTCAAAAATTGACCTGAAGCGAAAAACCAGTGATTTTAATAACCTTTGTAAAAGTTAGATTCCCCAATGTTCCTTCTTGAAGAATATATACATCCACCACATGCATTTCAGTAATG